GCGGGAAGTAATTTAAATAGGACGACAAATAGAGAAAAACTACTCCAAGACTTTTCTTGGGTCAATGGAAATAAATCACTGGTTGAGTAATTTATCCCTGGCAGAGAGCTTTTAAATACTCCCTCAGACGCTCTCAATATTGAATGCCGGACGCTTTTTCCGCCCACCCACTGAAGCTCGCCCACCCAATTTAGTCACACAGTGCCAATTAATCTTTGTTACATCCACTTGCGGCGGCGTGAATTAGCACTGGGACACAGAAGGCCAGACTTACCATCAATCTGTTAACCCATTGACAGAGGAAACAATGCACTCTGCGTGCGAAAAAAAGGTGAAGTCGTCGTAAGAAAAGGAAATTTCCTTTCCTCCCCCAAAAAAAACGTCACGGAAAGTTTATAGAAAAATCAATGGAATTAAACAGTCGTTGAACTTTTTGGCGCACAGCAGGATAAATGTTTATGAAAACCTTGCGAAAAATTAACACTAATTAAAATTTACACGCTGCATTTTCGCGCCCCAGGCGATAAACTTTCACGTGATTATTAAAGTTATTACTGAGCGAAAAATTTTCGAGGTGCGGCGCTGTAAAAATGGTCAAAAACCATTTTAATTATCTGCACACTGTATTTAATAAACCATTTCGCATCCACATCCCGAATTAATTACCAAACAGCCCAGAAATGAGAGAGACTCCTAAGCCTGCAAAAGGCTCAAAGCATTCGCCAGCACATCTCCCCTGATGGAGGCGAAGAGAGTGGAAAACAATAATGTCCCTCTTTCCTCCCCCTAATCCCAGTCACGATTCACAGAGACATGTCTGGATTTGTCTATGCGCCCTCAAAGGCGCTCCCCGCGGGCGCCCAATATGCAGAAATCAGACGGAAAGAGTGGAAGATAATCCCCCAGAGCATAAACTCCCACAGGCCAATTGATAGCGCTGCACAAGGGGATGATATTCAGGGCGGAAGGCAAGTGGTGTACAGGTGAGCAGGAGTATCAAGTTAAAAAGTAACTTGAAGTGTTGGTTTATCAAATATCGCACTGTAAATTATTGTTTTCCATTCATTTTCATCTTGTTCAGGCTTTGAACAAGATCACTTAAATGCCTAAGAAAGTTATTTGTGTTTGAGGGTCGAAAAACACCACGAAAAGAATGGTTTTCACCACATTTTCACATAAAATCGCTAAAAATGTCAGTGATATTTGACTTCTCAAAATATTTTTAACCAATTTGAGTACTCAATGAGAAGCTTCTGGGGAAGTTCTGGAAGTGAGAAGAATCAGCGCACAGATTTGAGGGCACATTATCTCTCCCTTGGCGAAGAAAGGAGTCTTTTATGATTGCAGAAAAAATCGTTTTCTTCTGCATGAGAAACCCCACCTTTGATACATCATGTGGATTTCAGCGCAATATAAAATATGCTCAAATATTGAAAGACACTCACACTGTAATGTAGAGCTATATATAGCCATCATAAAAATTTCCCTCACTCAGTTATACTTTCCAATTCACAGCTATTTTGCATATCTCAAACCAGCCAAGGAAAGTTTGAGAAGGAGTGCGGCATCCAAATCAAACAGCGAATAAAATTTTCAGCGAATATTTTGTCTCTGCACACCAATTCTCTTCACCATAGAAAATTGCAATTGGATTTTTTCCGCCATTCTTCTCCTCCACATCGCGTCAAATTGTGCTTTCACAGCAGCTGAAATTGCTGATGAGTATAAAAGAATACAATTTGGCGAGATGATTGGATGAAAAATTACTTTCACGAATATTGCAAAAATTATTATTGAGCAAGAGTATTAAAATGAATTCATAAGAGTGGAACATTTTAATGCACATTATGCACATTATAAAAAGAACAATGACGATAGGAAGTAATTATACGTACATTAATATTGTTCCTGGATGATAATTACGTGGCATTTTATTATATTCAGTCGCGTGGGACGGAAAGTAGGGCAAAGCAGGGATATTTCAGTGCGATTCCATTGACAGAAGATTTGACCTATTTAAATAAATCAAGAGATAAAAAGTTATGTTTATTTTCTATTCAGCAGTGACTTTTCACAGCTTTTTTCTTTCTTTTTTTAATGGCCAGAGCGAATTTATTTGATTGGTGTCAAATGGAATTCCCAAACGGCAGTGAGAATTGTTTATGCAGCAATTGAAATCGCATCTCGAGGAGGAACGTGTGCTGATGCAAAAGAAGACACTGCGAGACTCGTCCTGAATAACAAGATGAGACAAGGAAAGGAGTTCATGGAGGAAGACAGAGTAAGAAGAAGAAAAAACTGAGACTTCACACGACTTTTTTGCTCCCGCCCATCTTTCTATCTCTTGTATTATCTCAGACAATCTCTTCCTCTCGTCTCATTTGCATTTTCATGTCGAATACAAATTCACTATTGAATTAAGAGGGTGGCATCGCCAGAGACACAGAAGAGGGTGTGAGACGCCGAGCAGAAAGGGGGGGGGGAAAGAAATGTATGGAGAATCACAAGAAATAGTGGCAAAGAAGTCGTGTTTACTTGAATCACTTCCAACTCTGTCGATTCGATTGAAAAGCTCTGTCTCTCTCTCTCTCTTCTTTGGCCCTTGTTCATTGTCTGTGCACGAAAAGCTCAGTCGAGAAGGGGTGAAATTCTGGTGGAAAAAATTATTAAAATTCATCACAGTGTTTGTGCAGAATAATCAGCAAGAGAGGAAGTGAAGAATTTTCTGCCATAAAAGCATTTTTCTCTGAAAATCCTCATTCAATGCATTGATTTCTCCTAATATGGAGGGGAAATTGAAAGGGTAATTTTGCAGCTTCTTTTTCCATCCAACAAACACACTTCACATTGGCACAAAGTGCTTCTGTGAAGAACACTTAATAATAGAGAAATGTTTGCTTCACTGCAACACAAAAGACGCCAAAGAAGATTCCTTTTCATCTACTTTTGCACATCCAACTATATGAGAATGTGATAACTGAGCAAATTCCATACAAAGCATCTCAATAAATTGAATTAAAAACCATTTTTGTGCCTCATTAGAATTATATCCGAACTACCGCCTCATTCATTTTCTATTATTCCCTCCGGAGAAGGATTCCAGTGCGGAATACCCGAGTGGGACGTGATGTGAATTTCCTGCTTTGTCCCCTCTTGAGAATTATATCAAGCAAGGGGGAGATAGTGTGCTTTAAATCGTGCACACGCGATTTCCTACTTTCCTCACTTTGTATGAAGAATCTCCAACAGTTTTGGCACTTTCAATGCTAAAAATGGCATTTTTCTCTTTGTAATTGTCTTGTATTAATTGCTGATTTATTCCTAAAAAAGATTTGAACTTGATTCAAACCCTTTCATGATGAAACTTAAGCTGTGTAAGAGCTTAAAACTATTACTTTAAAATGCCAAAATGGAGAAATATTCTAACACGTATTTTAGGATTATGTTTAACTTCTAAACAGTTCTTACACAGTCTCTTTAATTTAATCTACTACATTATTGAACCAAAGAACATCTTTTCCCAATTCCCAATCATCTTATCTCCCCCTTGGCGCACAGAGCCTCCCGGAAGAAGACGTAACTGGTCGCCTCCGCCATTAGCATGTGGGTCCCGATGGTGAGGAAATTGATGGGAATTCAAAGATTTCCCTGTTGAAATAATTTATGCAGCCGCACGAGAGGCGGCGCCGAGCCCCGAAAAGCCCGCAAGTGCAACATAAAGACGAATTAATTGCTGCAGCTCTCGTCGCCTCAGCATCACAGCCCCAAGAGAGAGAGAGAGTATATCAGCCTAATTGGTTCATCCCTTCTTTCACATCTCCTAATGAAATTCTGCCCGAGCAATTATGCCAGGATAAAGTGTCTGAGAGTGGATTGATGAACTTCCTTTCGGTGGTTTATTGGTGTCTCAATGTTTGCCACAGAAATATTTACATAGAAAATAGACACACTTTGGGGACAATTAAGTCTTCTGGAGAGCAATTATTGGATTAAGCGCTTCGAGCAATTTAACTATTGGTGCATGAAAAAAGTGGGAAATCTGCAAGGAAAGTGCTGAGTTTCTGGAGACAATTAATTAATTTATCACGCCACTGCGGAGGACTTTGTCGCAAAGCATCACAGTGCAGGCGAAGGGGATTCAAATTGACCTGAGGGAATGGCAGCCAATACCGATTGTCCACGTCCTGATGAAACTCCGTGAAAGAGCGATTGGGGGTCACGTTGCTGGCCCAGGGATATCAATTGTCCGGCCAAATGAGGCGACGTGACCACAGCTTGAAGTGGCAATTGCGACACAGGGATTACACAGTGTCTCCGGAGTTTGGGCACCGTGGTCAGGGCATCAACTTTGAGTGGATATTAGAGACTTGTTGCAAATCCCCCCGAGAGAGAGACAGAGGCACCAAAACTCGGCGCATTCCTCAATTCAGAGACACACACACAAACATATCCCGAGAGACCGGCACTATTACTTGATAATGAGGCCAAGGACTGAGATTTATACATCCTGAGGACGCCAACCGACCAGAACGACTGGGGAATAACTGCCCATTATGTGGAGTACTCCAATATAATCGTCCTGATTTCATGCATGAACATCAATTTGCTCTTTCGAGTGCAGCTGGAAAACTCCGCACACAGCATTCCTTCACACAAACAGCGTGTCTGACATATATTCTCCCCGAAGGAGTTCTCCCACGTACAGCGAAGATCCAGCGGAAAATAATTGATGATCAATCAATCACGTCACAGAAATCTATCTTGGTAAAAATTCCCGGATAAATCTACAAATCCCCCAAGAGAGATTGATGTAAGTAATATTGCGAATGTTTTAAAATTACCTCCAGGACATTCAGGACACATTAAGAGATGTGATTGTGTGATAAGTAAACATTGAGAAATCCATCGGCTGAATATCAGGGACGTTTTGCTTCTCACTGTATTATTGGCGACCGTTTGAGTTAAAGAGCCGTTTGATTTTATTCGCCGCGGCGAATCAGCTGGAGAAGTGAGGTTAGGAATACGATTTTTCTTGTGCCGGAGATGTGAAGTGTGTGTAAAAAGCTCTTAATAATCGCGTAATTACGCTCTACATTGGATAAGATAATGAAATAGTGCTCCAGTCAGTCGATAAGATGATTCTCGCGAGATCGGTGCGGAAATTGCGCTGTCTGTCGCGCTTCTACAGTGACCACAAGAGCAATCATCCGACGGATGATCCCATTTGGCCCATTCGGCGCACAATAAACATCCTGAAGAATGACTTCAGAAAAGTGGGTCGATTCATCCTGCCGCGCGGCCTGACCTCGAGGGAGGATGCCGAAAAGGAGCTGGACGCTCATCTGGAGAAGTACCGGCGGCCGGAGATCTTCCCTGAGCACTGCGACATCCTGATCATTGGCGGCGGCGGAATGGGCAGCTCCATTGCGTATTGGCTGAAGAAGGAAGCCCTCGAGGGACTCAATGTGGTTGTGGTGGAGAAGGACGCCACGGTGAGTGATGATCTTCATTTCACCTATAATTACGAAGCATTATTGATGAACAATAAGAGCTGAGCAAATATCGCTTATCTCTTTTCTAGTATTCAAATGCATCAACAGCGTTATCAGTTGGCGGATTGCGGCAGCAATTCTCACTCGTGGAGAACATCCAGATGTCCCTGTACGGGGCGGAGTTCATTCAGAACATCAAGGAACACTTGGGCGACGACGCGGACGTGAACTTCACGCCTCACGGGTATCTTCTGCTGGCCACTGAGGAGGGCGCCGAGACGCTGGACAGGAATTCGCGGCTACAGAACGAACTGGGCGCCAGGAATGAGATCTTGACGCCGGAGAAGATGAAGCGGAAGTTTCCCTGGATCAACACCGACGGAATCGCGCTGGGCTGCCACGGATTGGAGCGCGAGGGATGGTTCGATCCGTGGTGTCTGCTGAATGGCTTCAAGAGACGCGCCCAGGAAATGGGAGCGCAGTACGTCCATGGGGATGTGACGGGATTCGAGTTCGAGAAGATGAACAACATGGTTGTGGTGGGAGTCGAGCCGGGCTCTTACGAGGCACTGCGAAGGGCTGTCGTGCGCCTGCCCAACGGCGAGGAGAAGACCATCACATTCGCCTTCTGCATCCTGGCGGCTGGCGCTCAATCCGGCGAAGTGGCGCGCATGATGAAGATCGGCACTGGAGAGGGAATTCTGCAGCTGCCGCTGCCAGTGGAGCCGCGGAAGCGCTACGTGTACGTGGTGAGCAGCCAAAGCCCGGACTGTCCAGGCCTCAACACGCCGCTCACCATCGATCCCTCAACGACGTACTTCCGGCGCGACGGATTGTGCGGGAATTTCGTGTGCGGCAAGAGTCCCACGGAGGACCACGAGCCCAATTGTGACACGCTGGACGTGGATCACGAGTTCTTCGAGACGGAGGTGTGGCCGCGACTGGCCAAGCGAGTGCCCAGCTTCGAGTCCCTGAAGGTCAACAGCGCCTGGGCGGGATATTACGAGTACAACTACTTCGACAAGAACGGCATCATCGGACAGCATCCGTACCACAACAATGTCATCTTCGCGACGGGTTTCAGTGGACACGGGATCCAGCAGACGCCGGCCGTGGGCAGAGCCGTGATGGAGCTCATCATCAGAGGACAGTACGAAACCATCAATCTCAAGCGCTTGGGATTCGACAGATTAATCGTAGATGAACCAATGTTTGAGTCCAACATAGTGTAATAAATATAGTTCTGGTGGGATTTGGGCAATCTCCACTCTAGCGAAACTCTCTTTGTCATCTACTTGAACTGCCCGGGCGCCGGGCCGAAGAGTCCTCCGCCTTGCTTGCTGGCGGCGCGCGACGGCGCGAATCCCAGCATCTTCTGGATGTTCTGCCTGATGGACATGGTGCAGAGGATGTAGAGGAAGATGAAGGAGCACTCGGTGTAGTCATCGCCGGGCAAGTTCCTGTGGCTCAGGCCCTGAATCCAGGAGATTGGCACGAACGGCAGTCTCGCCACCACGCGTCCGTCGAAGATGCTGTTGAACATGCTCAAGAGCGCCGTGAAGGCGAATCCCGTGGCGAACATGGACTTCATCTTCACCAGCGACAAATCCCTGTTGTTGTTCTTCAGCCTCTCCTCGTCCCGCTCGATCTTCTTCTTGTGCTGCTTGTCCAGGGAATCACCGTGAATCTCCTTGCGTCTCTCCACTGCAATAAAAAGTATCATTTTATGTACAGTCAGATCTATTAATTGTCTTCCAGCCGTAATTACATTTCTTGCTCTGCTTCTCCACCTCTCCCTTCAGCTTCTGGTACTTGTCTGTCCGGTAGACGAGCAGCCAAGTCAGACCTGCAAAACAGCCAACAATCAGCGCCGCCGAGAAAACACTAATTGCCGCGATTTTTCTCACCTTCACCCAAAAATGCCGTGCAAATGGATATGAAGACAATTAAGAGAGTGTCGCCCCACATTTTTATCTAATTTTGCAGCCAAAAAGCCCTGTATTCCCGGGATTTGCTAATTCTCCAGCTCACCTTCCGGACGTGTGATTGCGGAATTTTGAGGTTATCTTGTCATCGCGCGAGGCAACATTTGAATTACAAAAATGCAACGGTTTCCATCACGCAGCAAAAGAAATTCATTTACCAAGAAAATGTAAATTTTTATAGCCTGATTTGGGAATTTATCGCAGGGAAAATCGCGCACACGCACCAGAATCCCAAGAAGAGAATAAAACCAGAGTTCCTTCTCGCCAGGAAGCTCACAACGCAGTCTTAACCAGACAGAAATACTCGAATCTCCCAAGAGGCCATCATTTCTGAGGAATTTTACCAGTGATTCTGTGCGTGGGACGATGAGGTTGCAGATGTGAGTGTTTCTGGTCAGAGTCCCTGGGGATCTTATAATCAAACACTGGAGTTGTTTGGATAGGAAATTGGATATTTTTGATTGCTTTCAGCTGGTCTCTGATTCTTGCCGTTCTGGCAAACAGCGGAGGAGCTCTTGAGATTTCCACCGTCCTGGACACTGCAGCGTCCGCCAAAGTGGCCACTCTGGGCTGCCATCGGCGGGTGTATACCTATCGTGTCACGCAGACCGACCACAAGGGCCGCGAGTGTTGGGACGTCGTGAGCGTGATGAGTTGCTGGGGCCGCTGCGACTCCAACGAGATCAGCGACTGGAAGTTCCCCTTCAAGCGCTCCTACCATCCCGTGTGCGTGCACGCCGGTCGCTCCCCGGCCGTGGCGGTGCTGAAGAACTGTCATCCCGATGCGGAGCCCGAAACCAGGCGCTATCACTACACCGAAGCCATCGCTTGCCACTGCCAGACGTGCTCCACGCAAGACACCAGCTGCGAAGCCCCCAAGGAGACCCACAATGAGTCCGCCGTGAAGGTGCTGGCGCTCACCGGACCGGCAGCAGACGACCTGGACTATTAGAAAACCCACAGAATCATGGCAAAATGAGAAAATGTTATGAATAAAATAAATCCTCGCATCGACACTGGAAAACTCTTGCAAATATTGCGCATCCACCTTGAGATGACTCAAAGAAGATCCTGGAAGCACCTGCTGTAGACAAAGATTGTAAATTAGAGCCCCAAAGCAAGTGATGAAAATAAATTTATCGTGCGGAATAGAATCTTTATTTATCATTCATGGCTCAGAGACACTCTTCCTCTCTCACATCCTGGCTCAGTCCTTCTTGCAGTGATAGCAGGAGCAATCCGTGGCGGACTTGAACGTGACATTCCGATACCCGTCGAGGCACAGCACTTCCCTGATCACATTCTGCGAGCTCATGATGTTGCAGCACTGCCCAATGGACGTCACGGGCTTCACGGGCTTCATCACAGCGCCCCAGGCCGAGGGCACGGCGTAAGACTCGCAGAATCCGCGACACGCGTTGGTCGTCAGGTGGAACTCCACGCATCCGGGAATGCTGATCTTCCTTGTGTGCCCTGCAAAACACCACTCTGCACGCCTCCTCACGCACGCACGGAGCTTCTGCGCTACTCACCGACTTTGTGGCAGCCCGGCTTGTGCCACACCGTGTCCTTTCCCATCGTCAGGGCGATGAAGAGCATCGCGAGGGTCGCAAATCGAAGCAACATCTTTGATTCACGGAGTTTCTGGTCTCTCCTCGAGGGTCACGCAGCAACTGAAGGCTCTCCGCCAGGAGGACTCCTTAAAATCCATTCCCTTCTGCGCAATTCCATGGCGAAAAGGAGCTGCAAATCCCACGCTCGGCCCTCGGCAGCAATTAAAAGCCCCTTTGCATTAATGAAATGTGCTCTCATTACAGCGGAATTTTACATTTCTTTTCACTCCTTTCGTCAACCAACAAGTGAAAGAAAAGGGGGAGAAAATAGACTCTCAAATCTCGCCAGAAGAATTTCCAGGACAAATTGTGAGATTATCAATCGAAAATTAGACTCAAAATTGGAAGAAATCCAGTCAATTTAAAGAAAGATCTTTAAGACAAATCAGCAGATTTCTAATCACTTCCGACTTTGGACTTTAACACCACTTCTGGGGCGTCAATATCTCCTCCTTGTCGTCAACAATTGCAGAGGCTGAAAAGCGTGATAAACATCTTGTTTTCTCCAGATTCCGCACAGAAAATTCCCAGCAATTTCAGCCAGAGAACGAAGACAATATCAGTGATTGTTGGGGGAGAGAAAAGAGGAATATTTTCACGCACAATTTCTCAGATTTATTAAGATACATCTTGTTTCTCCAATTGGTGACTCACTCTCTCTCTTCCCTCTGGCTTTTTTTCTTAATCCATTGACAAAACTCTACAAAAAGTATCCACAAGATTACAATTAAAATATCTTTGAAAATCATTATTTTATATAGATAAAATTTTTACGAAAAAAAACCGCTTCTGCAATTCAAGGTAAAAATGTCACTATATATAAGAAAATCCTAGAAATTAATTTACTAGGGCACTTCAAAAATCTGAAAATAAATCATTATCCTTTTACCAAAAATAAAAAAATGCATGTTTGTGTGCAAGAAGAGGACTGTGAAGAGATTCAGAGATTCGGAAATCCTAATGGCTCGAAGGAATTCAGGGCAGGAAAGAGGAAAAAGCGAATTACTTGCCCTTTTTTATACAGTTTTTCTTTCTACAATAAGAAGTGAATATGGTTTATATGCTTACAATCTAGACAGAAAGACTTCTTTGCACTGCAGATGGAATGAAAATTCCATCATTTCACTCCATTTTCAGTGGCTCGGAAGCCTTGAGAGAAGGGAAAATGAGGCAGTTAAGCCTCATTTTCTCCCCCTTTTTCTCAATCTTTGCAATATCAGACAGATTATACATTTCAATGATTACACAAGAAAGGTCTAATATTGAGAAAAATATCCATCGCACATTTAATAATAGTGTTTTCTTTTAAAATAATCATTTTACCTACACGAGAAAAGTGTGTTGAAGCTAAAAATGTTATATTTTTTTTTCTTTTCCTTGTACTTCTCTAAAACATATTCTTTTTTTTCCATTATCCAATATCCAGTTTATATTTCTAGTTCTTCAATTAATTGATTGCCACATCCTCCAATGCGCGTCCCCGCGAAGAGACGCGTCCATTCTCCAATGTTGGTGGGTGTCGTTTTTATGAATCTCGCAATCATCTCCAGAATCCCATCCTGTCGTCGGCGAGCGCGCGCGCGCGCTCCTCAATCCGTGCCGTTGTGGTGCGAGCGCGACGAGCGACTCTTGGATCGCGACACAGAGCGACGCCTCTTGGCATCTTCCGGACTGTCCGATCGCGAGCGTCGCGGTGTCCTCGAGCGTCCGTTGCGCGAGCCGCGCGAGTCACGCGACGAGGCGCTTCGCGAGCGACTTCTGCGGTCGCGTGAGCGGCTCCTGGAGCTCCTAGAGCGGGACCTGCACGCATTTTGCCCAGCGAGCAAAAGAGAGAGAAGAACGAGACAAAAAGGGAGCGTATTAGTAGGAGAAATTGCACCTGTCGAATATCCTACGCTTTTTTCTCTTTTCATCAATTCTAATTAGGGTAGAAAATTTCACAAGCAAAACATTCCTTTTTATCAAGGGTGTTTTTTTTCTCTTTTGAATAGCAAATTTTTCTCTGATTCTTTTTTTGGTGGCAAAAATTATGTCAAAACCAAATGAAGTAAAGAAAAATGTGAGTTCTCTCGATATTTCTTCTGTATACTGAAAATTGTGTAAATCTTCATTTCAGGCAATAAAATCAACTGCTTCTAAAATGACAGAAAGTCAGATACTTTTTCTTTTATCTTTGAATGCCTCAGAGCAAAGACTGTACAAAGAGAAGAGGAAACCCAAAAAAATCGTCTCTTGTGCTGGTGAAGTGTTAAGGCGCGCGCGGCAGGAAAAGCCAACTAAAGACTGCATTTAGTCAGATTTTCCTCCAAGCATTTCCATCTTCCATCCGCACAGTCTCTCTTTAGGACAGAGAAATAAATAAAAACGTACAACACAACTCACAAATTAACATTACGATCTTTTTTTCTTTCTTTTCATTATTGAATTGTTTTTCTGTATTTTTTTTTTGGAAAGCTTTTTTGTTTGCAAAAAAGTGATTTGAGGAATTGATTGAGTGAGAAGATGACCGATGGTGTAACCTGAGGAGAGGCTCTGTCAGGCTCCACACAATATTTCTCACCATTTGGCTCACACTCGCGGAGCCTTGGAGCGAGACACACAGATTTCTTGGCACAATTCAGTGGTGAGAAGCACAACAGGGAAGAGCGACTGTGAAGTTCCACCGTGAAGAGGAGCGCAATTGAAGCGAATTCACTCTCTCGCAGATTGAAGCCACCCCGCGCTTTCTTGTGTGGCACTCATTTATGGTGGTTGGGGGGAGGAGAAGAGAAGAAACTCATGTGCGTGCGTCGTCACGGCGTGTGTGCATGAGGATCTTGTGCATTGTCTGAAGATCACACAGGCATTATTCCTATCCCAGCCCCTATTTTTCTCATTCGCTACACTGACTCTCTCTCTCTCTCTCTCTCTCTCTCTCTTGATGGAACTGCGCTGAATTCTATTCTCTCTATTCATTGGACTACAACTCTCGCCACCCGACTAGCTTCGCAGACATAGACACTCATGTGTGATCTCATGGAGAAGTTCAAGTGATTCGTGTGAAGGATTTCAAAGGAAAATCTTTCAGCGGCCACTTCAACCTACAAACAGGCATTACAGGCAGAATTAGGATCATGATGCCCCACAAATCATCCTTATCAGCTACCAATATTTTGTTTTTTTTTTATATCAGAAAGACACTTAAAGTGCACTGAATGGTTAGTGGTCTCATCAAGCGAGTTCCTGGACAAATTTGTGTGAATTACTCAGCCTTGCGCGTGATCATTTTAAACTAACTCACCTGCGTCTGCCGCGTCGGCCGTAGCGCGTGCAGTCCCTGGCATAGTGGCCCCTGTCGCCGCACTCGTAACAGCGATCGTCCGGATGGAACACACGCGGGCCGCGGCTCCTGGACGACGGGCCGCGATAGCCGCGTCCCGACTTCCCGTTCGACAGCTCCACGCGCGCCCGCCGGCCGCACACGGTCCTGCCATCCAGGCCGCGCACGGCGTCCTCGGCGTCGCGCGGATCCTCGAACTCCACGAAGGCGAAGCCCGGCGGGTTCCTGGCCACCCACACATTCCTCAAGTGCCCGTAGTAGCTGAAGGCGTCCTCCAGCTCCTGCTTGCTGGCGTTGTTGCCCAAATCGCCAACGTACACCTTACAGTCGCTGGGGTATCGCGACATTTTCTTGGACTGCAACGAGCAAAAGCAAGCAATCAATATTTTTGACACCGGGAATGGCGTCGCATTTCCCCGCCCAACAAACATCACATTTTCGCGTGAAAGTACCCGCGAGAACCGCCCAATTTCATACGCTTCACTTGCCACGAGTCCCAAAGAAGACTTTGCCAATAGTTTTACTCACCATTTTCCACTATTTTAGGGGTTTTCTGGCTTTTTCGCGTGCTCACCAAACAGCCCACAATTTTTCGTAAACAATGCCGACCAAGTGAGCGCCTCTAGCGGAGAAATGGCCGAGGTGGCGCTGCGAGCGCGCGTATAACAGTCAATGTGGGCAGTATAACAGTGGCCACGCGGTTTTGTGATGAAAAGCAAAACATCGCGGAAAAGCGACTGAAGAACCAAGTTAAAATCCGTGCTGGACAATGGGGAAGACGCGGAAGCAGCGTGTGCGCAACGGCAGGGCGGATCCCATCGGGCAGCCGGAGCTGGAGGATCTTGTGACCGCCATAAAGTCCGATGGACCAGTGCCTGTGATTCTCGATCAGCTGCAGTCTCCCAGCGTGGAGGAGAAGCTCAGCGGGCTGCAGATGCTGTCCACGATATGTCAGAGTCAGCAGAACATCATTGACATCCTGGAGAGTGATGTGATCCGCGTGGCTGCGCCGCTTCTCATGGACAGATCGTCGTCGGCTCTGCGTCAAGCCGCTGCGGGAGCCTTCCGGAACATGTCCCTGTGTGGCATGGAGATGTGTGAGGTGCTGGTGGAGCAAGATGTGCTCACGCCTCTGCTGCATTTATTAAAGATTTACGCAGAGAAAGTGGACTGGACGCCCACTTTCGACGCCCAGCTGGGCAATCAGCCGGACGAAGTGTCAGACGCATTCCTGCAGGCGGTGAATCTGCTGTGGAATCTCTGCGAGAGCACATCAATCGCCGTGGATGTGTTCAACCAAGCTGACCTCCTGGAGAGCTTCGTTAGATGCCTGAATTTTGAGGCCTTCGGAATGGATATCGCCATTGCGGTGTGTCAGTGCCTGTTGATCATCTCTGAAGACAATCCCACGTCCTGGAGAGTGCTGAGCTCGTGTGGAGCGGCCCTTGGCAATCTCCTGGCACTCGAGGGAGGCTTCCCAGAAGTTCTGCTGCGCACCCTGGCCGCGGGAATCATGGCAAACATCCCGGCGCTCTCTGAACCCTATCTTCAGCAGATCCTGACTTCCCTCGCGCGCACGCTGGATGAGAATCACCGCACAGTGCTGTCCACCTTGACTAGCGACCTGCCTCTGCTGCAGAAGCAGGACGTGCCGGAGCTGGAAGTGACTGAGGAGAGTCGCAGGATGGAAGTGGAGGAAAGCGACGCGGCGGCTGCTCGTCGACGGCGCATGGCGGACCTTCCGACGCCGCTGGAGACCAAAGTGAAGCACGTGGGCTGGCTGCTGGAAGCCCAACGAGTGGCCGGAGAGACTCTGACCAATCTCTCGTCCGCCGACGACGAGAACAACGCGGAAGACTTTGACGAAGAGTCCGATGCCGAGAGTGTGAATGACTTCGAGAGTTCCTCTTCGGGAAATCTTCAGTCGTGCGACAAACTGCCCGTGGAGATTCTCGAGGGCATCAAGTCCCTCAGCATCATCGAGAAGCTGTGGCAGAGAGCTCAGCCTGTGCCTGAGAATGTCTATCACATTCTGAAGGAGTGCGAATCTAGTCTGACGAAGAAGCTGAAGACTCTCCGCATCTCTGCTCTGCTCTGTCTGCAGAACCTGTGCAACACCATGTCGATTGAGGACTTGGGAGGCGCTTCGGCCATCTACAACGTGTGGCTGGATTTGGGCCAGCAGGTCTTCCAGGGTGACAATGATGCGCATCTGCTCGAGGCTTCCACGGCGCTCATGAGGGCCTCTCTTGAGCACCTGCGCGGCTGTCCTGAGCTCTTCGAGAAGATGACTCAGAGTGACTTGCAGCTGATGCTGAATGGCGTGGAGAGTTGCTCAGAAGCGGAAATCCGGGCCAATTGGCTGCGAATGCTGGGAATTCTCGGATGTCTGTTGCCTGAGAATCTCGTGAAGGTCATCATGACGTTCATAATCGAGACGAGCCTCAAGGAGAACGACGCCTGGGCCATTTCTGAAGCTGTGGACGCCCTGATGGACATGTTTTCGGACAACGACTGGCTCCAGATTGTCCACGAGGTGAATCTGGTGCAGAAATCACGCGAGCTCGAGCGCCTGCTCAAGGCGAAGGTAATTGTTTCGCAATGATCCGCATGCTGTGATACTGACAATGCTTCCTTTGCAGCTCCGGATGCAGAAGAGGGACTTGGGAGATCGCTATCCAGCTGTGGCGACGGTGAGGACCAACCTGGCGAGGTTCACCAAGTACATCGAGGCGGGACTGAAGAAATACAAAGCTCAGACGTAATGAATAGTCTTCAATTGAGCTGCAATTGGGCGCAAGTTTTGCAATTAATTGTAATTTAATATGTATAGAGAATGTGTTTTGATTTAAATACTACAATAGGATATTGTATTCTCTCATATCTCTTCTTCCAGCCGCTCTTCCTGACTCGCGAACTCAGGGATAAATTAATTTGCTATATTATCACTCTCGGTCTAAATGGCACCTAAATAGAACTGTGACGCTCTTCTGGGCGGAGAAGCTTAAGTTGGCGGAACATCGACATCCTCACCGGAGAGATTTCGACTGCGTCGCGGCTTCGGCAGAGGATTCCACTCGATGCTGCTCTTCTGCACTGTCTGGTTGTCATTCTGATCTCGCTCGGGATCGCGCAGCTGCACACACTTGTCGAAGGAGTTGTTATTGAACTCTTGCACGACAACAGGGATGTCCGAAGCCTCCTCCAGCTCTCTGATCAATTCCCTCATCTCGCGCTCCTTCAGTTCCAGCTCTTGGATGTTCCTGTTGAGGCTGTCCGACGACTTCCTGCGCTGCACGTCCATCTTCTGGCTCTCAATGTCCTTCATGATGCTCCTCACCCGACTGTCGTCCTCGTAGTTGATCTTCAGGAGGCTCTGGTTCTTATTGATCGAGTCAATGATCTCCTGAACCGATCTCTGGCGCTCTATTGGATTCCTCCGGTGATTCTCCTCGCCAAGGTCGTCGTTCGTCTTGAGCGGCGCGAAGCGTATTTCGTACTTCTCCATCTCAACCACAACATTCTTATAGGGATCAGACTTGTCCTGGACTTTCTCCACCGTAACTTCTTCTGATTTCTCCTCTGGCACATCCGGTTTCTTCTCCACGACCTCGACAGCTTCGACTTTCGCCGGTGACTCACTGGTGAGATCATCAATTGACTCAGTGATGCGAAGCACAATGTCACTCTCCTCCTGGGCTTTGGTGACTTGGAACTTTGGAGCTTCCCTCTTCTCTCGCCTGGGCACAGGAACAGGAATCGCCATCTCTGCACTCTCTTTGGCTTCCTCCTCGACCGCTTCTGATGCTTCTGAGCTCTTCACGAAACTCTCAATTTCTGCGGTTAAATTCGAAATGGCCACCGCCTCAACGGGCTTCTGGTCATCCTGCAAGGACAAGAGGAGAATTATTCTGACTGCTTCAGACGCAGCACAATCACTTATGACTTGGCTGATGAGAAATTTTGAACAAATTTCCGTCGCATTTCCTGCCTGAGAGCACGAAATCGACCCATTAATCCCTTCTTCTTCCGCTTCAGGACGATTGCATGAGGAAATTCAATGAAGGCTCTTATTAATCCTGGCACGAAGCTTCTTGCCAATTCCCAGAAATTGCAACTCACCTTCTCAACAGTTTCTACGGTGATCTTTGGCGTTGGCGGAGGCGGAGCTCGTCTCTTCTTCCTCACGGGCTTCTTCGCCGATCCGCTCGCTGCAGATCCCGAAGCTGATGCCTGATTCTCCTCGTCTTCGAAAGGATTTGTGCTGTTCAAGCTCTGCTGAGAAGAGCTGTGAAGAGAAGAAAAATCATCAGATTGCTGAAGCTCTTTACGTGTGAGAATAATCTCACCTGTGCGCGATGTGATTATCGGAATAGCGCGAGGACAGCTGAGGTGTCTTCGATCCTCCTCTGTGGACAAAGTCCTGGCCATTCTGCATAGTGTTCCTGTACTTGTCTGTGCGACTGAAGGCGGAGTTCTGCTGGAAACTGCTCATGTCCTGCAGTGAACTTCGGTACCTGGCGCTTCGCTGGAAGCTGTTGTTGAGCCCCACAGAGACAGTGTGCCTGGAAGAGGGATCCAGGGTGTGATAGACCCGATCCGGATCGTGTTCCTCCACCATGAGAGTCCTCCTCAGCGGTGGAGGACTCTCAGACGTCTTGTTGATGCCCAGAGTTGAGGATTTCTTCCTCAGTCGGAAAGACTTTAGCGTCCTGCAAAAATCCCCGAATCTATCATGCCAATCAGGAGGAAATACTTCCAATCAACCTCACCATAACTCTCTGATTCCATCGAGGCTGAAGCTGTTACTTCTCTTCACCTTGCCGTCGGACTTCCTGCCGATCTTCCAGAAACGCAGTCTCTTGTGCTGTTCATCCTCGTAGAAGGGATTCAAATGCTCAGGATAATCGTAGATGGATATTTGACTGGACGTTCGTCCTCCGAACTTCTTCCCATTCATTGTCTTCTGAAGCCATTGTGCGTCAATGCATAGAGAAAGAAAAGAAGTGCATATTGATGTAATTGCAAAACAGCGCGCGCTTCAGTGAATAACAATTAACAAAAGACAGTTTTTTCTGCACCGCCTCTTTCCTTATTAAACCAGTATAAAGAAGACAGTCTCGCGGGTGACTTTTGTGTGTCGCTCGCTCGTGCACCCAAAAATATCCACATTCCGTCATCCAGTTTTATTTTATAGTTGTGCAGAAATAACAACAAATACACGCTCTTTAATTCACATTCACTCAAATATGAACAACATTCTCCCCCAGAGAGTGGAGAGAAAATGTTTGCCGGTGCATTTTAGGGCATTCTCTGTTGATCTTTGATAGGACACAGAGTCATCCTGAACAATCTAGCGACACACTGACTCCGAAGGTGAATGACTCCGCGGCGATATGTAAATGTTTCCCTCCCACAGAAGCGCACGAGTGAAGACAGCAATTGTGTCTCTAAAGTCCCTCCACAGATATCCACTGATAAGTCTGTGCTAATGATTTGAATAAATAGGAGAGATTGGGGCAAAATAGTTGCCATATATGATGTGAATTGAGGTCATACGCGAAGTGTGTTTTAATATTTCGCTTATGCCTGGCGATAAAATTCATCAGTCGAAGAGTTCAACTGAAGTGTGGAAACCATGAAAAAGGTCAAGAAGGTCACTGTAAAAGCGTGGTAAACAAACAACACAGAAGAGATTTCGCGATAGAGGTCTTGATTATGATTAAACTATATGTTTACTTCTGCTCTGCAATTCGCTAAAACTCTGTGAAAATGAGGATACATTTCGCGACAGAGAATCAACACCCAAATCACTCTGCATCAACATCAGAAAGCACGTTCGTGACCTTTCTCATGGCCTGGCATTTCGTGTCCCTTTTCTGCTGTATTTGCAGAAATTGATTGAGAGTGGCAAACACGCTTAAAATAGTTGCCCTTCTCCCATGGAAAATAATCAATTAAATTGACGTCAGGTGCAAAAATCGATATGAAATGGAACTTTTCTCTCCAATAAATTCTCCCATCACCTTGAACGCATCCTTTCTTCACACATTAGTGAATTTTTTATCACTCCAACATGTGAGACTTTTTCCTTGACTTTAATCACTCAGAAAGAGAGAAAATGTATAGAGAAATTGTCTGCACGAATTGTAGTTAATTAACGTGCGGTTTCAGCTCTTAGTCGCGATGATAAGAGAGGATCTCTGAAGACTGATAAGGCACTTTTTTCGCTTATTAGATAACTTCCAAATGCCTGGAATCGCGTCATATCAGGACGAATCAAATTCTACCTGAAATTTTGCTCCAGACGATAAGATAACAGAGTGATTGCGCGAGTGAATTTCTTCTGTGGTGGAAAATAAACTTGCAATCTTGTGCCGCGAGAATCATCGCGAAAAGTATCACAGAATGTGCTAATAGGAGTTCCTCCATTAGCAAATATGTGCTGCCGCTCTGAGAACGTCTGAAGACGCTAAATGTTTAGCGACTGTGCGCGCAGAGATCTTCATTTGTGAGACACAAACATTCCAACTATCTCTCAATGATAACTCGCTTGCATCACAACCCAATTCAATTGCCACTGATAATTGGTATTGAAAGGCATTGGCACAGTTTCACCAATTCATTTTCCATGCATTATTATACAATTCACGGATATTCTCTCTCTCTCTCATCTCGACGCTCTTGTGGATGGAATTAAGCGATTTAAGCCATCCAGAAAGACATAAAAACCAACCATTACTAATTCCCCCCTATTTTTCTCCCATTATTCCGCGATTGTGTTGAGCAAAAACAAACAAGCAGCCAAGTCATTCAGAGAGTTCACCACAAATCAGTCATTTGCACACTTGGAAATTGCGCAACAAACCTTGATTCTTTTGCACTCATTAACAAAATCCTAATTGGGGATTTTAATTGCACTTCTCTGCAGCCTCGAAACTCCCTCAGATTTCACTGTGGAGAAGTTAACTTTCTCGTCAGAATCTCACTCAGAAAACCAGTGCTAGTTAGAGTGTCTAAAAATAGCCACATGAACACTTTTTCTCATCCGCACTGGCTTTTCTTTCCACTGGCGGAATAGAAAAAAAACAGCGCGATGAACACGTCAGAGTTTCACGAGGAGGAGTGTCGAATATTTGGGGACCCCGCCAGACGAGAAGCCGTGAGTTGCGATCACGTCCAAGCGCACGACTAGAGGAGTAGTTTCCATTTCACCTATGGCCAAGTCATGAGGCGCTTGGCAGCCCGTGTATTGGTGACTCTCGCTTAATCACACATGTAAGCACCGGTTTTAGCGCTAAACTCTGCCAAATTGCTCATTTTGTCGCCTCACAGCCGGAAGAAAGCGACGATCTGGCTCACATTCTGCAGGATTCTCCGATTGGCAGTGGAGACGCCGGGTACCAGGCGTCTCCACTCACAAATTTAAGCCTTCTCAGCGCCTCAGCCGCTCTGCGGCTCGCTCGTAATTTTCGTGTGTTTATGAACTCACATTAAATATTGTGATTGTGATTACGCGACCAGCGATAAGATACGCAAGACTGCTGGAAATCTCAACTGAAAAAATTGAGCAATACAAGTCTTCATGACGTGGATTAATTAGAGTGCTAAAATGGCACGAAAGAATAAGACGCTCAGGCAGGAACTCCCACATGAAAATCTTCACCCACGGGTGATGATTTTGTGTGGCCTTCATTGCGCCAGACTGGAAAGTGTAGCGCATGATAAGCCAATGTGTTGCTAAGCTCTTGGCCGATGGGATTCTCCGGAAACCGCATGTAGTATAAACAAAATGCAGGCAGAAGACAAATAAACTACAGAATTATCAAAATTTCTAATCTAATCTAATATTGGAAAAGCTGACTAATATTATTGAATTGTGTATGATTTCAATATAACTGGAAAATTCGAATTACAACCATACAAATTCCACTTCAAATACAATAGAAGTCTGTTTGTACAAAGTGTTAATTAGTTCACATTGCTTTCTTCAGCCAAGGCAAAACTCCTTCACAGAAATTCCATTTGCTTTCCTCGCTTATCAAGCGTCTTGGGATAATAATTTGGAATAAATGTATTGAAAGCGGAAGTTCTTCCATTAGCATTTTCTCAATCATAAATTCACACGTCTCAAAACATCAAAATTCAATGTTAATTTGAGGCAATGAATTGCTCTTTCTCTGCCACAATTTTCCACCCGCTTTTCACTCAATCATCCCGACGTTTTCTTGCAAAACACCGATGGTTTCCCTTTGATTAATTTCCCGTGAAATTTCATTTCCACACATGAGTATTGGGCGCTCATTGGCAGCAATATCGGCACTCACAATTTTGGACACAAGGCAGTAATATCTCTGCTTCATACCATGAGCACAGAGAGCACAGCGATGGGTCTCTGCAAAGCTCCCCCGAAAGTGTGTGTTTACAGCACATTTCTCTCCGTGGCAAAGTGTGTCATTGATAAAAGCTTCGGCGGAGCGAGAGAGCTTTTCTGCGAGCGTGCAAAACACTCTGAGAGAATCGAACATTTATTGAGTGGATGGTTGGATTCTGATTTTCATACACGTTTCATTCTCTCACGCCTCTCACTTTCTCTCACTCACACACTCAATTCTCTCTTATAAATTTAGCGAAAAAGGCTCCACGACGTCGTCGTCGACAGCCGAAACACACGTCTTATGAAAATTCACAGATGTGCTGTGACTTTTCCACTTGTCTCTCCTCTTGTGTGCTCGGGTGCTGAAAGTTCCATCGAAATTTTGCCCAAAAGGGGCACAGATTGCGGAGATTTTCCACCATGGAGGCTCTGACGCGACGCTAAGTGCTGCATTTAATCAATTAGTTGGCGTTTTGATGCGCCCCCAGTGAGGCATTGGCGAAGGGAGAGCTTTTTCCTCTGCAATTTTCCACACCACCCCAACACATACACACCCACCCCAGATTTATCATGTCTCTTGTGCCAGAGAGAACAGTGAAAGAATCCGCTGACTGTCTATTTGCACACTTGTGATTTATCGACACCAGATCGACGAAGAAGTGGTCCATCGAATATTGTGTGAAAAATAGTTGTGTCACATATATAATATCTCTGTTGTCAGTGTGTGATTTCTTCATATTATAAATCCCAATTGTTACAATTTACTCTCTAATATATATAAATCAGCACACGGAGCGCCGAAAGTCTCATCCGTCCCGAAATCCAGGAGGAAGGAAAAGAGCACAGAGAAAGGCGAACTACACTTTGCAAAATCGATAGCCATTTCGCTTGTGTGTGCCAAAATAGGGAACATTAAGGGAAGGCTGAGGAGGAAAAAAAAAAGTCTTCACGTTGAAATCCGTGTGTGTTAGTGGCCGCAGAGTCGTTGATTTGCACAATTAAGAGATCCGCATAGTAGTGAAATAAAAGTGGAGAGACTCGCGTCGATATTCCATTGTACACACTCAATACCTTTTTCTTCTAACTCCGCATATAAATTACCATGAGCAATTAGACCAAATATAGTATCGCATTTCATTCACTCGTGCACGTCACACACCATAGGCTAAAGCCACAGTGCAAACATTCGTCCAGAACAGTGACATACACACCGGAAATTCGCCTCCATCCCAGGAGACAACAGTGTTAATGCGATTTCATCTGAGGCCGTGCGTGAACGCACACCACAGCTTATCATATTGATATCGACAGAGGAATCGTATTGGCTTGGCGCACAGAAGTACGCACCTGTGATTAATTGCCGGAGGAGCTCAATTAGTCCCCCTCAGCTGCGCCACAGCAGAATGATGCCAAAGACATTCTACACAATATCCGACGAGCATCTTTCGAGCGCACTCAGTAAATCTCTCAATCCATCGAAATTGCAATTGTTGATGGACAAAATTGGCAATGAGGTGAGAAAACAGCACTCAAATACTTTATTCCAACACAATCTGCCCGCCAAAGTCTGAACACTGAGAACATTGTGTGTTCACACTTTTGCGAATACAAGCGCTAATCCTTATATTTTATGTAACTTAAAAATTCATCTCTGTCTTCTCTATGTCCCTGCTCTCTCTCTCCTCTCTCTCTCTCTTGCTCACACTCATTCATGTTTGATGTGATTTGACAGAGGGCGAAATTTTATTCTCCCGTCAACTCCCCATCCACACACGCACACCCCCCTAATGGCTATCATTTCCTCCTCGTTATTCCATAACATTCCTCTTCCTGCCCGCCTTCCTCACCTGGCACAAGATAAAATATTTCCTCGTCGAGAGAGATCTCTTCCTATTATATTGGCTACGCGTGGGCGGATGAATTCTGAGCTTTTTCCCGTCTCCCATGGCTACACAGCCACCCCCTCGAGGGGTGTCACTTTCCATCATCAATTCGCCCATCAAAATCACCCCCCAGAGTTTTCCAATTGCAATTGTCGTGGAGCTTCTCAATGGCCTCCTCCATGAGTGTTTGTATCATTCACGGGAGAGCTCTGCCACCCCGATGAAAAAGCCCACATCGCATTGTATATGTAACACACTCCCGAATCGTCGTGTGAGCTTTTTTGCAAACCCACCCTCGCCTCGTGTGCCTGCGCCCGTTGTGTATGGAGTTGGTGACGTAATTTTGAGCGGGAGATGTGAAGACAAACTTGAGGGGCTTTCCATTTAACATACACCAGCGGCATCCGGAGTTGAAAGGGTCGAGAATGGTACAAAGGCAGATGAAATTGGGATTTACATTGTGTGGGAAAATTCACAAGAGTTACCAATAATGTAGCCTCAACATTACGTAAAACCACCGATACTCATGTCGTGTACTGCAGTTGAACTTGATAAATCTCTATTCATAGCTATATATTCATTAGTGAATGACGGAAAGCAGAGGAACTCTCTTCTTTGGCCGTGACCGAACTGCTGACTTTCCAGCTCTGGGCCACATTAACCCGAAGCAAAGGCAACCATTCACACCAAAATACACACTCACACACACACATAAATAAAAGGCATTGATGAACACATTTTCCGTGGGGGTGAGTTTGAGGAAAATTACGCGTCAAATGAGAGATGACTATATTACATCAAAGGGGTCACCCACTGAAGTCTCACCCCATCTTCAGGAGAGCGCCTTCTGCCCACCCGTAAAAGCTCTCGTGTAAGCCACAGAAGTAAAATGATACTCTCCATTCAGCCAGGGGCTTCACCCCCTGTACTTATACTCCGCTCATTGGGCTTTTCGGGTCCTCTAATGACGTATTCTTCGCCCGTATATATATAGAGCTTCTCCTCCGCCAGAATAGGGGTGTTCATGCGGAATTTGAAGAGACAAAAAAGTGGGTGGGAAGCCAGAAAAATACATTGAAAATCAGTGGAAGAGAATCATCATTAAATTCATTCTTGGGCTTCCGTCTCCCACTCTTATCCACTCCACCGTTCCGCGGCACACATACATAGCACGCGAAGGGTGGAAAAATCTCTCAAACTACCTCTCACGTCATTTTCTATCACTTTTTTCCACTTCAATTGATGTGATTTATTGTGACATAGGAAAATATTCCTTCCTCTTTGCCGTATCTTTTCTTTCTCCTCCTTTTGGCTCCAATCTACTGCGAAATCGCCAAAGTATTTTACGATGATGTACATAGACACACAGAAGATCTCACGAGCATATAATTTAAACAATTTTTCATTCGGGGTGATATAATAAAAACCGCCTTTCGCAATATACACAAAATTATCGGAGTTTGTTGGCGCTCACAATAAACGTGCAAAGTAGGGAATATTCTAATATGAGAGATACACTTGCGCTCGTACTTGATGTTTCTGTTTGTTTACATTAAATTTGCCTCTTCTATTTTCCACCCCGCGCGCCCCAATTTTTCCACACTCCATCATCATCACGCGGAGCGCACAATTTTCCGTAGTCACCGCACGGCTCTCAATGGCGCACGTCGCGAAAAGGCATCATATCCGAAATACACGGAATTTTCGCCCATTTTCACACTGGCAAAAGTTTAATTCGATAAAACTGGAGGCGTCCCGAAATAAATTTTCCACACGCCATATAATGGAATTCTTATTCGGTCTTGTTGTTATTATTATTGTTGGTGTGGCTCTGTTGCTTAAGCCAATTTCCCTACCATTCACATCTCATGTTTACTTATTATTACCACCATGTGCGCGTGTTTTTACACTAGATAGAAGCTCTTCTTGCTCACCTCGAAGTGGCGCTAAAACCAAATGCGTCCACGAATAGGTTTGCTCAATAAGTTTCCAGACCGCGAAACGACGCGAGGAAATGCAAACAACGCTATTAGTTTTTTTTTAAAACGTCTCTTTGATCACATTTCTGGAAAAACCACAAGACAAGAACGGGAATTTGATTAACTTATCAAGTTCAGTATAGAATCTTCAAGCAAATTAGAATTAATACGGCTAATATGAATAATATTAGAGAAATTATCCGTGAATAGAGAAGCTGAGAAGAGTTTGAAAGAAATCAATAAAACAAGTTGTTTATTGAACAGATTGTCTGTCCATTAAAAGTGTTGGTTTCTTTATAAAAATACACAGTAAATAACAATAGAAACTTTTTATGAATCAAGTCGGAAGCAAATTGGACAAACCACATAAATATATAAAGGCTATAAATATGAGATGAGAGGAAAAAACTACACATTCGTTCTATTGCTGGACAAATAGATCCTCACACTCTCGCCCCTGCTGTCGCTTCTTCCGCCTTCTGTATGACACAGTAACAGGGCGCCCTTCACCCCCTTCCGCGTCGCGCGATATCGGCGCGGTTGTTGGTAAATTGGATGTGCATATATAGATTTTTTTTATGCCATGTATACACATTCAGCAAATTGGCGATAAGATATATTTTAGATACACGCTGTGTATTACGTATTTAGTTTTGTAGCTCAGCTACGGCCAAAATGTTGAGCGAGCGAGAGCGAGAGAGAGAGAGAGAGTGAAGAAAAACAAGCTTAAAGCTCCACAATCAGCAAGGTCTCTGCTGTGTGGCATAAAAATATCGACTTTATCGGGAGCGCAGTGGAAAATTGGCCGTGGGGGAAAATCAAAGAATTACATAACATTCGTAAGCCGCAATTCTCATTAGCGTCAAGACTCGAGAGCCCTTCCATCATCCGCCCAAGAGCCCATCGTGATTTCCCCGCACCCCCGGACATTGTCTAACACATGGGTCGTCCTTGGAAGTTTCCCTCCTTCTGGTGTGTCTCCTTGTTGTGAAATATTTTGCACAACAAGCGAGACCGTCGAGCGAAAAGTTTGAAGCACCACAAGAGTTGAGAGGGGAGAAAAAAAAAACAATTTTCTCCAAGACCAATGCTGCAAAATGAGGCGAAAATTTATCCCGAAAATCCACCCCGCGCGGCGCGCTCTCCCTGGGCATAAAGTGGAATTAAACAATTTAATAAGTCAAATATTTGTCATGTGCGTATGAGAGTATTTTTCCCGCTCCCCCACGGAGCGAGACAGCGGCGGGTGGGAAAAGCGGGAGGCGGTGAAGTGTGGGTGGCGCAAGTGAACCTTTAAATAAATTCACACATAAAATTATAATGAGATCCTCACGTACAACCTTCAGATGGTACACAAAATGTGTGGCAGAGTTGGACGGTGCGCAGAGAAATGGCTGGAAAATAAAGAGTCACAGTCCTCCGAGTATTGCTGGCATCTCTCTTTCGTCTGAGTAGTTTCGAGACGCTCCTTTGCCACCCCGTCGCCCCGGTATTAAGGTCAATGGTGATAATATTGATTAGTTTGAGGTGACACACTCAACAAGATTGCACATTCACCCCAACCGCAAGAGTGATCATAAATTGTATTTATATATTTTTTACGATGTCATATTCCGAATGGATTCCATTTTTCAGCATCGCTAAACCCCCTCAATTAATTGAATTGCTGGTCAATTATTTGCTGAATGTGATTGTGGCCATTTTCCGTGTTGTGCTTTTCTTCCCGGCTTCAATAAATTGCCATTCTCTCCATGCCTCCAATCTTTCGCATCCCTCAGCGTACAGTGGTGACAATTCAATTACGTGCGCATTTCGGCTCACGCGCAATCCTTATAAGGAAAACTCCTTGGGAACTTTCCCACAGATTGACTGTCAGAGAAACTCATTACAAACTCAGGTCTGTTTGTGTGTTTGTGTGAGTGGAAATAACAGAATGCAGATTTTCCATCAGTGTGCCCCTAATTGAGTTTCACCCACTGTAGAGGGTTTCCAGTGATTCCCTCCCACGCACATTACCAGCCATGATTTGTGCGATTTTTTTTGTCTTACAATATTAATTAATTTCTTTCTCTCTCTCTCTCTTTCTCTCTCATCTTGCTCCTTGTTTCATCTCATCAACACGACACAAAACACACCAAAACGTGGACACACACATCACTCACTCAATTGGCTGGCTATTTTCTCCCCCATAATAATACACTTTTATCTGCTGGCTTCGGCGAAAACCATCGAAATTCATCACAAATTGATAACACAAACACTCCAACAACAACAACAACGGTGTGCGGACGTAATTGAAGGTGACGGAAGCATCTCACAATACAATTTACGTCCCATTGAAGAACGTTCAGGTGAAATTGAATCGAAACACAGTTAGTATTAACAACGAGAATTTGGACGTGGAATTGCTGCAACTCTTGTATCAGTCATACTATAACGGCAAATTCAGCAAGCTGGCTCACAAACCGCCCAAGGAGCGTTTGCGCGTCACCTATTTCGATGACTTTAATCTGTTCCGGCGCGAGGGCGACCCACCCGCCGGGCCCGCGCCCTCCCTGGCGCCCACCGACGCCCGTGTGACAACTGCATCGTGCAGCGAGCTGTTCTTCAGCCGCGGCGAGCGCGTCTTCCCCACGGAGTCGGACTGGAGGACGTCGAAGCCCACCTATGTGGCCAGTAGTGATGAGCACATCGGCCGCTCAACACCGGCAGGAGCCACCAAGCCGCCCGAGCCGTCCGCCGATGGGAAGCGCACCATGAGCCAGGCATCGGCGTCATCCACCCCCACGGCGGGGCGCCGCGTGGAGGAGATCAGTACGCAAACGACGTAAGTTGCATCCAAAAAGCCCCACAGAACACACGCACACAGACACACACTGGCCACACAGAAACCGCGGAGAATCACTGTCAATGCCGCATGAAGTGGATTTGATTCACATTTTCGGCCAAACTTCGTGCTCATTAATTTTTTATGTCGCACAGAGACACACCAATTTGAACACTGTGAACACAACCCCCCAATTCAGCATTCGCTACAGCCAAAATAACCGCCGATATAATTACATTTACGCGGCTGTTTCAGACGCGGATTTCCCCCCGCACACTCCCGCCCCCATTATTATTTCCACTCAATAAATCCTCCGGACCTCGGCTCCCAATCAATCAATCAATTAGACACTGACCAGACCACACAATTGTATTTTAAATTATTTAGTACTATGATTTTGCACCGCATTTCCAACCCCGCGCGCGGTTTAAGATGCGATTCCGGGATTTCTTGGCCTCAATTCAAGACATTCCGCCTCCCCCCACACTCCAACACCCTCCCCTCCGACCATTTGGGTAATTAATTGAAAAATTCCAAACAAACATTCCCTCGTGCGGAAAAGTTCTCTCCTCACCCAACCAATTTATGACAAATCTTCACTTCGCCTCGCTCGTGGAAAAATACTTTACAATAATATGCTTTTTCCCATCGACCATTGAATGCTGTGTGGCATATTTTCACTGATCCCTCTTCGTCTTCGAAAACAGACCCACGGACAATCTCAGCAGCTCAATCCCAAACTGTGTTGTGGAGAGTGAAGAAGAATGGGCAATAGTGTAATCCACTGAATGATCCATTAACACGATTAACACTCACAGAGCGCCACGAGATAATTGTAGTGCAAAAGGATTCTGCACATATTAGTGAAAGATTATGTCGTCTTTGGGATTCAATTCAAACTACAGTCCAATTAGCAATGATTACAGTGATTTCTCTTAGGCCACACCCCCTCGAAAGCTCCGCCCACTGTTCTGTTTTCAATTAAGTGAGAGCAGTAGTCTAGAAATTGATGACTTTTCGCCCACTTTCTCGTCTAAGACCGAGCATCTGGCGAATATCCTATTCACTCTGGCGTGGAATTCCACTTCAATTCGCAAATACAGCAGAAATTGAAAAGCCAGAGCTGTGAGGAGCCCTAATACGACGTATACAATATTTTAATATAATTTGGGATTATTTCTCACTTGCTTATTCACATCTTGAGATTTTCATGTGGACTTTTTACATTCGCACGCCGTTTCTCCAACCAATAAATGGCTAAAAATATACACCATCATATTTTTTTTACCAATTCACACACCCACAGTCTCTCCATCGCCCATGATTTCCCTCCTGAGAGACATCATGCAAGATGGCAAGGAAAAAAAAAGATTGGATAGCACTGTCATATGAGAATTCATATCTCCGCACCCGCACTCTCTTTCGCCTTGTGTGTCGAGTCTGGGGCGAATTGCCACTGATAAAAGATCCCCCGCATTGGCTTCGATATCGCGCGCGCACCGTTGAAATTGAAATTGTTTGGAGAATCCAACCGACACACATTTTCTCTCGCATCTCTCGCCTTCTCCCTCTCTCATCCACAGCCAGTGCCGCATAGTGTTATTCGCCTCGTTGGATTCTCTACGGTTTTGCACATTACGCGAGTAGTGTACAATTTTATTTTTCCTCGCACCATTCGTGCTCAGGACAGTAGTGCAATTGAGAGCAATTTGGCTGGCTTCTGGCAGTGTTTTGTGTGACTCTCATGGTCTCGTGTGGTGGCCCATAAGGCACATCGTTTGCCGCCAAATGTTGAATGGCGCGTTGGGTGAATATTGCCAGGCTATTCTGTACACGGTGTTCTGGAGACGACCAGGAGATCCGAGGTGAGGCGTTCTGAGGTTCACCCAGAAACACTCTTATATGGCTTCACTATGTGCGAGAAGAGTGTGTTATTTTAATTAAATAAACACCTCTTTTTGTATGTCGCCCAGTGGAGACGAAAACTCTTCCACCTCTCGCGCCCTTCCCATTATATTTTGAACTCACTCAATTTACATGACTCTAGAGACACGCGTGTTGAGACTTTTCTTCTGCCATGTGTAGGTGTTTTTCCCACTGATTGTGATTTTGCTGCACTTTAAAGACCGCCAGTCTTTGTGCAGCATTTTCTCAGGTATTTTTAATGACAAATGTAGGTGGTGTGTTCGCTAGTGAATTGTCAACGCTTGTGTCTTTGAGAGGGTAATTAAAATAACGTGAAGAGTGTTAGGGAAATACTGTAAGTCGTGTGTGCAATTTATTGTGAAAATCGTGCGCTGTTTTGAGTGTGATACTGGCACTTGAGAAGGTACAACTGTGCACCCAAAGCCCTGATAAGCCCACGTCTCTGCTCCACTCATGAGATTTGTGATTCTTCTCTAACAAATGCACTCATTACTATTGCATTGTAATCATGTTAGAGACTGTTCAAATTGCATTTCAACGACAGTGCGATCAAATGTGATGAATTAACCAAGTTGTGTTGCTTTCATTTGCTTATCAACCATCCTAAAAGGTCTTAAAGTGACTTATGTTCTCTCATTGAGTCACAGAACTGTGAATTCTGTACAGAATCATGTAGCTTTATGCTAACTTCGCACGGCTCTCATACAGAAATACATTATCTGCAGTGAGAGAGCAGAGATAAATTGAATTAACATTTATTTCAAACACGTTTTCATCATCTGCAACTCTTGATTGTGTGTTCTTTGGCTGTTCAATTGTATGAAAAATTTCACATACACGCAAAGTACAAATAGTCAATAATTTCCCCTGAATATTTCCCTTATCAGAAACCTTAAAAAAGTGTGTGTGTGTGGAAAGCTTGTGAAAGAGGTGAAGAAGAGAGATATCAAAGAGAGTCGGTTTTTGATAAATTTTGTAGATTGGAAATTTGGTGTAGCCTTAAATTGTGAATGTTGAGCATTGTGAAGAATGTTTCACGCCTGGCCAATGTGCAGAGGAATTGCCGGAGGAACATCAGTGTGAGTGTTGAGAATCTTCCCTTCTGGTGAACAGCAATTTATCGTGGCAAAGTTTTGCAAGAGTGAGAATGTGAAAACATGAGAATTTAGACAACTTTCGCCACTTTTCTCGTGTCTCCGGGGGAAATGGCACATTTGCCACTTAATTGGATGGCATGAGTTCACAAACGAGGAGAGTGTCTGACACCTCCAATCATCGCTATCTATCGATATATTTAAATGATGGCTGAGTTAGTCTATTTTCGTGCAACTTGAGTCGACATCCAGCGCGCAAACTAATGTGGAGAGAGACGCTCAGCCATCATCGTCACTGGATGTGCAATAACACAATAATGCAATAAAATTGACCATTGGGGAGAGATGAACAGCCTCTCGGTTACTATTATTACTCTTTGGGGGTGCCCATTGAAGATCGATATGGCAAAAACATCCTCACTCTCCCCCGGGAAAATCACATTAACGCATCAATATCATTAGCCAGTGGTTCATGAGTCAATGTAATTTTCTAATTTTCAATGTTCCCGCTCGGGTACAAAAGCATTCAATTACTAACAAATTACCTCTGTGTCTCATCTATCTTTTTTCTCTCACATTCTCTTCCCTCTTCCACAACCCGTTTGTACATACAGAATGACGGTGGCAACAGCATTGGAAAATGTGGAAACCAATTGTGGTGAGTTGAAGCCTCAAAAAGTGTGTATGTTATCCCCCTTTTTTCGCGGTGGAGGTTAAAGCAGAAGTATAGAGTCTCTCTCTCTTATCGTAATTCAATATACAAAATGTGTGACTACCTGACGCCTCCACTTGAGCTTCTCAACACTTTTCAGCCATGAAACTCAATTAAAACTTATGACTCAACTTTCATGATTTAACCCATGCCCTCTCACCCTAAATACAGGTGACTTGGTGTCTGGAAACACTGTGAAAGTTCATCTGGAACGTGCTAAGGATACGTCATTTGGGATATGCATTGTTGGTGGTCAGGTAAGTTCACTAATTTCCACACATTCCCACTCACGGTGGGGCGGGTTAGTTACGGGCTCAGGATTTATGTATTTAGGCCACAAGCTTTTCAATTCATCATTGAGAGCTTTCAGAGCCTGAAATAGTTACTTTCTAGGACGAAATAGCCTCTATCTCTATAGCACATTACAAAAACTGGGCAAATTAACTACACACAATACGCAAAACCACGAGCATATTTAAACAAAATAACAAATTGAAAAAGCTCACAGTACATTTCCGCCAGTGTCTAAATTGGAATTTCCATGGCGGTGTTATTGTTATGATCTCTGGACATGGGTGAAAAGTGCAACACTCTTGCATATAAAGGTTAATTGCGCATGGCATCGGAGTGCATCGAATTGCAAGAGTGCACTGAGAGAAATGGAGAGCGTGGTACTTATAGGGCCTGAGGATATCAATGCTGTGATTGAAGTCCTTGCAATATGACTAGTCTCGTGGCACATTTCTGCCGAGCAGCATCACATTTCCCGCGCGCGCGAGACATTTCACTTCCTTCCGGCCAATTTGAGTCGCGCACAGAGTATATAAATTCCTGTACTTTTGCAAGACACGATCAAAGTGAAGACATAAGAAGCCACAATTGTAATCGATTTGACTGCCGACGTTTTGCTTCGTGTTTTTCAGCATTCTTTAATGATTCGATTGCGTGCCAAAGTCCACACAATTCCCTCACGAAGACACTAAACTTTTTCTCTGCCACAACTTTTCCTCAATGGATAAATTATACCATTAGTGCGATATTGCTTGGCAAAAAGGACACGGAGCATTCACTACACACTTCCACCACATACATTATGTAGTGAGAAAGAGAGGAATAACAAGGAAAGCGTCCAAGACTGTGTTCAGGCCATAAACTCTGTCGCAAGATATTTTCCGTGGGTGAGTTTTCATACATACTAATAGTGCAATGGGAAAATATTACATATGATGCAGAGAGAGAGAGTGAGATTACAAGGAGGTGTACAATTGTACAGAATCACAAGTTCCAAGGCATCACAGCCACATATATAAGTTTCTTCTCACAAAAGCGCTTTTGTGGCGTGACCTTCTCTATAAATGCGAAAAGAGACCGAAACGCAGGTATATATGTACAAAAGGCTCGTTTCAATCAACAGATTTGTGTACTAAAATTAAATAACTCTCCGCAGTCCGAGGCACAACAATTGCATTCGCAAATGGAATGATAAATGAGTTTTCCGGCTGCACGGGTAATTTTCATGGAAATCCTCTACATATAGAGAGAGAGAATGGAAATAAGCACCTTGCCATGTTGCCAAAATATCAACCAACACCCGCCTCAATTTTCCACTCTTTGCACACTTTCTCTGTGTTTATCACAGGAGGAGAAAATGTAAAGAATAAAATGGGATAATGTCCAATGAAGATAATATTATAGGGTAAATCCAAATATGTACATGTGACTGACTTTTCCGAATAAATTTCCACATCAGTAGTCATTTAACTCCTTTTTTCCACTGCTCCTTGTGAGCCCACTTTCGCCACACATACACACACACAATCTCAATGGAAAAAGGGCCTTTTTCGCACCCAAAATAAAATATATGTATACACAAATAAATGTGTCACACTCACCCCACTTCTCACCCTCACCGTCCAATTCAAGTGTCCACCCTTTCCCCACATTTTCCCCCAGAATATCTTCCATATTTCACTTCATATTTCTGCAAGCACTATACTTTTTTTTATCCGACTGTTTCTCTTTTAAATGACACTCTCGCATATTCAAAGGACTTTTCTGTCTCTCCCACCACTTGTGCCCATCCTGTGAATGCCCCTCTGAATGAACCCTTTTATTTTTTCCATTTCTCTAGATATCCTGCTGCTTCATGGCACTCGGAGTGTTGTAAACACTGTGTTAAATACTTCCTCAGGGATGTCACAAAACTCTAATAATTTCCCCAGGTACACACCATCGCTCCCTTTGCTTCTATTTCCTCTAAAAAAAAAAGAAAAGACCTCCGCTGTGTATTTCTGATCCATCGATTTTCACCATTTTCACTCAATCCTTCTATTCTGGCCATGTGAAAAAGTCCTTTTTGCATTGTTCTGCATTTATGCTCTACTTGTTCAATATATTGCGACCAACATATGAGGAGGCTAGAGGACATTTTGTGTTGCTCTTTCATGAGAATGAAAGCCACACCACATGTTCAATTAACTTACAGAAGATGACGGCATTTCAGGGGGAGAGAATGGGAAAGTTTGAACACACTTGTTAAGCACAAGTTTTTGGGGTTGAAACATAAAGAGAGATATAATCAATGCTGCCAAATCATACTCGGAAATCTGATGCATTGATTGCATTCGCATTGCCACATTCTGTGAATTTTGATTATTCAATCAACCGACAATGCTCGCAAGTCAATGGACACTTTTTTCCACACCCACACACTCTTCCTCCCCCCCTTCATTGTGCCCACAATATGGAATATGTAATGGCACAAATGTAATCACATTTTAGCCAATCACGCCACTGAAGTCGAACTGTTTGAAATTTCTGCTTTCATTCATATCCATATAACAAACACTGGAAGAGGCACAACTATTGAAAGCACGCATTCAGTGCGGTGAATACAAATAAATAGCAAATTAACTCTTTGGTCGCATTTGAGTGTCACACAATTTCCACGCGAGAATCTCCACTGAAAATGCTGAAAGTGTGCTTTTAGTAGTGTGTATTGAGAGATAGAGGAAAATTGAAAAGTTGCCTTACAAGTGTGTTTGGAGAAGTCTCTCTTGTGTAAATCATTGGGAAGAAGAAGGCTCAGCTAAAAATACTTCAATGTCTTTAGTGTTTAACATTTCCAATTGATTTGGGGCGCGCGCTATTGTAGGGGAAGAAGAGAAAGAGGTGAAGATTTGAATTTTAACACGCACACACCGCCCAACACCCACACTGCGTGGCATTTTATATCATCGCTCGTCTCTCTCGCTCTGGCAGGTGAATCTGTCGGGCCACAGCAAAATCGTTGGAGTGTTCATCAAAAACATCATCCCCGATAGTCCGGCTGACAAGTGTAGCCTGTTGAAGATTGGCGATCGGATTCTGGCTGTGGATGAAGTGAATCTACGTGACGCCTCACATCAATTTGCCGTCAGTGTGATCAAGAACGCTGGCCTATCGATTAATCTACTCATCGAACGCTTCAACAAATGGGTAAGTCACTCCTTCTCACATCTCGATAATCAAATTAAACACTCCGCCAGATGAGAGACAGTGTTTGGACAGACGTGTAATGTAATCTGTCTGTCTTCTTTGCCTCAGCAAAATGATATTTTCAACGTGTGCGACGGTGATGACAGAGCTGTAGCATTGGAAAAGCGTCAACCACCACCTGTAACACCGTCCATAACACCTGAACTAATTGTGGTGCAAGTGAGTTCACCTCAAACAAAATATTTCAATTAAATCACCCCCTTCGCAAAAACCCATCTCTAATTGCATTTCACCCTCAAACCCCCCCTTCTCTCTGCCATTCTTTTAATGCAAATTCACCCACACTTTATTGTATATACTTTAATCAAAGGGGTCCAATTCAGCTGAGGCGAAAGCTCCTGGCAAGAGTGAGGAAAAGTGTGTTGGAAATGCAGAAACAATAATAAAGAATTCAAATGGTGAGCAATATTTTCACTTCGCACAGCGTGGCAATTTTCATGAAATAATAACTGAATGCGCACATATTTTTCCTCCAATGCAGACACTGGGAAAATTGCTGCTAATGTCGACGATGAATCATCTGGAAGTAGCGATGAGGACAGTCGTGATATGTCTGGTAGAATTCTAAGTAAAGCTGGCATGGAGGTAAGAACATGTTTTGCTCTTTTGTACAGTGCTTCATTATATAGACAGGCACTCTCTGCCTTTGAAGTTTGCTGTGTTAACACAGAGAAAATGTCTTTGAAAATGGTAAAATGAAATTATTAACCCAATTAATTTCGTAATACACGAATCACACGCGTCCGGAATGGGGAAATGTATACAGAAGAAAATTGCAATTGCCACACCAACGGTTAGAGACCATCAATTTCCATATTTATGATCAATATAGATATGTGGATGTTATCTTAATTTCCTACAATTAAGTGCATGAACATATAGCAAATCTTTATCCTGACCTTATAGATGTGAAATTGAATTTTCTTCATATTCTGTCTGTGTGTTTGTGTCTGTTCTTCTTATGCTGTGTTGAAGGAGGTGGAGAAGGAGGAGAAGAAGAAAACCTGTGTGCCAAATGTTTATTGAAGTGAAGCCAATTTGCATCGTCTGTTCTTTGTCCGATTTTGTATCTTTTATAGTAGAAACATAGCGAGATTTTTGTTCTTTTCTCTACCATTAAAAGTTCTTTTCTCACTTCAATTGCGCTTAAGTCTCTTGTGTCCTTTTATTTATAGATCGACAGAGCATCAGCTGGTAATGTTAAGTTGAACAAGAATGAAATGGCAAAGGATGATGAGGCTGAAGATGAGTTTGGCTACACACCTTGTAAGTTCATGGCAATCATTGCTGAAGGGAACAAGTGTCTGAGTGATTAACTTCCTCTCCTCGTTCGAGTAGATAAACTGAGGAAGCGCTACGGAGGTCTCGGGACGGTGATTCAGCACCAATTGGCGAAGACGGAGAAGGGAAGCATGGGGATATCTCTGGCCGGGCACAGGGACCGCAATAAGATGGCGTGCTTCATAGCGGGCATCAATCCAAAAGGCTTGGCAGCAAAGTCCGACCTGAAGGTTGGCGATGAGATTCTCGAGGTAAAAAGTGCCGATGAGAGTGTGTGGAGAGGAGAGAAGATGAATGGGAGACTTTCTTTGCAGGTGAACGGCATTGTCCTTCACGGCCGCAGTCACCTGAATGCATCGGCAATCATCAAATCCCTGCCGGGGCCCATTGTCAAATTCATCCTGCTGCGGAAGGAGAAGAACTTGGAGGACTTGGCCGTGCGACCGGTGACCCAGTTCCCGATCAATCTCGACACGGAGGCGGAGAGCATTGTCGCCAACTTCAAGAACGCCCGAACGCTCACCATGCAGAAGACCGGCCACAGTCTTGGCATCATGATAATCGAGGGGAAGCACTCGGATGTGGGTCAGGGCATCTTCGTGTCAGACATCCAAGAGGGCTCGACGGCAGAGCACGCCGGACTCTGTATCGGTGATATGATACTGTCTGTGAATAGTGACTCTCTACTCGGCTGCAATTACGAGACGGCGGCGGGACTGCTCAAGAAGACCGAGGGGCTGGTCACGCTGAAGATCTGCAATCCCAACAAGCGCGAGGACAAGCCCGACGGCCCGGCCAGCGACGGCACGCGCAAGTCCCTCGAGAGGCCGCGCGACGAGGAGTCGCGGCAGCTCAGCCAGCCGGTCACGCCAAAGTCCCACAAGTCCGCCAAGGAGATGGCGCCCGAGATCCAGAAGGACATCACCACGAACCGCGAGTCAATTATCGAGATCAATGCCGAGCGGCGGCCGCTGGGCCTCCACGTGGTGGGCGGATGTGATACCGTAGTGAAGAATGGAGCTGTGATTGTGCAAATCTACCCGGGCGGCGCGATCGCCAAGGACGGACGCCTCAGAGTCTTCGACCAGATCCTCGAGATCAACGGCATCAAGCTCACGCCGGAGAAGAGCGCCGAGGCCATGAAGAAAGTGCTGGTCGCGCAGTACGACAAGATGACCGTCAGCGTGTGGCGCTCCGATCCGATAGACACGCAATCCTTCGAAGTGGACCTGATTAAGAAGAGTGGCAAGGATCTGGGGATCCAATTCTCCGATCACAACGGCCACGGGCTCGTGATATCTTCAATCGTGAGTATTTCTTGGCAATGAGGCAATTTGGGCGAACATTTCGGGGTCAATTAAAGGCAGTTTCACTTAATATCATGATTTCATTCCAAAACCACTAGTTTGATTTAAAAATTGATTTATTTTTCAGTTTAGTTTTGAGTTATTAACAGTGAGAAATTTTAATTTTACTACTAAATTGCTTTCATTGGTATTTATTTCGTTCGATAGTTTTCATTTTAAAAATGCTCATTCATTTTTCTCAGGATTTTCTTAATATCTACCTCCTTCTTTGCATTTAAGGCTGCTTATTAAATTTAGAGATAGTTTATTTAATTCTATATTGCTGTGAAATTCATTTTCCGCGCAATTGATTACACTAATCTAACAGTAACTGATAGAAGATCTAGAATACTGGTTAATAAGGCAATTTTTTTTTTACATAATTCTTCAGTCTTTTCATTAATCAAGCAATCACTAATCTCATCTCGTTTGTCACTGCTCAACAGCTTCCAGGAGGAATTGCAGATGCCGATGGTAGGATACTAAAGGGCGACACCGTCTGTGCGGTGAATGGGGAATTCCTGGCCAGTCAACCGTACGACGTTTGTGCAATTCTTCTGAAAGTATGTCAAGGAAAGACCAATTTAAAAGTTCTACGACCAGCACCAAAGAAACGCTAGACATGTTATCGCTTCTTGCGAGCTAGCAAAGCATGTGTGGAGGCAAAAAGAAGTGGAGAAACTTATATGAATCACATTATATTGAGAGATTATGTGGAAGTGAATCTATTCTAGATGTATGATTATGCCAAATTTTTCAGAAAAAGAAGAGAAGAACATAAACAAAATTATATCTTTGACAAAGAAAAAGAGGAGAAAAATAACAACATATTAATTAAAAGTCAAATTATTAGCCAAAAAGAAAACAATTATATTACTATTTAAGGAGATGAGAATCACTCTGAATTATGCAAGAAAAAAAAAGAGAGAAAAATATTTGTTTGTACTGTAGAACATTATTGCGACCCTCTTCAAAGTAAAAAAAAAAGAGAGAAAAAAATCTCCCCACGAGTAAATCATTGTTAGGATCTTTCGGATTTTTTGCGTAAAAAAGAATAAAATGAAAAATTATGATGAGAAAACCATTTTAGAGCGTGCATTTTATGAGTCCAAAGTTAAGGAATCAACTTCTAAACTTATGTCAAAGGAAATCTGAATTTTAATTATGAAATTTCTATGTGAATTATATATATATATTATTAATAAATTATTATGAGAGAATTATATTTGAGATGAGATGAGAAAACTAGCCAAAAATTACTTATTGAATATCACTTATTATTAACATAATTTTATGATTGTATTGAAATTGATAGGAAGTACAATCCAATATAAATAGAGAAAGTTGCAAGGATCTTTTCCTCATCACAATAAACTACTATATATAAATCTCAATCCATTCAATGTGGCTCAAAACTTACCATTTTTCCTGGGGCGAAATGCTCTACAAGAGCGGCGATTGTTGTTCCAATTGCTGATCGAGGGCAGTGAATATCTCGAATTCCATCACTTCACGAATCTGCAAGGCAATTTCACGGGGAGATTAGACTACAATAGCCTCGAGATGTGGTCAATTGAATAATAGGCCACCTTTATCTTCTCTATTGTCGGCGATCCGGGAATCCGGAGAATCTTCTGCGCCTTATGGCACCAATCATTAAGTTCCCTCAGTTTCTCCATGCTCACGACTTTCATCTCCTTGGCGTAAAGGATAGAGAACTTCCTGGGCGGCACTCTGGGCAGCATCAGGCGGAGGATTAGCGACACAATCTTCAGCAGGACGAAGAACTTCAAGAGATCTGTCTGATAATCAACCATGTTGATTCCCTGGAGGCGCTCAATGAGGACACTCAAGTGCTGTGGGCGATAAATTTCCTCCGCTGGCATTCTGTCTTTGTCCAGGAATTGCTCAAAAGCCTCCCAAGCCAGTGACAAAGCCACAATGAAGAGGAAATCGTTGATGCCACACAATTGCCAGCAAATGTGTGCAACATTCAAGAGATCCGTGTTGTGGACAGATCTCAGGCCCTCCAGGATCTTCTCCACAGCCAGGTGAACCTGCAAGCACAAAGATGCCATAGAGATGGTGTGGTTTTGGGGCCAGGAAGCTCACCTGAACGGGATTATCCACCCAATCGCTGACCATGATTCTGCACAAATGACACCGAAGCTGAGCAATCTTCATGGAGCAGAACACCGAGGGATTCTGGGTGAGGAACACAACCACGGATGCTTGCAAGAGATTCAGGTAGCCGTTGAACGTGGTGGGATTAAAATTGCTCAGTGCTTCAATGAGATTCTCAGGACTGTCCTGAAGAATCTTCTCAAACTCCTTAAGCTCTTCTGTGGCGCCGCTGCGTTTGTGGTTTTCCAGAAACTTCCTGATCATCTCCTCTGGAATGCCCGTGTAGAGGAAGTCCCTGTCCACTCTGTCACTGCCCACGAGGTCCTCTTGAAGCATTTCCATTGCTTTTTCCTGTTTTCCAAAGCTTCTGCTGGAAGGTAAACAACACGTGCACTCGCGGGATTTGCCGAGACGCTGACTGATGGTGTGTTGACAGTTGCGCGGCGAAGTGTGGCGAAGACCAGAAGAGTATGTCAAAAGTTGGCCAGAGGATCTCCCAGGAAAGACCTTCCTTTGCGTGCGATTCTAGTCAAGTGCAAGTGGCGAGAGTGCGTGGGAGCGGTGCCAGAGTGTTTGCAGGACCCCAGTGAATCCAGCTGCAAGTGTGGCAGCGCGTGGGATGGGCTGCATCAGTAGCAAGAGGGACATCAATGACACGCATCCCAACATTTTCCGTGTGATCAACGTGAATGGGGAGGGAGTGGAACTATGGGCGGGAGACATTGAAGTCAATTGGGCCAACCTCACGCTGTACCGGAAGGGCAAGGAGCCCACACACTGGCCGCTGCGCTGCCTGCGGCGCTACGGCTACGACGGGGATGTGTTTTGCTTCGAGGCAGGACGCAGATGCCTCACGGGAGAGGGCATCTACTCCTTCCGCTGCCGCAGGGCCGAGCACCTGTTCAACCTGCTGCAGGCCCACATCGAGGGCACCACGTACAACGCCTCGGACGAGAACACAAACGCCCAGGAGGCGCACACGAACCGCCACTCCACGCTGTCGACGGGCAGCGGAACGGCCAGGCCCTCGAGTGGCGTCCTGGCCAGCGGCTACGTGATTGGCGGCCGCACGGAGGTCACATCGCCCAGCCAGGTGGTGTCGCCCAACGGGACAATCCACTCCGTGTCGCTGAGTCGCAGTTCTGACGGCCTGACGGAGGGCAACTACCTGGAACCCACTCCGAATCGCCAGCAAGCGCCCAGATTCGCGTCCGGCATGCGCCTGGGCAGCGTGAGCAGCGGCCCTATCAGTCCGGACCTCATCTCGCCCGGCTCTCCCAACAGTATTACCAACATCCTCGAGGTGACCACCCTGAATCCCCTCCCGACCGCCCAGCACGGCTCGGGAGTGAGCAACCTGTACCAGGAATTCCCGCTGCGCGAGCACAACAACAACAAGAAGCTCTCGCTGGACATTCCGCCGCAGGAGAACGCGCCCGCGGAGCCCGACACGCCCGACCATGCGTCGCAGAAGAGCGTCTGCTCGCCCTCGGCGTCCGTGGATCTCGCCGACGGCAGCCACATGTACATGAACATCGCGCCTGGCGAGATGAAGATCAGCAAGTCCGTGTCCAATCCCACCCAGATCGAGGGCAGCGGCAGTGACACGGCCAACTCCATGACACCCACGTCCACCTCCCTGTTCAGGTGAGTCCCGATCTCGCTTCTCTCCGCCAATGGGATCAGCTCATTGCCGAGTATACGAGCATACACGAATTGAAGTGTGTGGAACAATTTCCAGAAAAAGCTCTCATGTGCTTTGTTTCTTGTTGATTTTCACAGATTCTCGCGGATGAACTCGTACGGCGCCGATCCGGAGCGGTGCTACGAGAATCTCAATCCCGGCGAGATGAAGCCTCTGCTGGCGGGCAAGCTGGCCATGCCTGAGAGTGGCGCGTCCGAGCCCGGCACGCCCACGGAGCATCGCGTGGTGAACTACATCGTGCTGGACTTGGATCAGTCGCCGGCCGCGGGCGAGGGCGCCGCGGCCAGCCTCCTGCCGCCCGAGAGCCCGAAGAAGGCCGCGCTGGGCTACGCCACCATCGACTTCAACAAGACCGCCGCTCTGTCCAATTCAACGACTCCGTCTTCCGAGCTCGACAGCGAAGGGGCCACGCGAAAGACCAGGCACAGCTCCAGCATCGTCACCGCGCGACAGAGCAACTCCATTAGCGATTGAGGGCGCCCCAGGCGCCCGCGCACCACACATCGAACCGCCCGGCGGGCGACGCGGCCCCGCGCGCCACTCCTAAGCGCCGGCGCCTCGGCGCGTCGCTCCCGGCCGCCGGCGGCGACGAGGGTTTTACACTAAAGTGGAATTTTTGTGATTTTTTATAATATACCTACAAGTAGAGAAAGTGGCTAGGCGAGGAATTAAGGACCCTAATTTAAAGGATAATGTAAATTGAGAAAAACATATTTAATCAAGGTGTCAACAGACGATGTAGAAAAATTGATATTTTTTCTAACTAAAGCAGAGAGAAAAGAAGATGAAGAAAAAAACCTAATGAGAAAAAGAACAAGGAAGAGAGAAACAATACAGTAAATAATACGAAACGAAGGCCAAAGTTTTAATACCCAAAGTAAAATATTTAGGATTTTTATTTGATACAAATATATCGTTATTTGTTACAAGCATATTTTTGTATTATATAAACAATTTTGTCACATAATTATTAGAAAATTTAATAATCGAGATTTATTGCTGAGCATAAATTGAGTAAAATAATTATTCTTCCCCCTCTTTTTTTATTTTAATTATTATTATACTTTCTTTTTCCTCCTTCGAGAGACAACAAAAGATTACACCATTATATAAATTACTTTTTAAATATTACAGTTACAAAAAAAATCCCTTTCGTTCCTCTCTTGCAGCTCCTAAATTTTTGATAAATACAGTGAAACAAAGTGAAGAAACAAAAAAATTGAAGAGAGAGAAAGAAAATACTTTTTTCCAGGACTTTATCATCTTCCCCCCCACATTTTCGATTAATTTACCCTTTTTTTGCGTTTAAGTATAAAAGAAGATTACTGTAAGGATGTAAGAAATAAAAATTATACATTGTTTGATGATTAAAATGACTCTTTTCTTCATCCGCCGTCGCGCGAAACACTTCTTTTTTCCTCAGTTGAGAATTAGACTAGAGTTGTAGTTGCTTGCTAATGTAAAATTCCTACGTTTCGTGTGTGTGTAATTTTCGATTAATTCATGTGCTGCCAAAACTCTCCCCCAAAATGCATCCCTCGAGCATCCGCCGGAACAGGAATCACAGGGCGACTCTCATTCGTGCTCGTCCGAGTCGTCGATCACGTAAACGATGTCCGCGAAGGCGCCGGATTTGTGGAGTTGCAAGTGCTTCTCGCCGTCGAAGCGACTCTTCTCGTCCGCCAGATCCTGCGGAATTGCACAGGGAGACGTGAAAAGGGAGGCGATCAAAGGCAGAAGAACAAAGACAATTCATGCATTGCAGTAGAAAATAGAATTAATTGGTTATTTACCTGGGAAATGTGTGAAAATATGAGCATTCAGCGTCTGGGTTAATAACGTGATAGAAAGGCATTCGTGTGTTCTTAAGCAAAGAAATGATTCTTTATTGGTTAATCAACACTCTTGGCAAAATTCTCCATTGAACATCAATCACAGGCCAGCAAATACTTTTTATCTCTTTCAAACAAAAAAAACCACAGATTTCTCGCTCTTTCTCTCGCATTTCAAACTTAAAATCAACAAAGAAAATAATGATAGTATATTAAGCTTGTTAATGTTCACATATTAAACATGGAGCTGAAAATCAGGAAATTATATTTTTCTTCATATTTAATGGTTAAATATATTATAAATTTCATTTTATGATGGGAAAATCACTTAAAATTATATTAAAAACATATATTTTATTTCATTTCATCAAATAATTCTGTAGAAATCAATAATTTAGAATCTAATAGATATTTCTTTTTCTTTAAATGTTAATTAATAAGTTTCTTTTTTTCATTGTTTCCTTGTAGTAAAATATTTGGCATATTATTTATTTCTCGTGGAATTGCGTTGGAAAACTTCTGAAGACTTCTACTTCTCGAGTCTTTCTCTTCTTTTTACTAATTTCTAGAATTTCCTCTCAACTTATTATGCATATTCAACGCACACACAGGTACAAATACTTGAAAATACTCCATAATGACAGTAGTAAAAGTTGGTAAATCGGGCAAATCGAGTGGAAACTGCTACCAATTTCCGATTAATTTTATATACAAGACGCTCTCTTTCTCTCTCTTTCCCATATTTATGATGATCGTTTTAGTCACACTTGGCGGCCGAGGACGCGAGATGGGCGACATTCAGGCGATTGTTAACGGATGAAGTGGTGGCGATCCTAGTCTGATTGGCAATGTCAAAGCTGAGCGAGGCCTGGCGCGCCAACAGAGCCTTTCTGGCCCCCTCAGCAACACCATCATCGTCACTCGCCGTGTTAATGTGATTGTTATTGAGATTGAGACTGTGAAAGCGATGCAGTACCTTATTGCGCACCAATCCAGGATGCTTCTCGCATATCTTCGTCCAATCCTTGGGCAGCGCCCACGACAGCGGCGACTTGGCGAAGGCAATCAAGTCCTCGTACTCGTGCACGATGCGATTCTCCGTCGACTCCTTGCTTATCGCCTCAGGAGTGCTCTCCTGGCGCGAAAAATGACTCCGACGTGAGCGCGTGAGTCCATTGTTGGACGTGACAATGCTGTTGTTGCTCGAAGCGTGCGACGATGAACTCTCCGTTGACGTGTTCACTGGCAAGACAGAGAGAAGGAAATCAATCTAAGACGCTAATTTAGTATTTCTGTGCCATTTATGAAGCTCACAATTCTCAATAGCAAAGGAAGAAAAACAGTTCTTTCATTTCTTTCTGATTCACTTACAAGTCTCATTGGCGAAGACATCATCGTCAGCATCGATGCTCAAGCCATTCCCAGGCGATCCGGACGCCACCAGCAGATTCAAGCCGATGCCGCTGTCGGCGAAGGGAGACGTAGAGCCGCCCAGTTGATGTGACACTGGCACAACGGGCGGGGCGTAGGGATTGAGTGGTGTCGATGGCACGGATCCACTTCCCTGCGAATAGGATGGAATTTGAGCCTCAAACGTGCCCGCCAATCCAACATCGACAGAGGCCAAGAATTCGCTGCTGCTGAAGTAATCGTCCAGCACAAGTTTGGCAGCCTGAAAGACAAAGTGATCAAGTCCAGTTTGAGCAAATGTCACAGAAGATGTCCTCTCACCCTGACTAGATCACAGCGATCGCCCGTGATCTTGAGATTATGCGGACCAACGCTCACGGTGAACTTGTATTCACCCAGTGAGGCGTCGTTGGTCGAGTAGCTGTGCAGGAGCAGTTGACCACTGGTAGCCACTCCGCTACCACGCGACAACTTGCCAGCCGCCGAGGGCACCTGCGGAGCCGCCGCCTGGGCGGCCGCCGCGCCGGGCAAGAAGGGATTGTTGTTGAGCTGATTGGCCGCCATCACGGCAATGGCAGCAGCACCAATACTGTTCCGGGCGGCTCTCAGTGAGTTCTGCGTCTCATCCGAGGCAGACGAGGCCAGCGAACTGCACGATCCGCCGCCTTGAGACGTCTCCAGACGCACAGGCGATGCATTTCTCCTGATTGTGTCCTCAATCAGTTGCTTGGCGTAGCTGAAAGACAACAGAGAATCACTTTCTCTAGCGTCTGCAAAGTGCAGCTGTGAAATCACATTCATCCACTCACTTGATCTTCTCTTCGTTCGGTCCGGTGATCTGAACCAGTCGCTCTTTGGCTCCAGGATTCACTGCGAAATTCCATTTGCACGGGGAAGAGAAGAAAAACACACACAGTCATCGATTAGTCATTAGAATTTTCTTGAATTGCAGAAGCCAGAATATGTTATAAACACATTTAGCCATTGTGAAGTGAGTGATATTAATTTTGATTAAAGCAACAACATTCTGGGGCTTCAGTTGGTCTCACAGAGCCAAACAATGAGAGCCACAAGACGAACAATTAGACATGATAATAATTCCTCAGCATAAGCCAAACATGTAAATTAGCTGTTAAATCATCACGTTATTGAAGAAAGTGTACATATATATTTATTCTCTGACCAATTGGCAGTCTTTCTTGTGTGTGAGTGATTCTTTTTCATGAGTAAAATGGTGTGAAATTACGTTTTCTTGTCACGATATGACTCACGGAATGGTTCAGTCATGATTTTCTATATGTATCTTTAGAGTATTTCGTTTTTTTTCTTCTTCTCCTGAGATGAGAAACAGAAAACAAAGATCCGCAGCAGAATCAAGAAATCAAACATTAGCAAACACAGAAACAGAGAGAGAGAGAAAAAAACGTAATCAATGAAAGTAAAATGCAGTTTTTCGCACTGGTGCAAGAGAGTCAATGTGAAAAAGATGTTAATGAATTTATAATATATATATATTAGAGAACATATATAGGTTGATGATTTGCGCACGATTCATCATTGGCAGCACAACATCTCAAGAAGACACACAACAAACACACAACAAGCAAAGAGAGTTAATCCACATTAATTTCCATCCTTTTTTTGCATGGGGATTAATTTGCATGTGTCTTTTTTTTTGCTTTCAGGCCACCAAATCATCATTCAACTTTACCTCTCTGAAATGAAATGATTGTCTCACTCAACTCCTCAATCATGTGCACTCTACGTCCTTTTATGCCCATAACTTGAATAATTGCACGCATTTTTTTTTTCATAATCGTTGTGGCCAGCACAAGAAAAAGAGAAGAAACTCTGATCAATAAAACCATTTTGTTGGCTCTCTTCTGTGGTGAAGGGAAAACATAATCATCATCATCTTAAGCGTCTTAAGCACTGTGCTTCTTCATCATCTTCCTCCAACGTCACACACGACTAATTTGTGTGTGTGTTGTTTGGAATGTGTAACAACAATACAAGACGTGATAAGAATTTCAGCAATTCAGCCTTTCTGCTCCACGTAGAAATTTAATAAGGAAAAATACACTTGGAGAAGAGCATTTGAGATCACTGCTCTCAACAACAACAGCAGCAGCAACTTGCTCTCCATTTGCAAAACTAACAAATGGTGAAAGGCAAGTTGTGTGCAATAATTAATAATGAATTGAGAAAAAGAGAGAAAAATGTTACCTTTTCCGGAGTCAGCATTGCGAATAACCACTTCGTCCTTCGAGTAATTCTTCCCGGGGATCTTCGTGGGCTTCGTGAACTTCCCAGAATTCCTCAGGAGCTCACCGGGCGCCAGAATGGCGGGTTGCGATTGGCCCATCAATTCTGGGGGGGAGGTGCTCAACATCGTCAATTCATTCACAGTTGCCGATGATACAAAAGCAGGCTGCAAGAAGGACACCAACAATTAGCAAAAAGGACACAACAAGCAGACAAACAGACAAACAACAAACCTCAACATTTGTCGCCTTGTGCTTGTAATATGTGTTGACTTCGTCCGAGATCTGCCACGATTTCGCCCGCAACTCAATCAACTCGAGCAAATTGAGACGCGTCATGATATTGAGCCTCTCATCTTGCGACGCATTTCTGAACGTGACAAAGGCCTTGTCCAGCACATCCTTCGACAGCGCCTCCAACTGAGGCCCGTACACACGCAAATTCGACAGCAGCATGTTCATCTTGCCCGCATCAACGGTGGCGGACGCCAAAGAAGCCGCCACAATCTCAATCAACTCAATCAATTGCTCGACAGTCTGCATCTCGTAGATCTGCTGCGGATGCACTGGCTGGTGGGCCACTGAAGCCTTCAACGATCTCATTTTCTGTGACATCATTGGGAAGTTGCACCTCCCCCTGGAAAGACACACACACGCGCGCGCAAGAACGGAGAAAAAGGGTGAGAAATTAGGCACACAACTTCTATCTATTTCACGTGGCAGGCAAAATATGTGCTTCTTTTCTTCTCTTCCTCCTCTTCTTATCACCTCAAAGGTTTCACCTCTACACACTTCTCGCACACAAAAAAAACCTCCTAATTAAATAACTATTAATCATACATTTTGGACACACCGCGTCAAACAATCACTGTCTTCTTCCATCACCATTCAATTCAGCTGTGGCGAGAAATGGGCTCTTTTTCCTCTCGCTTTTCGCGCTGGACTGCCTTTTGGATGCGCGCGCGGGTGGGAGAGAATCAGTGAAATTGCCACTCAGATATGAAGATACAATTCATGTTATTTATCATTTTGCAAACTCCACAAACTACTCATTATCTGGGTGAAATCTGCAGATCAACAAAACACCCAGAACTATTTAGAGTGACTCAGCTTCAAGGGGGAAATAAATTGTGTAGTTTTTCTTGAATCTCGTGGATCTCGTGCCCAAAAGACTTACTTTAGAGGTTATAAATCGCATTCCCATCGTCATATCTCCTCCTTGGCCACTTCCTAATCCACTGGCATTAACAGCAGACCCTAAAACCCACCCATTGGCATGGAACTTGGCATTTGATGTGGCCGCAAAGGCCGTAAAACAGCCCATTTCAGTGGCACTTCCTCGTGTGGTCCACGGACAAGGTGCGCTGCTCCAGGAGAAAGTGAAATTGAGGCCCATTTCGCGATCGTCACATCGTCCACGCGCGCGTTTCTTTCACTTTCAGCCCAGCCGAAGAGGCGTCACGCGATTTGCATCAATTGATCGTCAGGCGTGCTTCTTCGCAATGATGCTCTCTCTTGCAAATTTGACAAAAAGTTTTTGCCAGCAGAGAGTTTTTGCGCTTATAAATATAACCACAGTGACTCATGGATGATCAGACAGCTCCTAATAGGCGCACTTCTCCTGTCGCGCGCCACCTTCTGTGCGCCCCAAGGGGCCCAGAGGCCCATTCCCCCGCGGAATGGCCAGCACAAATCGCCACAACACCTGCACAAGGAGGGAAAAATTGCAGGGAGGGAAAGAAGAAAACTGTGTCGATTGAGTAACACGAAGAATGTGGGAAATGCAAGTCTCTGACCTCGAGTGTTTGGAGAGCAGAGGAACTGAAACAGACTGGCGTACAAGCTCTTTTATCACACAATCCACACCTAAATTAGTTTATATTTTCAAACATTCGACGTGGTGTGTATTTGGTTTGAGATAAAAACGAGGGTGTCCAAATTGCTGTCTATTTTGATAACACACGCGCCATAATTGAACAAGAGAACCCACGCAAGTTCACGCGGAAAATCACACCGTTTCACACCTAATTACTCCCTCTCACTCGCCAACCTTGCACACCAATTGCCAATTGCGAATTTGCCATTCAAATTAGAATATTTTCACTTTGCAGTGCGGAGAAAAAATGTGGGTGAGAGGCGAGAAAAACAAAAAAAAACCCAAATGACGGTGCGCGAAAGGGTTAAATGTCACAGCGAAGAGAAATTTTGCATTTTTCATGCCCATATCACACTCCTCCAGCCACATCAACGCAACAATCATAATCCTCACCACTTCCTGCAGTGGAATTGATAGGGAAATACGGGAAAATGACCCGAAAAATCGTGGAAAATTTAAGAAAAACACTCACCTCTAATTCGATTAAATTCACACCAAACTTTGACAGCGCGAAATTGGGGTTGCCGCTGCGCAAACTGAGCAATTTGTCCAATTCGCCGCGACCGTGCGCCCCCTGTGTGTTGAACAGGAAGTAATCATTAAGGAAACACGAAAAGTCGTGAAAAATTGCAATTATCACGGGGAAATTGCATGATTTTGTGGATTTTTCCAATTGCAAGAGATTCTGTAAGGAGTAAGAAGTACAACGAGGTAAAAATCTTCCTTGCAGATGGGAAAATTACCATGAAATCTGTTGAGCGTCTTGTTTTGGTTTTTCCATTCAGATTCTAGACTAAAACCCGCTTAAATCAACTCAGGAAGTTCAGGAGAATGGATCCAGGTGTCGGAGATTTTGTAGGGAGTCCCTCTATATCAGATGCCAATGACCAGAAGCGACGCAGGTGAGGGAAGATGTGATTTTTCCTCTTCGGCGTGTTTAACCTCACTTCTCTGGGCATTTCAGCTCTTCCCGGTCCATCAAGCGCAAGCGATTCGACGACGAGATTGTGGAATATAGCCTGGGACTCACGCCTACGCAGATAAATCGTGTGGCACGATCGCGCACTCAGTCGCAGTCCTATGTTGTGCCGCCCACAACTTATGCTGAGATGGTGCCTTCGCCGACTCCCGTCGTCACGCCAGTGGCCACAGTTTCCGCCCCGCCGGCTCACATGGTGGCCACAGTGACTCAGGTGGCGAATGTGTTGCCCCCGACGCCGCCCGCAGTGGTGCGCGAGCATCCGGCGAGTGTCTCGCTGGAGAAGAGACGCAGCCTGAAGAGCTCCAAGAAGAGCAAACGTCAGAGAGGCGCTCATCAGGTGTCCACGAAGGATTTGGGCCGGTGGAAGCCAATTGACGACTTGGCACTGATCATCGGCATTCAGCAGACCAACGATCTCAAGATGGTTCACAGAGGAACGAAGTTCTCCTGCAAGTTCACAGTGCAGGAGTTGCAGGCTCGATGGTACTCGCTGCTGTACGAGGAGTCCATCTCACGCATCGCCGTGGCGGCCATGAGGAATCTCCATCCGGAGCTGGTGGAGAATGTGCAAAGCAAGGCTCTGTACACGACGCAGGAGGAGGACTTGCTGGGCACCGTCAAGAGCACATCAGCGCCCACACTTGAGACATTCCAGGAGTTGCTGGACAAGAATCCCGCCGTCTTCTATCCAGCACGCACGGCAAAGTCCCTCCAGACGCACTGGAATCTGCTGAAGCAGTACACTTTGCTGCCGGATCAGGTGATGCAGCCGCTTAGTCGGGACTCCATGACCTTCTCAGACACCGAAGAACTCATCAACGACGCCGAACTCGTGGATCTGCGCGACGAGGCGCTGGAGATTGAGCTCGCGCTGGCGGACAGACGCAACAAGCGAGAGATTCGTCAGCTGGAGAATGAATTGTCGCGATGGACGGTGCTTGTGGACTCGCTGGCGGGCATCGGATTCACGCCGGAGTTCGACAAGGAGACGCCAGCCGTCCTGCGAGGGCGTCTCGTGCGATATCTGATGCGCTCGCGCGAGATCACAATGGGGCGCTGCACCAAGGACTTCACCGTGGACGTGGACCTGAAGCTGGAGGGACCAGCGCACAAAGTGTCGCGCAAGCAGGCCACCATCAAACTGCGCAGCAACGGAGACTTCTTCATGACCAACGAGGGCAAGAGGGCGATCTATGTGGACGGAAGTCCTCTGCTCACGGGCGCCAAGACGAGGCTGAACAACAACAGCGTCATTGAAGTGAGTTGATGAATCTTTACAGCAAGTCTCAATGATCTCATATAATCATTTGGGTGTTTTGCAGCTCTGCGGCCTGAGGCTAATCTTCCTCATCAACTATGACCTGATCAATGCGATTCGCCAGGAGAGCGCCAAGATGAACATCCCGCTCACGTAACAGTGAGAGAAGAGACTCAGTGGTAATTTTCTCAAGTACATGTTCTCCCTTTTTTTAAACACATACAACATATAGAATAAAATACACATCTTCCAATGGAATCACACTTTTGGATTACGCTAAAACTATGCGGTAACACTTGGAATAATAACAACAGGGGGAAATAATACGTGCTGATGGGAATATAGCTTACCTTCCTTATCTCTCTGCTCTCGCGCCTAAACATTGAAGCGCGTCTCAGAGCCGTCGGCCAGCATGAGAGTCACTGTGCGATTGTTGATCCAGATCAGCTTGGCCAGGCGCATCGGATTGAGTCGCGTGACATCGGGAATGGGCGCCGTGGAGTAGCCCTTGATGCAGCGCGTCTGACTCTGGCCCAGGCCGAACATCCCCGTGCTGGTTTGCCAGAAGGACAGGCGATTGTCGCCCGAGGCGTAGCTGACGAGGAACTTGCCGTCAGGACTAAAGGCCAGCGCCGTGACGGGATTCGTGTGGGCCGGAATCATCTGGCACTTGTTGTGGCGCAACTCATAGATGGCCAGGTGCCCATTGCTGGCGCCCACGGCGATTCTGCGCGTCCCGAAGCAGTGCGAGACTTGATTGAACTTGCAGATGGCCGGACAGACGTCCTGCAGCGGCTTATTCTTCAGCTCCGTGCCATCGACGCAGTGCAGCGTGATGTCCATGACCTCCACCAGGAGATTGGCAATGTCTGTCTGCATCTTGTCAATCAGCATCTCCACGCACTGCAGAATCTCCTTCTTCGCCCTGTACAGCACGGATTGCGTGAGTGGCGTGCTCAGCGTCTGAGCATTCTGCTGCAGCGTGTTGAAGCGCGCCACTTCGCGCGCCATCGTCGTGATGAACGCCGCCGGACGAGCCGTGGCGATGAGTCTGAGCGCATGGCGCGCCGTCCTGCAGGCGTCCGCTTGCGGCGTGAGTGGCAGTTTGTAGTTCAAACTGGGAATCAAGCGACTGGAGTCACAGCACATCTCCAGCAGGCCCAGCAGCACTTTGCTGACATCCAAGTACGGCTCCCACACCGTAAATCCCCGCCCGATCAGATCAATCGCCGCCCGACGGAGTGGCGTGAAGGCGGGCAGCTTGGGTGTCGGCGGTGCCAGCAGAAGATGCGTGAGTGCCATGGACGTGAGCCTGGCGAGATTATTATTCCCAATGCCAAAGCCCTCGACCACAGAACTCTTGCGTCGCTGATCACCAGAGCGCTTCGGCTGCTGCTGCTGTTGCTGCTTCTCTCCGCCCGCCTCAATTGAGATGTCCTGACCAAACTCCGCTCCAATCACGCCCAGGAGAATCACCGCACACGCCTGCTTTCGCTTGAGTTCAGCCAGCGACGAGGGCTTTCTGATCACTTCCTCCTCCTCTTCCTCGAACTCCTCCTCCACCTGTTCCGCGTGCACTGGCGGCGTCAGCGTTCCCGGCGGATTCGGCTGACTGGGCGTCGGCGGCTGCTGCGCAATTGGCTCCTGCTGAGTGTACAGCGGCAGAAACTGTGCCCAATTCTCCACCAGCAGCTTCCTGCCCTTCTTCCCCATGCGACCCAATTCGCCCAGAAGAATCTGCTGCGCCGCCTCGCGGATCTCAATGCAGTGATGCTGCCAGCGTCTGGCCATCATCTCCACTTGAGGCCTCTTAAAGTTCTTCGGCTCCATGGCGTCAATCTTGTCCGGCAGCAGGAAGCAATGGTGCGTGGACAGGAGACTCCAGCCCTGCTTGATCTGCGCCTGCTGCTGCGTGTACATCTCCTCGTGCTCATCCTCAGTCGTCCACGACGCCGACACTCTGGTCGCCTGGCGATGGAGCTTCTTCGTGCGCTCCGTCTCCGGCAGAAAGCTGGCCATGTTCATGGACATGAGCGTGTTGGACATGGCCACCATGGCCAGCAAGTGATTGGACGTGAGTGTCGTGCTCAATTCCCAGTGCAGACGCGCCGTGAAGAGCTTCGTCAGCGTGTCCAGGCGGATTTGATCCGCCAGCGCCGCCTGCGTGGACACAGGCAGAATGGAATCTGTGCTGGCCGGCAGACTGATGGTGTTCTGCCACGTTGGCAGCATCAGACTCATGTAGCCACCCTTGGACAGCACGCCATACGACACGGGCACCATTGGGCGCAGCAGACCCAGCTGAGTCTCGCACACCTTGTCCAGATGCGGATCCAGGCCCCACGAGTGAATCAGCGACAGCAGCAGCTGCGCCACTTCCATCACGTGCGTCGCCTCCATTCGCGGTGTCGCCTTCTTGTTCGCCTCCCCCAAACCATCTGCAAAGTGTGGAGAAAACTGAGATTAGAGCAAATAAATTGTGCGCGCAAACAGAGCTTCCATATTGACACACATTGCAAGCAAAACTCTGTGCAGAAGATTGAGTCATCTCAAATCAGATTTCCAAGAGATGAATTATTCAGTAATAATTCCAATTTCAAGAAATTAGACAATTTAATGAGAAGTTTTTGCCACATCCGGAAACTAAAAATGCCTCTGGATTGAAAGAATACGAATTTTCATGTGTTAAAATGCAGTTTGTCTTCATGAAAATCAACCTAAAGCATTCTTAATGCATTTAAACAGCCTCTGGACTAGGTGGAATATAATAATAATATCATCTTGGGATGTTGGAAGAGCAATTTAGCTCAGGGCGAAGAAACTATCGTGATAATATCACGATTAGCAGACGCACAATCTTCACTGCGCGTCTCGCGAAATGCTTGAGAAGAAGAATTCCTATTTGGGAAATTGACAAATTGCAAATTTCCTCATTTATCCTTCTCAAAACACTCGGACTTGCAAATGAGCGAGTGAAATCGTTTCATTGTCACGGTATTCTAAGTGTGCACAAGTGCAAAATGCCAGGTTGGGAAAACTCCACAATATATAGTTGAGCCATTGCACTTGACCAGAACACACGAACACGCGCGCGCGCTTGAAAGCCAGAAATTTCCCAATTTTCCTGTTTTCTCACTCAAGCAAACTGCTGTGTAAACTTTCTGGGTTTCTCTCTCTCTCTCCCTGACATCCCCACCTGAGGCACCTAATAAATTCCGCAGGAAGGTGAATCCATCCAGTTTCACCTTAGCCATTGATGGTGCAATTCAATCGATATCACTTTGCGAAACACTTGCATTGAGTAACGATGATCGCGAAGAGTCTCCTTGGGATATTTCTGGTGATTTTGCTGGTGTCTGTGTCAGAACAGGTGAGAAATTGTGTGTCTTTTTCTGGAATTTTATCCATTGAAATCACCCCCAAAATTCACAGGCACCGAAGCGTGGGAGAGAAAATCGACCAGAATTGAGTCATCGCGTTGAGGAATTCCTGCAAAATCTCGATCACGATGGTCTCAGCGATTCGGAGAAGATCAAGTACTTGGGTGAGATTCTAATCGCCCTCAGTTACTACAAATACAACAATCCTAACTACTTGGAACACTGCGTAGGCCGCAAGATTGTGCAGGATGGCTATAGAGATGTCCAGAGACAACCGTACAGGGATCACAATTCATCCTCCTCATCATCCTCTTTCGACGGTTCTGACACACTTCCCAGTCGAAGGTATCAGAATCGTGGAATTGATGGTCATCAGTCCAACGCAGATCATCAGGAGGATAATCATTACGAGAATGAGGAGCATGAGGAGGAGGAGCAGGATTACGATGATCAGGATTATCACAACAGAGCTCAGCAGGAAGAAGATCCAGTCAATCAGTTTTACGGCCAGAGCGGCGGAAGAAACTACATCGCTGCCGACGATGAGGAGCACGATGGAGACGATCAAGCGTACACCAGAGACTACGGACATGATCAGGATGGTGGATCTCGCGGTGGCATTGACCAGGAGTCCTCCTACGATCCCTACCAGCGATCGCACCACTCATCAGCCGATCAATACGATCACAGCGGCGACTACGACAATTCTCCTCAACAACACCATCAAAGCGGCGGACAAAGTGTTCTTCCGCGCGTCGATGAGTACCTCAATCAAATCCAATTGCACGGCATTCCCAGCAATCTTCTCGCTCACGCGCTCACGTATCTCGATCACGCCAAGGGATCCGTGCGATCGTACGCCAGTCGAGCGCAGGACTTCGACAAAATCCGACCGTGCTTCGAACCGCTGGTGAGATACTTCAACATCCTGAATGAACATCTCGCCGGCGAGTACAGGAGATGCTCGGATCAGTGCTACATGAATGCCCTGCACAACTACAGCTCCTCCATCTCCCAATACACCCACACCACAACCTCCTGCATTAGCGATAGAGTCTAAATCGAACACACACTCACCCTTTTCGCCCACTTGCTTAAGACTCTCCACCTTGGCTTGTATCTTCGTTTGCACATTCTCCGCTCCTTCCTTCATCTTCTGCAGTATCCCTGAGAGCACATTACAACAAACACACACACAATTAATCCATTAACAATTTCAGAGCAAATTGCAAATGAATAAAACACCGTGTTTGTAAAAACAGAAGCAGAGCAATAATAATAATAATAATAAAAAGGAATGAAGAGATGCGAGAAAGAACGAAAAGTGTTTGCGCATTTGTGCAGAAAAAAAGGCAGTAGAGAAAAGAGGATATAAAAATTGCACTGAAAAAACAATATGAAATGTGTGCGAAAAGAAATGATGGCAAAATAAAGAATCTTCGTGTGTGCGGATTAAAAAGTTGGACAAACCATGCTTGTCTTTCTCTTTAAGTATCTTTTCCACGTCACCCGCCTTTGTCTTAACCTTCCCGAAGAAGTCTATAGCAAGGCATTTTTATATTACGAAAGTCATAAAAGGGAAGAGAAAGAAAATTCATTAACTTCTCCTTCCTCTCATTCAACCACAGAATTTCAATTAATAAATTCAATCAATTCTTCAGTGGCACAGTAAGAATGCTTCTCAACACTTGATCTTCAAGGTTTCTTGGAAGCTTTTCTCACAGCGCCACTGCAATTTTCATGGAATTCTTCACATTGCTCACCTGAAATCTTCTTCCCCGCATCGTGAGATGGCAACTGACCAACCGCTTGAGCTCCAGCCTCTTGAGCTTCGAGTGCTTCGGCTGTCATCAGAGCATATTCCTCGCTGTGCAGCTCAAAGATCAATCCCTCAATGTCAAAGAAGAGAATGTGACTCTCTGCATCCTTGGGATTTGTCCTCAAGCCTTGAATCAACAGCGGACTGCTTCGGTTCTTCAGCAGAAAGTCCGCATGTTGATTGCCATGAGCATGAAGTTGCTGCAATTGATGAATTCCTCGCTGTGTTGCATGGCGAATGGCGGATAAATTGCGATGTCGAAGTCCTCTGAAGAAGTGCACAGCGGGATTGGCCAAGCCCATCTCCGATGTGGAGCCACAGGAAGTCTCCGCCACATTCTCATCGCACGCCGACATCACTTCCTCAGCCAGCATTCCGTGCAGCACTCTGTCCAGATGTCCAGTCTCCATTTGCCACACATAAACCGTGCCATCTGAGCAGCCGACAATGAGGAAGTCATCCAGCGGACGCCACTTGATGCTCACCACTGGGAACAAGTGTCGACTGGCGAGCGTGACACACTTGCGCTCCTGCAGACTCAGCAGCGTCACCGAGTGGTCAGACGCCACGGAGCAGATGCACTTCTGAATCCTCGGACTGCACGTGTTGGGCGGCACCAGCAGCTGCGTGATCTCACCGGCGTGCACACAGAAGCGATGCAGAAGCGTTCCGCTGTACAAATCCCACAAACACACCGCGAAATCCACTCCGCCAGACACGAGATGCGACTTGTCGTAGCGCGGATGCGCCAGCGATGGGCAGAGCAGCGAATTCACACGCCCACGATGTCCCGTGAGGATCTGATGCGGCGGCCAGTCGTGGTAGTTCTTGTGCACTCCGTGCAGCAACTGAAGCATGACCGTCTGCGTCGCCGGGACGATGATAATGGAGCCATCCTCGCGTCCCACCACCAAGCGACTCTGCTGCGGCAAGTAAATGCTCGCCGTGAGCTTTATAATACTCTCACTGGGATGATTCAGCTGATCCAGGATTCCCACTGGCGATGGCGTCATCAAATTCCACGTGTCATTCACACTCGTGCAGATTGTCGACTTCAGCACTGCAGAAGGAATCGATTAGGACAATGGAGAGGGATTAGCAGTGTTTCCCACTCACCATTCGGAGGTGTTCTGTCTGTCTGCATCTTCTTGATCTCCTCCACAGTCATGTCAGGAACCGTCCAAATTGTCACGAAGCCCTCCGAATCGCCACGCACAAGATACTTCTGCGTCTTCCCGCCACGAGTTGTCGGCACAAGTTTCATCGCGGGCGGACAAGAAAGAGGCTAATTGGGAGAATAGTGATAAAGAAATCGAATTGAAGGCTTCTAATCACGTAATCTAATCACAAAACAGCTGCGATCGTCGTATTTGGGCTTCATAAGATCACGTACAAAAGGCCATTGAATTAATTCCAGACAACAAGCTAAATCAAGAAGACACGCTTACCTTTTCGCCGGTCTGCGAGAGAACACAATAGAGGAATGGAGAGTCCTTGCCAACGGCCTGTGAGTGGAATTCCTTGTTGTCAGGAATACAGCTGGAAAGAGTCAGAGAGCAGGAGAGTGTGTTAGTCTTCTAGTTGCCCTCAAGATGATCATTAGATGGTCGTTAGAACAACACTCAAAGGAGGAAAACACACATAATTTCCAGTGAATCTTTCTGGATGAGTTGAACACATTTTCCCTCGTAATTGCTTTCCAACAGACACAAATCATGCATACACAATGTTTTGTAAGATATATTCACTGTGATCATGCAGTGAAGAGTTTCACATCAAAAAGAAAGGTCGTGGCAGGAAGAGTTAGAGAGAGATAGCACAACACACACAGAGAGAGAGTCAGGAAAACTGTCCAGAACACAGAGTGAGGCTCGTTCTCAACACTATTTGTAAATATGGTCTTTGCTTTTTAAGAAAAGAAAAGTCAAATATGATCTCAACCAAATAGATTTGTAACTCCATCAATCGCTTGTTTTTTTTTGCTAACCTAACAGTGGAAATAAATCCAGGGATTGCGCTATAATGGGAAAAAAGAGAAGAAAGAGAGGGAATTTTCGCATTATTCACCCATTCTTCTGCCGAAGCACATTGTTTTTTTGTTGTTGCTTTTCTTTTTTGGACGAAAATCATAGAAAAAACCAATTGGAAAAAGCACCAGTGACAACCCTCAGAGTTTTCTTCTTGTACAAGAACATAAGAGCTTTGCAGTGGTTACTCACTTGGCGGGCAGACGATAGAGATATCCCTTGCCTTCGTCAGACCACAAGATCACGCGATCGTTACCCAGGAAGTCTCCGCCGAGCCACCGTTCGCCGGACGGCGAGATGACGCTGCAGAGCACGGTGAAGTCTCCGGCATCGTAGATTTGCCAGTACTTGGCGCACACAATCAGCACAGTTCGCTGATTCTGGGAGCAGCAGCTCATCATGATGGCGTTCAGGCAGCGAATCTGGAAGTGAATGCAGAGAATTCACTTCTGCCTTCACCACAAATCTCCAATCTGCCGCACCTGTTTCGACTCATTCTCATAAATAGGCTCAGAATACTTATTCTCATTGCCGATCAGCGTCCAAACCTTCACCGTTCCCGTGGTCGTGATAGCCAGGACCACGTCATCCTTGCGCTTCGACGGCCGCAGAACCTGCAAAAGCCACATTATCAGTGGGATTGTCAGGGAAAACCTTGAGAAGAACTCACGTGAAGAGCAGAAATCCAGTCTGGCTTGACTTTGCAGCTCAGCGAGAAGATGACCTCCAGACTGAAGGGATCCATCACCATGATCTCCGCATAGTAGCCGTTGCAGAAGAGCCTGATGTCGTCGCAATTGGACATGTGATAGGCCTGGATGCTCGTGTGCACCTGACTCAGCTTCGTGGACTCGCGACACTTGCCGTCCACGAGATCCCACGTGCACATCTCGCCCGTCTCCGAGGAGCTGACCAGGAAGTTGTTGTCCTGGATGACGGAGGCGCGCGAGAGGCACAGCACGGGCGCCGTGTGCCCCACCAGAAGACACCTGGGCGTCATTTGCATGGTGTCCGGATCCACTTGCCACAGGCAGATCTGCCCATCGTAGCAGCCCGTGGCCAGTGTGCGCTGGTCACGTGAGAGAAACACACTGGAGACGCAGTGGGTGGGCGCGAAGGGGCCCCACAGCACCACTGGCACCACGAGATTTGTGCTGCCCATCGCGTTACGATTCTGTGAAAACTTCCTGTGACGTCACTATTGATTTTTCATCGCCTCGCGCCAGAGAAGACTCGCCAGATGCCTTTCCACGCGATCAACAGACGGAGAGTCAACACTGGGTCACGCAGGTCACGTTTTTCACGCTTAATAGCTCCTTTCGGAGGTGATTTTCGCGAAAAATCTGAGAAGGATAATTTTCAGTTTTTTCTTCACACCCACATCACTCGAGATACTGCACAGCGGAGCGCAATTGCGCGGTTTTTCTTATCACTCGACTGACGAGTGAAGAAAAATGCCCGGGAAACTCTATTGACACACTGTCCACACTTTTCCCAGTGGTTTTTCAATCGAACTGGATAGCAACTATCGAGGAAAATCAAGGGAAAAGCCACTCGCGCGTGCTTGTTGTCTTCTGGTCAGCTGACTACACTGCAGAAATATTTTGAATTGTCTTCCGCAATTCCCTGGACACACACCACATTTGATGACATTTGCGCGAGCATTTTGCGAATATCACTCACCGCCAGCGCTGTCGTCGCCGTGTGTCAAAACAAAATCGTCAGTTTTCTCGAGAGTGAATTGTGAAAATTGCGCAAAAAAGCCCCGCATTGCCAATATCCGCCACAATGGCTGGTGAAAATATATCGCGACTGCTCTCGCTGGCCAGGAAGTTCAACATCTTCTATCTGGAAGGTGAGTTTTCATGCGGCCGCAGAGATTCTTTTGTCCGCTTCCTCTCGCCCACTTTGGGGTGGTTTTTCCCACTTTTCCCCGCATTTTCCCGTCTTCACACCACCCCTCGGCGCCTCTTGGGCCCTGCGGGAGGACTTTCCCACCGCGCTGCGATGGGTGATTAGCAATTGACCCCGTTTTTTGGGGGTCAGTCGCGAGAGACGACACAGCCGCAGTGCAGTGACCTCCGCCCGTCGGGGGTCCCTGAGCTGCCAGCCTTGGGCCGCTTGATTGATTCTCCTCCGCCGCTTGCAGGCTTGCCCCAGCGCAACTGCCGCCCCTTCGTGGTGGACGGGCGGCAGGTGGGTCTGGTGCGACAGGACGTGGTGAAGCAGCTGGCCAGATACCCCAACGTCTTCAGCATCCGGCAGCTCGAGGCGGAGGAGTACGCCGGCTATGTGGAACTTAACCCCGCCTTCCGGGACTACACAGAGCGCTCGCGGCACGTGGACCGGGTGCTGCGGGAGCTGCGCGAGATGGACGTGTTCGTGGCCCTCAAGGGCTGGCGCGATGAGTTCTACGAGGTGAAGGCGAAGCACTTGGCGCTCCTCAAGATGGACCGCTCGGCCACATGCCTGTTCGGCGTGAGGAACTACGGCGTGGACATCAATGGCTACGTGAAGCACCCCAGCCGGGGGCTCTGCATATGGCTGCAGCAGCGCTCGGACACCAAACAGACGTGGCCAGGTGAGTTCCCAAGCGCGCGCGGCTCGAGATAAGCCTCCCCCCGTGTGTGTGGCTTATCTCTCAATTGAGGCTGATGCAAGTGGCGTGCGTCGGCCGCCGGAGAGGCATTTCGCAAGGCGGCTCCGGACTTGCATCTCTCCCAATTGTGCTCTTATCGGCAGCCGATGAGTGTGACGAAAGCGTATTGAACTGGTTGTGGAACTGGATCAGTGGGGAAATCAATAGGGATTTGTGTGATGAACAGTTTCGATATGGCTTTTTTACAGATTGAGGTCTGCAAGAATGCTTTAATCCGACGACAATTGTCCAATTGCCTTTCATAATTATCAGTGGCGTAGTGTGAATTTTGTTGGAATTTGCAAACGAACAGAAATGTCGAACACTTCATAATTCACGGGGTTTTGTGGCATTTTGGGAGCAAATTTGAATCTCGAGCTTCATTTTGAGTGTTGAATTCGATGTAAAAACTTGTGCTTCAAGAAATATGCGGCTATTTAAATGGTTTTTATCTTTGATTTAAAGATTAATCGTTAATTCTTATTCGGATTTTATTTTTGCAGCTCATTTTAGCACTATTTTTAGAGACTTTAAGCCTAAATAATCACATATTTTGTCTTCGAAAGCTGATCAAAGAGCTTGAAATTCCCTAAATCACGCCCATCGTGAAGCTCCGCCCCAATTTTTCTTCTTTGCCTTCATTGATCGCTACGCCTCTGTTTTTATTGAGTTGCAAATTGATTCATGGGATGAATCTGGTTGAATTCGCACAGTGCAAACCTTGCCATTTGCCAATGTCCTCGAGTTGATGAATCGCGCGCTGCAATTTGGCGTCACTTTCCAAAGGTCATCCATCGATAAAAATTAACGCGCGCTCTCTCTCTCTCTCTTTCCGTGCGCTCTGCGCGTCCGGCCAGGCAAGTGGGACAACATGGTGGGCGGCGGCCTGTCCGTGGGCTACGGGATTAAGGAGACGGCCGTGAAGGAGGCGGCCGAGGAGGCCTCCATTCCGGAGCACCTCACGCGGAATCTCGTGTCCGCCGGCTGCGTGAGCTTCTTCTTCGAGAGCGAGCGCGGCCTGTTTCCCAACACGGAGTTTGTGTTTGATCTCGAGCTGCCCGCGGACTTTGTGCCCAGCAACTCGGATGGCGAGGTGCAGGCGTTCGAGCTGCTGCCGGCCAAGGAGTGCTACGAGCGCCTCTTCTCGCCGGACTTCAAGACAACGAGCTGCCCGGTGGTGATTGACTTCCTCATCAGGCACGGCGTGATCACGCCGGAGAATGGTGAGTTCTTCATCTTCTTGTGATGAGACAATTATGAGCAGTTTCTTAAGCTCTTTTGTGTGTCTTTTTGCAGAGCCAAATTTCACCCAAGTTGTGGAATTGCTTCACGTTCCCCTTCAGACTCTGTATGAGTTTGACGTGACCCGAATCACGGATAATCACGAGAATGGCCAACGAAATCTCCCAACAGCTTAAAGAACAGCAGCTGCAGCAGCGTTGAAGAAAAGAAAAAGTGTGTGGAGATGAATAAGAAATCCAATTTTATACCATTTAAGAGAAACACAAAAACACACACATTTTTTAGCAATTTCATACTAGAAGAGAAGAGAATGATGACGACATATTTCCATGCTTTTTCCTCCTTCAAAATGTAGTCAAGAAGCAAAGAGAGACAAGAAGAAGAAAAAAAAAGAATATTTATCCAAAATTTTGATATAATCAGAAAGAATAGAAAGAGAAGAAGAAGAGAAAAAGGGGAGAAATTTGGAAAATGGAGAAATGAATTTGAAAAGAGGTTTTTTTCGCTTTGAACAATGTAAATTGTAAAATCTCTTGTTTTTCTATATTTATTTGTTTTCTGTGCTCCTCCTGAGGAAGATTTAAGAAAGGAAAAAAAAGTGTTTACGAGAGGAGGAATTTATGACGTGATTTTTTTTTATAATTTATGTGTATTAAGACAAGAAATGATGAACAAAACTGAGTCAAGAATGAAAAATTCCATGTCTTTCGTTTAGTTAGGACGTAAAATAATAATTAATATCTATCGATGATACAAAACACGTGACGATTATTATTTCTTTTTTTGTTTTGGTAAAGAATAAGAGTATTAAGGAAGGGATGAGAATGAAAAATCAGATGATAAAATGTACTTAAAAGAAGAAAAAAAACATATAAAGAAATTCGTTGCAATCTTTATCAATGCATTAAAACTCTATGTATAATTATAGTTGAGAAACGAAGGTGAAGAGAAAAACTGAAGACATTTTTTCCATAAAAACTAGCTGTACTTGAATCTCTTCTCCAAGAGATTTTAATTAATCCAGAGATTTCAGTAAGAAGAAAAGAAAAAAACATAACAAATCTAATTAGAAATGTTTTCTTTCGATGACGCGCACACAACTTTTTCCACCTTATCAGCAATATTATTATTGTTTTTAATCTCTCGCTGTACGATTTTTGAAAATGATATAAAACAAGATAAACTTTCTTTCTGCTCATGTAAATTTTACTTTTACTATAAATATACATAAACGAGTGTTTATAATACATAAAGCGTTGTGTACCAAAAAAAAAATAAGAGAAAGAACAGAGAAAATATTTAATATTCCTACCTAAATCGCCTCATTCATTGTTCTTTATGGATGTCAACGTCGTTATTTTGGTTTTTAATTACAGTTCCATATTTTTTTTTTTGATCTTATCGATGTATATTTTCCCCCCTCGTGATTTTATGCCACATTTTGCTTCTCCATGTTATTTAGTTTTCCTTTTACAGACCCAGAAAGCCCTTTTATTTTCTATAACACTTTTTTTTTTAGAAAAAAGAGAATAAGAGAATAATCTTGTATGTACAGTGATTCTTGTAAGACACAGCGAAAGGGGGTTCTCCTGTGACACAGTCGTCCGTCCACGATGCTAAGCACCTTCTGAGGATGTCTCCTGAATGGTATCGAGTATTTCGCCTCTGCACATTGGGCAGAAGCGCAATTGAGTGACGCATTTGGAGCAGAAACCCCTGGAAAATCAAGCACAGAATCATTCAGGATGTTGCTTTTCTCTTTGGGTTGCCAATATTCCTCACCGATGCTTGCACGGCTCGATTTGCACTGTCGCCTTCTCGTCCACACACAGAGAGCAGGAGTCTTCTTTGACGCTGAGCCGCCTCAGCTGGTCCAGGAAGATGTGACGCGGAAGAACAATCTTGTCGTGCGGACTCAGTTGGGCGAAGTCGTTGAAATTCTTCACGCCAGGACGCTTCTTGGGCGGATAGCGAAAGGGTGTGGCGCCGAAATTGAAACGACACTGCTGGAAGGACATGAAGGAAGCGGCAGCGAAGAATCCCTCCCTGAAAGTGTGCAGAAAAAGCCGTTAAGATCCGCCTAAGAAATACCTTTTTCAGTCTACTCACTTGACACTCCTGAAGACCTGCTTGAAGACTTTACTCTCCACACCGTCCAGACTGAAGACAATCTCCTGATTGTCGAGATCCAGCAGACAGCCCAGAATGGAGCCCGCCTGCCAGCGCGGGAAGTCGTGCGGCATGGATTGCGCGTTGTACCAGATCAACTGCCGACACCCATCGAAGGCCATCGAGTGCGGATCATCGCCGATGCCGTATCCCTCGCGACTCAGGAACTTGGACTCCTTCGTCGCCCAGCCGATCTGCATCACGCCCGGCGTGATGATTGTCACTTCGTAGTACCAGCAGCCGGCGTGCACTTGGAACGTGCAGCGCACACTCTCGAAGCTGTACGCGTCGCAGCGCGCCTCCAGGCCGTCTGGCGAGATCTTGAGATACTCACTCACGTCTTTCGTGTTCAGCATCACATTCACGGCGCTGAGATCCACCATCTCGTACGAGTACTGCCTGGACTCCAGTGTGAAGTAGTTGTCCAGACACCAGCGCGCACAGAAGCCCACTTGGCGCATGAGGAAGTCTCGAGAGTTCACGTGCCTCTCGAGCGCCACGAGAGGATTGCTGGACAGCAGCTTGAGGCTGTGCTTGATTGTGGCCTTGTTCTCGCTCGTCTGCGCGAACTTCTCCAGCGCAATCAGCGAGAAGATCATCACATCGGGATTCGTGCCCTCCTCCAGATTGCCCAGCAGATACTTCAGTGTGCTGTCCGAGAGAATGGAGACGCTATTCGGCCCGGCCAGCCGCTCGGCGAGACACCCGAGGATCACGCAGAAGTTCCTGTTTCGCCGCGCGAAACTCCTCCCGTGCGAGAACTGCGGGATCATGTCGGCCGTCTGCAGCATGGATTCCTTCGTCGGCAGCGGGCTGTCGTCCAGCAGCAGCAGGATCACGTTGGGCCCCATCGGGTGCTCCAGCGGCACCACGCTGATCAGACTCTTCACCAGCTGCAGCCAGCCCGAGGGGCGCTCCGTGATGTCGTGCAGTTGCATCATCGACGCCGGCGGTTCGGGTTCGCTGGAAAAAAAGCCCATGAAGTGACCATGAGTAATTCAGGGAGAATTTCACAAGGTGGGAGTCATAAAATAACTACTGCTAATATAATAATCGTTATCCCCCAGGGCTTATCGAGGTATTTCGCCATAAACCACACACATAACACACTTTTATGGCCAGCATTCTCAGACTTCTCAGAAGCCAAGAGGAAGAGAAGCATCGGTTTCTCTCAATGACCTGCCCTTTGTGCTCATTTGTAAACATTGCATTTCAAGCAATTCCCATCGCCTCTACGCCATCCCTTTCCACTGGACCTTATCGCTGGACCATGAACTCACTTCTCCACTATCTCGCCAATGACGTCCAGGGTCTCCCGGATGAGGCGATCCACGGTCTCGGACAGGGAGTGCTTGTGGCACGTCCTGCGCCCATCAGTTCGTGTCTCACTCGCGTCCATGGACTCCTCATTGGCACTGTCACTGCTCTTGTCCTTGCACAGGCATACGCCCATCTCTCACAGCCACGACTCGTGGTTTCTCCCTGGAAATACCTGACTTTCACGGCACGGAAAACACGCAAGAAATGGAGCAACTCCGCGGAGAAACCTATTTCGAAATCTGCTTGGCGCCCTACTGGGGCCCCTTATCACGCACTGCCACTGGCTTTTTCGCACTGTCCGGACGCGCGGGGCACTTGGGGAGTTGTCATGGGTGTTGTGAGGCCTTATACTCGGGCTTTCCCAGAGAATTTTCACTTTTTAGGCCACTTGAAATCTCACGAACGAACAAAATGACAGACAGCGATTGTCAACACTGCAATTGCGACCAACTTCACTGCGTCTTTCAACACTGCGCTGATCCGTTGAAAGAAGAAAACATTGACATTTTTCAATTAATTTTCCCCCACAGAATGTCCAGACGATCCAGACATGATAGATAAAACATTTTCATCCTACATATCCCAGAACTCACACGCAGAAAATATAGTTTATATTACTTTACACAAATATTCTTCGCAGTGTTGTTGTCAGAGTCAGCAACTCTCTTCACGCTGTTCATCTGGCAAGGCAGAAGTTGTGAAAAATCAATCGCTGTGAGAGATGTGGTGAAAAGTTTCTGTTCAGTGGCACTTTTCCCGTGGAAAATGTGGCAAGATGTGAGTGAAAAGTGTGTAAACATGTGAAAAACAGTTCCCTCATTAGAGTTCCGCTGAAGGATACCCGCAGATACGCTGAATCATTCCGAAAATAGGTGTTTTCCTCACGCGACTGCAGGAGCAACTCTGTGAGGTAAAGGAAAAGTGCTGAGAAAAGTGACTAAAAGGCGGGATTTAGTGGCAATTTTTGTTGAAATCTGCAAATTAATACTTCCTGTGTCTGTCCGAGTGGGCATTGAGACTTCCGCTTTGTGCGTTGGGTGGAAAAATCGATTGGAAAGCGTGCGTGAGACTCAATGGGAGCCCCTCGCTGGTGGAGACATCTTTCTTTTTCCACCCCACAACTCGCGAAAGGAGGAGGAATTTCTGGGAAAACCACGCTTTTTGCCCCGATTCTCTGCGAATTCTTATCAATTTCTACACTTAATTCATTCATGAGAGTCCCAGTGGGGAAACCAGATCACTATTTGTGGCCTTTATCGCACCAGTGGTCGAGATATTGAGTGACGAAGTGAAGCAAAGCTGTGGCAGTGAAAACAAACAAAGCCATGTTCGTCGCGAAAAAATTAATTATTCAGCATTTTAATTCGTGACACCCACGCAAAATGCCTGAGAAATACTCAGTGAAGTCCCCAGTTGGGCAGTCATGAAGCATTTCAATTGGACAGATTGGCTTTCATTGAGAAACACAGGAGAGAGAGAGGAACGATGGACCTCCGTTGCGTGCAGATCGATAAAACCCCCTCATTCTGGCTTTTCCACGGGAAAACCCCCCTTTTGTGGGGCGGCGAAGGGTAGTGGGAATGTTTAATTGAGTAAATAGGCGCCTGAGAGGTTGGAAAAGGCGTGAAGAATTGCCCGAAAGATTGATTTCTTGGGTGGGAAATCAGAGAAAAAAAATCGATTGAAATTAATTTTCCAGCAATTTTCCACGTGTCTAATTCAATTACAGGTTGTGTAGGGGTGGCGGACAGAGTAGGGAAGATTTGGGAAGGAAAGAGAGTAAATATTGTGAAAATTGAAGCGCGTAAAGCGAAGCCTTATGGCAATTCTTAGTCGCTTTTCTGTTTGCCCACAGGATTTTATTAAGTTTTTCCGCACCAACAAACACAAGTGTGTCTCTTCTGCCGCAGAATCCCGGTTTCTGTTGCCCTGAGGGCTTCCATGAACACTTCTTCGGTGTTCTTAAGCGTCTTTGCTGAGCTCTCAATCACTTTGTTTGCCCTAATCTTCACCAAAATGTCTTCTGCCTCCTCTAAGCTGACAGAGGATCGGAGTTTCTGATCCTCTTTGGTGCCCACGAGGATGATTGGGACGTTTGGTTTGGCTTTGCGCAGTTCTTTGCTCCACACGAGAGAGATGTTGTCGAAAGAAAATCTATCTGGGATGGAATAGCAGAGAATGAAGACGTCCGCCTGCAATAACGATTGATTTGGAGGGATTTATGAACAGTTTTTTGTATGTTTAAAATATTCATGCACTCACGAGATCGTAGACAACTTGTCTAAGTCGCTGGAACTCCTCTTGACCGGCTGTATCGTGAACCTTTACAAGGTATTTCTTCTCATTCAGAGTCATTACGAAGGGCTCTACGTCGTAGCTTTTGGAAAAAGGGTTGAATTAATCAATTTCTTAGAAGATAAGACACTTCTTGCGAGACTTACATTGTAGGAATGTAGGATTCCGTGAAATATCCATTCTTGAAGGCGTACACAAGTGAAGTCTTGCCAACTTGTCCATCACCAACGAGAACAATGTGCTTAAAATCCCCAATTTCACCCATCCTTAACGAGAGTTTCACTGGAACTGAATTGGCCGAATTAGCAGTCTTTGTGGCTGGCAAGGGGATTATTGTCATATCTCAGACTAAGATTAGATAGACTTCTATGTTAAAAATACATGTTCTGGGAATTTCTTTAATCGTTGATATCATAAAAATTTCTTATAAACTCCACAAGTCACGAAGAGTTCAGCAGAAGCAGCAACATTTCCTCTTTTCCACAATCTTTCCAGTGAATGAAGCCTCCAGTGCCTCTTGAATGACTTTTTCAACGTTCTTTCCAGTCTTTGCGGACGTTAAGATAAGAGTGTTTGCCTTTATTCTCCTCTTAAGAGCCTCACCTTCGCGTACGGAGACAAAATTGGGTGTTTTAACATCATGTTTGGTTCCAACAAGCACTATTGGCACATTTGGTCTCGCTTTTATGATCTTGGGAATCCACTTGAGCTCGATATTTTCAAATGAAATCCTCTCTGGGACGGCATAGCAGAGAATTATGACATCTGCCTTAATAAAGAGTTAGTTTAGTTGTTTTTTATGATGATATTTTCTACTTTGCACTGACTTACAACTGAATATGCAAATCTACTGGCACTTTCGTAGTCTTCTTGACCGGCTGTATCGTGAAATTGAACCGGATAATCTTCACCATTGAACCTCACGCTCGTTTCTTCGCGATCATAACTGGAGAAAGGATTTGTTAGATCATTAGCTAAGCCGTAATTCACTCACTTACATTGTGGGCACGGTGGATTCCTGGTAGAAGCCGTTAGTGTAGGTGAACAAAAGCGTCGTTTTTCCAACTCTTCCATCTCCAACAATGACAAAGTGTTTAACACTTCTGATCAGCGACATACCTTGCAAACAACTAAGGCTAATCGTTACTTGAAAGTCTACTATTTTGGTCTTGTATCTTATCGTTTTTTTTTATCTGTTCCTATTTGTATAATTGCAATCTTATCGGTTTGAAATTGGGATATGTATTGGACTTTTGAAATGAATTAATGATTTTCAACGTAAAATGATATCAGATTCGCGAAATTTCATGACTAATTGAGAGGAGGCTGGTTTTAGTGGGAGTGGCTTAGAAATGGGCGGAGCTTCGAGAAATTTCCCTCAATTTAGGCAAATCCATATAGCTAGACTGTCAATGTGAACAGAGAGAGCGTGTGAGTCAAGCGATGCCCGCAAGTGAAAAGAATCCCATTGACAGAGACTCTCCTCTGTGCTGTCTTTCATTTCAATGGATTTTTCTCTCTTTGTGTGCTTTTCCCTCTTCTCATACCACAGCTTTTCTTTTTAGTTTATAGACGCGTATCAGCGATTTATTGTCAATAGCGGATAGATTTTCACTGGATTTCCTTTCTTTCTTTCTACTCTTGCCTCAACAGGCACGATGAACATTATGCGGAAATTGAGGAGTGGAGCTGTCGCCAGTGACAGCTCCGGTGAACTGTCTCTAGAGTCCTCCAATCACACCGAACTGGGCCTCATGCATCTCAAGAAGCTCTTCAATGAGTACACCCATCCCAAGGAGGCGCTCAGTGAGTCCGAGCGTGACTTCAAGCTGTACAACATGCTGCCGCTGTTCTGCAAAGTCTTCGGCTCCACGAATTCGGCGGAGATGAATGAGCAGTTCTGGGACATCTTGGCCTTTGCCCAGCAAGTGTCGCGGCTGATGGTGTCGGAGATTCGACGGAGGGCGTCCAATCAGAGCACCGAGGCGGCTTCCATTGCCATTGTGAAGTTCTTCGAGATTGAGAACAGCGAGGAGTCCAGCAATGGCTGGATGCTGCTGTCGGCGCTCAATTTGCTCGCCGTGGGCGATGCGTCGCTGATTCAGGTGATGACAACTGCCTCTGTGCCGTCGACGCTCGTCAAGTGTCTCTATCTGTTCTTCGATCTGCCGGAGATTCCGGAGGAGGTGGCAGATCTGGATGATGGCAGTGAATTCACGCCGCGCGAGCGGAGAATCCTTCTGCAGAAGATCTTCGTGCAGGTGCTGGTGAAGCTCTGCTCTTATCCATATCCGGCGGAAGAGTTGGCCAGAATGGATGACTTAACACTGCTCTTCTCCGCCATTACATCTCAATGTCCACCACACAATGTGATGTGGCGGAAATCCGCTGCGGAAGTCCTGACAACTCTCTCAAGGCACGGACTAACGGAGCCTGTTGTGTCCTACATTCACTGTAAGTTGTGGAAAAATGTGCAGTTGACTAATTGACATGGACTGAAAAATCAATTTTCTCATCAAGATTCATTGTTGAGATTAGACTTAAGTGATTCTATTAAGTCTTTATCTGCGGAAATTTGCCGCGAGAGAGATTGTTGGGGTGAAAAAGAGGTTAAAAATAACATTTATTTGGCAATTTGGGTGGCAGTAAATTGTTTGAAAAGTCTCCAAAAGGGTGTCGTGATATAAATAATCAATTTTCTCACTCATAATTTTGCTCATTTGTGAGGCAGTAAAAAAGGGGAAGTCTTTATTTATTCAATTGCTATTTCGTGACTCTGTGTCGACTTCATTCATGCTGAATTGCTGGGGAAAATCAATGGAAATTGTATATTGAATGTTTCCAGCAAAAGGATGCGTCGCCCTGTGCATCGACAATATGCAGCGAGTGCCACAATTGACGCCTCTGGAAGTGGTGGAGATGCTGGTGGCGGTGTTCTGCTTCCTCAAGGACTCCAGTGAAGTGTCACAGACTCTCCTTGAGGACTTCAGAGCATGTCAAGGGTACGGATTTCTGGCGGATTTCATCATCAAGTGAGTTTATGCTGTTCATTGAGATGTTTTTTGTCGTGTACTCAAGCCTTGTCTTTTGCCAGGCTGGATGGTGAGAGACAGAAGAATTCCGAAGCTCAGGCGGCAATTAGAAATTTAGTGCTGATGATTGCCTCACTGTGCATGTGTGGCTATCTGGAATTGAGGCCTAATCTCAATCAATCTGGCTCACTGTTCCAAATGCAGGGCTTCACGATGCCCCAGACTTCATCACGAGGCACTTGCATAAGGAATGTTCATGCTTTTCAAGTGCTGCAGACAATCTTCCTCAAATCCAACTCCACTCCACTCTGTTGCAACATCCTGGATGCCATCTCGAGTGTCTATCACTCGGACAATGCCAATTACTTCATACTCGAGTCACAGAACACCTTGTGTCAATTCACGGAGAAGATTCATGCCAAGAGTCCGGAGATTCAGGAGAAGTTCTTCGAGTTGCTGGAATTTATTGTGTTTCAGCTGAATTTTGTGCCGTGCAAGGAGTTGATATCAATGTCAATTTTGCTGAAGAGCAATCTCTCAGTGGACTGTAGTATTTCGTGCATGAAGACACTACTCAACATACTCAAGCACAACAATGTCTTCAAGGATGCTTATCGAGAGGTGGGAATTCTCGAGGTGTTTGTCGCCTGTCTGCAGCGCTATGAGACGTTCCTCATGAAGCACATTGGAGAGCATGGACGCAGTGTGGAGGATGATCTGAAGGAGGCAATGGAGGGAAATACCAGCGAAACTCTTGGACGAATGATCATGAATGCCCTGACAATCCTTCTCAATGCCAACAATGCCAATGCGAATGTTTTCCGGGAGAGTGGCGGAGCCAAGTGTGTCCATGACATGGTGAAGTTTGGTCACTGTCGCGAAGCCATTCTCGGCATCATTCGGGAGTTGATCTTATCCGCTGGTGGTGATGACGATATGCTCTTCATCCTCAGCACAATGCATTCGGCGCCGTCAAATAAGATCCAGCTGAAGATTCAGATCCTCAAAATACTGCTGGGATGCCTGAGAGACAGTCATCGCACGAGGACAATCTTCCGGAAAGTGGGTGGCTTTGTCTATGTGACGAGTGTGTTTGTGTCACTGGACGGAGTGCTGGGCAGTGTTGTCCAGTCGAAGGGGAGTGAAGAGGAGATAGAATTTTCAACTCTGCTGCAGTTGCTCAATATTGTGTGTCAGACTTTGGCCACGGCGATGCGCTTTGAGCCGGCGAATGCGAAATTCTTCCATCAGGAGATCTGCAGCACATCCTTCTGTGATACACTGCGACTCCTTGGATGTTTCGGCACGAAAACCCACCTGGAATCCATATCAGCGCCCACGAATCTTGAAGAATATCAAGGATATTTCCACACAATCTTCATTGGGAACGTGTTGGAGCCTGAATTGAAGCAGGATGTGCCTCTGTCGCTGATCCTCGCATGTCTGATCTACAGATTGCTCTATGACATTGCTATTGATAACTTTGATAAGCCTAATTTGAGTGGAGTTGTGGGAATTCTGGCCCAGAGTGGTCAGCAGAAGGTGGCGAAGATTGTGGCAAAGTCAGGTGACATTCGCAGTTCCATTCAGAGTCTGAATCTCAGTCAACAGCCGCCGGAGCCTCTGATTGTGCATCCGGGCGTTGTGCTGTGCATGCTGCAACTCTTGCCGTCAATTGAGTGTGAAACGGAGGTGGACATCAGCTATGCCCTCCAGATCTACATGTCGGAGGTGGTGAAGAGTCTGGTGAGGAGTGAGAGAAATCAGCAGATCATGTGTGAGGCTGGCCTGGCGGGAATGCTGCTGAAGTTGGGCACAAATCCACTGAATGATGAGCAAAATCTCCTGCACATTCCACTTCAATACATTCTCGAGCGCTTAGCTGCTCAGGCGCTGCAGCCGGCAGAGTTGAGAGCATTCCTCAGGCTTGGCGCTCCGCTGCACTGTCACAGTCCGGACTTCAAGGCTGCCTACAAATCGGGCGGATCAGTTCCTCTGACGCGCATCAAGACACTCGTGTCTATGACCACACCGAGAGACTTCCGTGCTCATGGATCCTGCACTCTGCCGCCCTTCATTGAGATGGACATGTCGTCCGAGGGATTTGCGAGCATCTTCCTGCCCAGCATCGCTCCGCAAGCGCCCAATATTGGTGGGAATATTGACACGAACACCATTGGAGGAATTGGAGCTGGAGACAGGATCTTTCCGCCACAATCTGGACTGTCGTACTCCACGTGGTTCTGTGTGGACAAATTCTCAGATCCACGAACAGATCCGCACTGCGTGAGACTCTTGACGCTGGTCAGGACGGTGAATAACGTGCGAGAGGACAATCTGGTCTGCCTGACTTTACTCCTGTCGGCGAGAGACAAGGCCATCATTGTTTCGACGCAGGAGACCATTGTCCCACCGAATGCTGGGGAGTGGGAGCCCGATGGCACTGGTGACAGTGGGGCGAGGATTTGGTGTCCGGATCTGCTGCACGAGGGTCAGTGGCATCATTTGGTTGTGGTGCTGAATAGGGCGGTGCTCAAGAACTCCAGTTTCTCCCTCTTCCTTGACGGACAGCACATGCACACGCAAAAGCTTCACTTCATCTCGCAGAATCCAGGAGCTGGAGCTGCAAATCTCACCGTAGCCACTTCAGTTTACGCTTTCATCGGCACTCCGCCGGCCTGGCGGCGATACTCTCGTCTGTGTTGGAAGCAGGGCGTGTGTCATCTCATGGAGGATGTGATTAGTCCACAAATGGTGGTGACTATCTTCAATCTCGGTCCGCACTACATGGGATCCCTTCAGGCGCCGCAGGTGAGGAAGCAACTTGAACCTCTGGGACCGTTGATTCCGGAGGAGAGAGTGATGTTTGGTCTCAACGCCAAAGCCATTTCCCAGTTGACTCTGGCCAAGATCAGGAAGGTGTACAGTCGAGCGGACAATAAGACGATAGCGAAGCAATTGGGCATGAGTTCCCATGAGAATGCCACACCCATTCGGATACTTCACAACTCTGCCGGACACTTGGCTGGACCGGCAAGATCTCTGGGTGGAGTTCTTGTGGGTTATCTAGGCGTGAGAGTCTTCAGTCCGCATCCAGTGTCTGCGATGATTGAGACTGTGGGCGGATGCAGCATTCTGCTGGGGATAATCGGGATGGCGCAGGACGTGGAGAGTCTGTATGCGGGCGTGAAGGCGCTGACGTGTGTGGTGAGGAGCAATCGAGCCACACAGAGTGAGATGGATAGGAAGAGAGGCTATCAGACGCTGGGAATGTTCTTCAAGAAGAAGAAAAACCTGCTCAACTCTCACATCCTTCATCTCACGTTTAGTCTGGTGGGAACGGTGAATAGTGGACAGGAGACATCGGCGATACCCAATGTGACGGCCTTCCAGGACTTGCTCTGTGATCTGGAGGTGTGGCAAGGGAGTCCCAATGGGCTGTTGCGCTCACTGTTGGAGCATTTGGTGCAATTGGCCTCGGAGTCGAGTGAGAAGAGGACGAATATCAAGATCATGAGGGATCTGCAGCTGGTGATGAAGCTGTTGCACATCATATTTGACATCCACGATGAGCCCACGACGGATATTCTCTTCGCCTTGCTGTCCATTCTGCTCGGTGGACAGCCAAGGCATGCGGATCTGCTGCTGTTTGGGCAGTTCATTGCCGCACGCTTACCACCGGAGTCTGTGGATGCGGAGCGGAGTGTGGTGTTGGGTGCAGAGAGTCGTGATGCAAAGGACAATACAACTGTGAGGAGTCTCGTGGTGAGGAATCGATGCCTGACAATGCTGCATGGGCTTCTCTTCACCGCGAGGAACACAGTGAACACCATCATCTGTGATGACATCTCCAAGGTGTTGGGCCTGGATTGGCTGATGCTGTTCCAGCAGAGCCAGATCCATCCGTCGAGTGTCGTGTGGTCCATGCGAATACTTATTGTGCTGTGCGCTAATGAGACAATAATTGGACGATTCCGCGATGGCACTCACAATGGTGGCTACTTGAGGCACACGGACATCGTGTCGCAGAACAAGAGCATGTCTGTGCTGGCGTCCAGTCAGCTGGCCACGTCTTCGCCCGTCAACACCAGCTCAATGATCCAGCCGGGCGCGGTGCTGCCCACTCAGCTGGCGCCCGAGGTGAAGATTGGTGTGCTGCATGTGCCGGGATTTCAGTACTTAGAGTGGCTTCTGCCGCAGCATTTGGAGATCCCGGAGTTGTACTTTCTTCTGATTGCTCTGATTATGGGACAGCCGGTGAAGTCTCTCGCTTCGGATCATAAGAATCTGGACTTGGACAAGGTGTGGGCCTTTCTCTGGGGCGGAACAGTCACTCAGGCCTCCATAGGATCAATTGGACCAAAGGTCAGTCTATGTCCGGAGGCAGTGTGTGTCCTCCTGTCCATGGTGCGACGGATTGTGCACACAGACACGACGCTGGAGTGGCTGAAGAATCATCCTGTGACAATAATCCAAGTTCTCTTCTCACTCTATCACAATCTGCCGGACTTCATGCCAGTCGTAATGTCTGGAGATGTGATTAACTCGTTGTCGGGAATTCTCTTTCCCGAGGGGAAGTTTGAGGGTGAATCCGGACCGAATAGTCCAACGGAGGAGCAACTGTGTGGTGTGATGGTGATGATTCCGCCCACACAGGAGAGTTCTCTCACCAAACATCCCGTGAGGAAGTTCATCATAGACTTCCTCAGAGTGATCATTGTGGATTCCATGAGTCTCTCGGCCACTGGCAAAGCATCTCCTGTTGTGGATCTCGTGCTGGATTCTTCACCGGATTTCAGTGATTTGACACAGCAAGTTGAGTTCCAGACTGAGATCATATCAGCCCTGATGGATCATCTGCTGGCGGCTGATGTTCTGGTGGGCGAGCAAGCGGCTCTGCCCATTGTTCCACTGCTTCAGAGTCACATTCAGAACATTGTGCCGAATGTTTTCTACGTCACGGCGCGCATTGTGGATAAACTGTGGCAGGGATGTCTGAACAAGGATCCTCATGAGATCTTTGACTTCATCGTGAAGCTCATTGGTCAGGCGAAGAGGAGATCTTCATCGCTGTCGCTGGAACAGCTTCATCACTCACTCAACAGGACAATTCTCTACTTGCTGTCGCGTCCGACGGAGTCTGTGGCCGATCAGATGGCTGTACTGGAAGCCCTGCACAAGTTAACCACGAATCGCTTGCTGATCTTCGGTGCGGGCAATCATGAGCTGGACTTTATCGGATGTTTAACATATTGTCTGCTGCAGCTGACGTCGGACATGAAGATCCTGCTGGAACAAGGAACAGCCGGCAGGACAACCACTTGGCATGTGAATCCGACTAATGAGATGATAGAGTCGCGGGATGATTTACTCAATCAACATCAGGGGAAGAATTTGATTGCGGGAGCGGCTTTTCGCGTGTGGGAAGAGTTGTATGTGTGCAAGAAGCCGGCAATTGAGGAGGTCTTCAAGATCACACTCACACCGCCGGCAAATAATGCTAAAGCGCCGGATCTGACAATTACCAGGGAGCAAATTGTTGAGGCAGCCACAAAACTGTGGTTTAACTATGTTGAGAGTGAGCGAAAGGCCACTTATCGTGTTCCCTGGGAGTTCCACAATCAGATCCAGTCGAAAATACAGAAGGTCACGGGTGGATTGACGCGATTGGCCAGCCGGACGAAGGTGAAGAAGGAGGATTATGTGCGGACAAAGAGCCAACTGTCGCGCGTGAAGGCATTCCAGTGGACGGCCGTGAATGTGGGCTTGGTGCGTGATCTCTGGGACATTCGCTATGCTCAGCACAATCAGATGATGCAGCACATCCGGCGCTATGTGTATCAGGAGTGGATTCAATCGGAGACGGAACTGACGAGGGAGAGAGGACTGTGGGGCCCGGTGAAGGGCACATCGCTGGAAAAGTGGGTGTTGGATTCGACTGAGGGGCCGCACAGGATGCGCAAGAAGACTATGAGGAACGATATGTTCTACTTTCACTATCCATATCGGCCAGAACTGGAGCTGCCTGACAATGTGAGTATATTTAGAGAGGAGAGAGAAATCTGGAGATGCTAATTCTGTGTCTTTTGTGCTTTCAGCGTCAATTGAAATACAAAGTGGCCACGAGCTTCGATAGTAAACTGCACTCTCAATATTGCCAGCAAACGCCTCGTGTGCTGTGTGAGATGGAGTCGCTGTTTGACGGTCAGAGGTTGGATAACCAGATGTCTGTGGATGTTCCGGCGGTGCTGGAGCGTAGTCAGAGTGAGCCTGGTGAGGATATTGACGAGGAGGAGGAGGAAGTGTCCCATGTGTCGGACAATCAGACACTGCTGCGAATGCTGGAGGAGCAGGAGAAGATCTCTCACATGTTCAGATGCGCCAGAATTCAGGGATTGGACACGACTGAGGGATTGCTGCTGTTTGGCAAGGAGCACTGCTACATTGTGGATGGATTCACGCTGCTGAAGAACAGGGAGATCAGGGACATTGATTCCATTCCCGTGCGCGCTTATGATCCCATCTTGCCCAATCCGGGCAGTCCGAGGCGTTCGCAGACAATCAGGCAGTGCTCAAAGTTCTCCTACGAGGACATCCGGGAGGTGCACAAGAGGCGATATCTGCTGCAGCCGATTGCTCTTGAGGTGTTCTCTGGCGATGGCAGGAATTATCTGCTGAGCTTTCCGCGGAAGGTGCGCAACAAGGTGTACCAGAGATTCATGTCCACGGCCACGTCCATTGCTGACAGTGCGCAGCAATCGGTGGCTGGGCAGAAGAGGACGGCGAGTGTGGAACAGACTTCGGGGATCTTCAGCAGTCTGATTGGCGAGACGTCAGTGACGCAGCGCTGGGTGAGAGGCGAGATCTCCAATTTCCAGTATCTGATGCATTTGAACACGCTGGCCGGGCGTTCCTACAATGATCTCATGCAGTATCCTGTGTTCCCCTGGATCCTGGCCGACTATGAGTCCGATGAGATTGACTTCGCCAATCCGGCGAGCTTCAGGGACTTCTCGAAGCCGATGGGGGCGCAATCGGGCGAGAGACTGGAGCAGTTCCAGAAGCGCTACAAGGAATGGGATGATCCGCAGGGTGAGACGCCGCCATATCACTATGGCACACACTACAGCTCAGCCATGATTGTCTGCAGCTACTTGGTGCGCCTGGAGCCCTTCACGCAGCACTTCCTGCGCCTCCAGGGCGGCCACTTTGATCTGGCCGACAGGATGTTCCACAGCGTGAAGGAGGCGTGGCTGTCGGCGTCCAAGTACAACATGGCAGATGTGAAGGAATTGATTCCTGAGTTCTTCTATCTGCCAGAGTTCCTGGCCAATGCCAACAACTTCGATCTGGGCACGAAGCAGAATGGCGAGAGTTTGGGTGACATAATTCTGCCGCCGTGGGCAAAGGATGATCCGCGGGAGTTTATCAGGATGCACAGACAAGCGCTGGAGTGTGATTATGTGAGTCAGAATCTCCATCAGTGGATAGACTTGATCTTTGGCTACAAGCAACAAGGACCAGCCGCTGTGGATGCGGTGAATGTGTTCCATCATCTCTTCTACGAGGGCAATGTGGACATTTACAAGTGAGGAAGATTGCTTTACTCGGAAAGATTCAACGATCTTAACACTCTCTTTGTTTGCAGCATTGATGATCCGCTGAAGAAGAACGCCACCATTGGATTCATCAACAATTTCGGGCAAATCCCGAAGCAGTTGTTCAAGAAGCCTCATCCAAGCAAGAAGATGACCAATTCCAAGCACGGCGTCATCGATCCGACTCCTCTTCTGCCGGGCACAACGATTTTGCAGTCGGACAAGCTCTTCTTCCACAATCTGGACAATCTGAAGCCCAGTCTGCAGCCTATCAAGGAGCTAAAGGGTCCTGTTGGACAGATAATTCAGCCTGATAAGACAGTGTTGGCTGTGGAGCAGAATAAGGTGATGATCTGCAGCCATTTTCACGTGAATGATTGTTATTGAGATCTTTCAATTGCAGGTATTAATGCCTCCGTCTTACACGAAGTACATCGCATGGGGATTTGCTGATCACTCCCTCAGGATAGGGATTTACGAGTCGGACAGGGTGTTGTTCGTTTGCGAAACGGTGGCTCAGAACTTTGGGGAGATTCTCACGTGCGCCTGTCCGAATGCCAGGACAATAATCACAGCGGGAACGAGCTCTGTAAGCTTTCTGGGCATAGTTTCTCACTTTGATAAACTTGCTGAAATGGCTGTTCTTGTGATCACAGGTCGTGACTGTGTGGGAGTTTGACTCCAGGAAGAAAATGTTGGCTCTCAAGCAATCCTTGCACGGCCACACGGATGCCATCACTTGTCTGGCCGCCAGTCCGGCGTTCAATGTGATTGTTTCCGGGTCGAGAGACGGCACGGCGATCATCTGGGACATGGCCAGGTACACTTTCGTGCGCCAGCTGAGAGATCACGTGGGCGTTGTGGCGGCCGTGTGCGTGAATGAACTCACGGTGAGTTGTTGACTTGGTGTGAAGAGTTCAAATCGGCTCATTTTGTGCTCTTTTTCCTGCAGGGAGACATTGCCACTTGTTCAGCCACTTGGCTGTACATCTGGTCCATCAACGGACACGCTCTGGCCAATGTGAACACCAGCATTGGGAGCATTGATCGAATGCAGCAGATTCTGTGCGTGGCGTTCTCCTCGAAGCGCGAGTGGGATCAGCAGAATGTGATAATAACAGGATCAACAGATGGAGTTGTGAGAGTGAGTTTCCATTGCCTTTTTTCTCTGGCCAATCTCACAATTCCTTCTGCACTTTCTCTCCTGCTTCTAGATGTGGTCGATGGAGTATGTGCAGATCCCAATTGAGGAGAAGAAGGTGAGCGAGACGAAGGCAGTGAAGAGTCAGAAGGAGGATACGAATTTGATAAAGCAGATCAGCGAAGAGTGCAGCGGTGGAATTGACAAGTCACCGAGTGAGAGCAGCATCTCTGAGGCTTGCGACAGTGTCAAGGAGACGTCGAAGCGCTTTGAGGCTGAGAAGGAGGATTGTAGTGACACTGAAACGCCCAGCATTCGAGATGATGATCCGCCTGTGCCGCCGATGAGGAAGAAGCACAGCATTTCAGCGGCCAAGTCGCTGCATGAGTTTAAAGATGAAGAGGCGGATTTGAGTGCGGATGTCAAGAATGGTGAGAGAAATATTGGAAGTGGGATTTGCACTGCAAATACTCATCTTTAGATGCTTTTGCAGAGACTTCCGGGAAGAATGGTGACAGTGGTGAGGAGCAGTCGAGAGGGATTCGACCGAGTAAGTCAGAGACGAGTATTACAGGATCTTTTGTGGTGATTGACAATGAATCAGTGAAGAAATCCACACAAAACACTCTCAGATCAGGTGAAGTATTTAATAATGTGGTTATAAAAAGGATTTGGAATTGATTTCTGGGATTTTTGCAGGCTTCAAGTGGCAACGACAGCTGCTCTTCCGCTCAAAGCTCACCATGCACACGGCGTACGATCGCAAGGATAACACAGAACCGGCGAGTATCACTTCCTTGGCAGTGTCCAAGGATCACCGGACGCTGTACGTGGGCGACGCTCGTGGCAGGCTCTTCTCCTGGAGTGTCTGTGAGCAGCCAGGGCGCAGCATGGCAGATCACTGGCTGAAGGACGAAGGCGCTGATCAGTGCATCAACTGTAGCGTTCGGTGAGGCTCTCTGAATGGTGATTGGGAATGTTAAGAGGCTTTAATTGTGTGTCTTTTCGCTCAGGTTCACTTTATACGAGAGAAAGCATCACTGCAGGAATTGCGGGCAGGTGTTCTGCAACAAGTGCAGTCGCTTCGAGTCGGAGATTTCTCGGTTGCGCATCCTGAAGCCGGTGAGAGTGTGTCAGAATTGCTACACAGCTCTCAAGCAGTCCAGCGAGGCATCATAGATGAATGGGAAAAGAGGGAGAGAATTCCCTTGTAGGAATCCCTAAAAAAAAACACAGTCGAAGACATGAGATTATAGTTGCAATGTTAGATTGAGTAGTTTGATGAAGAAAAAAAAAACCAAAAGTATTTATACAAACTGTGTAAAGATGGAAAGAAACTCCAATATTGAGTATTTAGTGAAATGATTGTAGGCTCTAGAGAGAAAAGAAGAGGCACAGGAGATTGTGTAATGTAATTGTACAATGTAGATGAAAGGGAAATTCATTGAGTAGTGCATGAAGAAGAAGATAAAAAGTGTATAAACTTGGTGTTCTCCTCGTGTGTGTGTTGAAGACGCGCGCGCGTCGGGAGAGCGAGAGATTTAGGCAAAATCTATATCCAATATCTTTTCATCCTACTGTAAAATCCTCATCTCTCTCTGTAGCTAAAGAGGAATATTTATTTATTGTGATTTTTTTTATTTTACAAAATGTGGTATATATACAAAAACGGAGAAGGAGAGCAGATAATACAATAAATTGACAAATATCTATACAAAGATAGAATGTCTTTTTCTCTTAGGTGTTTAAAAGGTGTTTTAAAATTTTGCCACTCAGCCTGCGTCGCGTCCTTCGCGCCGAAGCGCGAGCGATCTTCAACGACGGATGAGAAGAGCCCGAAGGCCTTCTCGCCGTCCTTTTCACGCTCCAGACGAGACGCTACGCTGCATAGCATCATCGCGGCTTGAATCGCCACCCAAATAGGACTAACGATTGATGAAGACAAACTACAGAAATGATCCTGTGAAGTATAGTCTTGTCCGTTCAACACATCGTCTCGGCTCTTGTAATTCTCCTTCCTGTGTTGTGCTCATGAAGTATACTCTCGTCGACGAAAAGTATTCAAAGCACAACTTTTCACAGAGGTCGCTATGAGCGTCAAAAGGCCAAAAAAGCACCAATTTGTTCGGCAATTTTCGTTCCCGAACGGAGGCAGCGCTCTCGGCGACTGGTATCGCAATCGCAGGTCATATGACATTTTGATAATTCTTCTGGCTCGCGGAAAATTTGGTCTTGTGAGGCCACTCTTGTGATCTTTTTTGGTGATTTCGTGTGCTGAGTGTCCTGAAAATGACGGGCTTCATGTTCAACATCGACGGGGGCTACCTGGAGGGACTGTGCCGTGGCTTCAAGTGCGGAATCCTCAAGCAGTCCGACTACCTCAATTTGGTCCAGTGCGAGACCCTGGAGGGTGAGTTTCCACCATTTTCCTGCCCACTTTCTGCTCTTTTCCACCCAATTCCAATGTAGAGACCATCTGGGGAGGTTTTGAAGTGGGATTCTCAACTCCCGAATGGGTTTTTGTGGGGGGAAATTGAGTTGATCTCGTGAGGGAGTGTCCTTGGGGTTTTTTCCCAGATTTCTCTGTCTTTCGCGACCTTTTCCAGCTGCTTTTCGAATGTCTGATGAATCCTTTCTCTCCCACAGACCTGAAGCTTCATCTCCAGGGCACGGATTATGGTCAGTTCCTGGCCAACGAGCCCTCTCCGCTCACGGTGTCCGTGATCGATGACAAGCTGCGCGAGAAGCTCGTGATTGAGTTCCAGCACATGAGGAATCACGCCGTGGAGCCTCTGTCCACGTTCCTGGACTTCATCACGTACAGCTACATGATCGACAACATCATCCTCCTGATCACGGGCACGCTGCACCAGCGCCCCATTTCGGAGCTCATCCCCAAGTGCCACCCGCTGGGCAGCTTCGAGCAGATGGAGGCCATCCATGTGGCCGCGACGCCGGCCGAGCTGTACAATGCCGTGCTGGTGGACACGCCCCTGGCGCCCTTCTTCGTCGACTGCATCTCCGAGCAGGACCTCGACGAGATGAACATCGAGATCATCCGGAACACGCTGTACAAGGCCTACCTGGAGGCCTTCTATGACTTCTGCAAGAAGACCGGCGGCACCACGGCGGACGTGATGTGCGAGATCCTGGCCTTCGAGGCGGATCGCCGCGCCATCATCATCACGATCAACTCGTTCGGCACGGAGCTGTCCAAGGACGACAGGGCGAAGCTGTATCCGCGCTGCGGCCGCATGAATCCCGATGGTCTGGCCGCTCTGGCCAGGGCCGATGACTACGAGCAGGTGAAGGCCGTGGCGGAGTACTATGCGGAGTACGCCGCCCTGTTCGACGGCTCCGGCAACAATCCGGGCGAGAAGACGCTGGAGGACAAGTTCTTCGAGCACGAGGTGAAGCTGAACGTGTTCGCGTTCATCCAGCAGTTCCACTACGGTGTGTTCTACTCGTATCTGAAGCTGAAGGAGCAGGAGTGCCGCAACATCGTGTGGATTGCCGAGTGCGTGGCCCAGAAGCACCGCACCAAGATCGACAACTACATCCCGATCTTCTAAATTTGTCATCGCGCGCGCACGGGGGCTCACATTCCTCTATATCCCCCCCTCTTAGGTATTTTTGTCTCTTTATGCCGGATAATAAGTGTGTACATTATGGGTTTTCTTTCCAAGGAGTGGCTCTGGGCTCCTCCAGGACCGCCCAGTATTAGAGAAGAATGTATATAAAATGTATTTATCGTTTAGTTGATTGTTGACGCTGTTGCGGTGAGATGTACAGCGGTTATCGTCATCAATAAAGGCAAGATATGTGCAAAATTTAGTGGACAAAATGTGTTTATCTGGGAATTTCTGGGAGAGAAAAAGCGCGATAAAGATGAGCTTTTAGAAAGCATGGCAGAAGCGCGTGAAGTTCGCCGCGATTGAGCACCATTTTCGCCGACTGCAGCGCCACGGGTACGCAGCGGTGGAATTGTGGCTGTCAAAATATCTCGATTGTGTGTTGCGAAAAATCGGTCTGGATCCTGAAAAAATGGAAATTACATCACAGACGAACGGCGTGACGGGCACCACGCGCAAAAAGGACGGCACGGAGGCCAAGGAGAACCTGTGGTGAGTGGATTTGGGGCGCTGTGCGCGCCTGGGCGACTGGTGCGTGGCAGACAAGCGACGGGCTCCCGTGAGAACGCCTATTTTGGTCGCCCCATTGTCATGGCTTTTCTCACCATCACACTCACCTCGCGATATGCTAATTGCAATTAATGCGCGATCGCGCATTCCCTCAGCATTCCCCACTAATCACTGGGCCACTCTCTCCGATGACATCACGCTCGGGAGAGTCGCCAGTTGGTGCGCTCTGGCGGCGTCCGGAGGCCTCGACGGCCGTCCGGACGCGACGGGCTTCTCACCCGTGAGATTTGCGCGGCCTGCGGGCGACGAGGGTGGCTGGGGGGTGGGTGGGAAGAGCGAGGGAACAGGTGTCACTCCCCCATCGATTGATGACTCATGCATCGGAGACGCAAGCTAAGACACGCTCTCTTCTCTCTCTCCTGGACAGGTCCGAGATCCTGGGCGAAGTACAAAGGCAGGGCAGCACGAAGCTGCCGTCCAACAAGTCGGTGCTCGTCGTGGGGGACAACGCGTCCGGCAAGACCAGCCTGATCGCCAAGCTGCAGGGCGTGGAGGACCCCAAGAAGGGCTCGGGACTCGAGTACGCCTACATAGACGTCCGTGATGAGTACAGAGACGGTGAGTCTGCCCGACCATTATCCCCGAGAGGGGCCGAAAACCCCCAAAAGAGACCCGGTAATTGGGTCACGATGTGTCTTCACGCGACAAACCTTCGGTTTTTGGTCTTTTCTGGCCATTTAATATGGCCAGAAAATCATGTTTGTTTTAACATTGTAAGCAAACGAAGAGATTTCTTTGATATTTTCTGTGGAAAAAGCAAAGAAATTGAACACGGAAAATGTGAGATTGAGAATTGTCTGTGAAAGAAAAAGATAGTTAAAAATCTTAATGACTCTTCAGCAAGTATTTCGCATAATAATGAAGAATCAGCTTCTATATCGCATTGAAACATTCTTACTTAAGTTCTTGATATGTTTGTTTTGACTAATCGTCATTAAAATTGTTAAGTAAACTAACTTGTCGCCGGGATTTTCCGCATCTTGAAATGCCAACATATTTTTCGACGCACAATTGTCCATAATTGCATCAAAGTCTTTTTAATTGCACTGAAAAATCATCTTTGTCACGTCAAATGTTCATTCAAAATGCTCGAAATTATAAGAAAAAAAATGAAGAAGACGAAAGTTTTTATGTAAAATTCTGCTTTCTTTTCGTAAACCTTTCGATAACCTTCGGACAAATAAGACCAATAAGACACATATGAATAATTTAGAATTGTGTAATCGGGAATATTGAGAGCAAAGTGTGTATAAAAGCGCGAGATAATGTGAAATTTGCACATTCAAGTGTCAATTTTCGACGAGTGAACAATCATGAAGTGGTTTTTCATCATTGCAATTTTGCTTAAATGTTCTGTGCCGTTGCGTTGTGACAATTATTCTGATCAAGTGCTAAACAAGACGCATAAAGTGGAAATTCAACGTTCTGCAGAGTCCTTTTCTCCTTTGGAGCCACGTAAAATCATCTACACTTGGAATGTTTTGAATTCAGGATTGATTATGCTGTGATTTTATAGATTATGTGAATCACAAGGATAATTTGGATGCTCCAGAAGGGAATGGAAGATTTCTAGATCACTTCTTGACACAACATTTGAGGCAGAATTATGATTTTTCCGTGAAACTTAAAGCTTCTCACGTGATTGGCGAAGAAACATTTGCAATGGAGGACGAAATTCACTTGACAGTTTCTCCTTGTGAGTAAATCAACTGTTTGCAGAGAGTTATAAATATTACTAATGATTACTTTGGGGTCTTTCCAGTCACATCTGACACAGTGTTGGTGAATGCACACTATTCTAATGAGGAGAAGTATGCAAATTCCAGCATTGCTCATATGTTAATAGATGAGCAGAGTGAGAATGATGAAAACATTACGATGGATTCTATAGTTTTCCTGATTAACAGCAATGGAAAAGTGATATTGCCACAAGATAAGCCAACAGCGAGTGTTAATCTTGTAAAATTACTGGCGAAAGTATTGATTTACAATTGGAGAAGTCATCAAATGGGAGAATTTGGGACATTTGAGAGCTCTGAACGTTCATTAAAAGGACACTGTCGCTTGAATAGGGAAGTGAAGAGTATTAAAAACATCACAGAAATCAGATTTGTGACTAAAAGTTGTCCTGAACTGAAATTTCGATCTGATAGCATTGGAAATGTTAGTAAAATTCATACAAAACACGAAATTAGTTATGGTTTCGAAGGGGAAAAAGATTCCTCTTTGCTGAAGTACTCAATAATTTCCATTGAAGATGAATGGCAATTGCAGGATTCATTTAACTTGATTTCTAAACTTGATGTTAGTCTTTCGGCTATAAAGAATGGAATTTCTGATGCTGCCAAAGCGATGATTTTCATGGATAAACATTTGGATTTGGAGGTCAATCGATGTGCTAAAAATGTCCTTAGAGATTTTTGTCATGTCACGCCGAGGAATTTGAGTAATTCTTCACTTTTCGTCGCTGGTTTGAGGTTTTCAGGAGAGGAGAAAGATATAGTTTCGGTATTACAAATATCACAGACCGATAATTCCAGATTATCTGTCATTTGTAATGTGGATTATAACTATTTTGGCAGAACGCTTAAGATTGTAAACTTATTCTTGTGGCGCGACGGAAGAATGAGAGGATCAGATGTGGGTGTTAAGGATGCAATGTTGGCTGTAAAGAGTCAAGATGCAAATAGTTTAACAGACTTGACTGCATTGCTGCTGGTTTTTCTTGATCCTTTCCATCAAATGCTCTTCAGCGCCACTGTTGGCTTGTACACTTTGCTGCATTTCAACGTGAATTTGATTGAAGAGATGAGAAATAAGAGTGTGAAGGAGTTGCGAACGTTTGAAGATGCGCCATTGACTATTTGTGAAACGATAACTGAAATTTTGAGTGAAAATTCTCAAGGTGATTTGATTGTGCTGCAGAAAAGACACTTTATGTTTGTCAACTATAGCATTGATTTGGTGAACTTGATAGGAAATGTTAATTCATCTGTTGTAGTTTCTGATGTGCGAGAATTTCACTTGAGCAAATATGATGAAGACAAGTATTTCATGACGCATTTGAATGGTAATATGACATTTTCCATTGGCGCCAATCTGCAGAAAAATATCACTTTTGGGGTAGAATTTATGCAAGACGATATATTACCAGAAATTGAGCCTCTAACTTCGGAGAAAATACAAGAAGATTCATTCTCAATGCATGGATCTGTTCCGTCTTTGGAGGATTACAAGTATTCCCAATTGGGAAGTGTTTTTACTCTCGCGAAGACGCGTTTTGAGCTCTTGGATCTCCTCTTATTCGGTCCTGCTTTGGAGGATTGTTAGGATTGTTAGCATTTTTGTGAGATAATAAAGTTCTAATGAATTAAAATCTCTTTTAGTGACTCCTTGAACATGTTTGACAAAGCGGGAAGAGTTGTGTATTTAATGCAGTGTTTTCTATATGTCTTGCAGATTTGACACGATTGGGAGTTTGGGTGCTGGACGGCGATCCAGGGCACACGAATCTCCTCAAGTTCGCGCTGAATGAGTCGAGCTACGCGCACACGCTGGTCATCCTCGCTGTGTCGATGAACACGCCGTGGTCGTGGCTGGAACAGCTGCAGCACTGGCTCAAGATACTCGCTGAGCATGTGGACAAGCTGAAGCTGGAGACGGAGGAGCGCCAGGCGGCGCGTCAGAAGCTCGTCACCGCCTGGCAGACGTACTGCGAGGCGGGCGACGATCTGGATCCCGGCTCGCCCATGAAGAGGAGCGCCAGGCTGTCGTCGGCGGATGATGAATTGGATGCGTTACCACTGCCCGAGGGCGCGCTCACCACCAACCTGGGCCTCGACATTGTAGTCGTTGTGACAAAGGTGAGAAGATGATGATTTTAAGACTGCTTTATTTGATGGTTCTGAGTGAATAAATTGGGTCTTTTGCCCTGCAGACTGACTACATGACCACTTTGGAGAAGGAGTTCGACTATCGGGATGAGCACTTTGACTTTATGCAGCAGTGGATAAGGAGATTCTGTCTGGCGCATGGCGCATCGCTGTTCTACACGAGTGTTAAAGAAGACAAAAACTGTGATCTACTTTATAAATATTTAACGCATCGAATTTACGATCTGCCGTTTCGAACACCGGCTCTTGTCGTGGAGAAAGACGCCGTTCTCATGTGAGTCTCTCACACGAAATGCTTCCCACCCACAATTGCCACCAATCACACTCATCATGCTTCTCTCTTCTCTCTGTCTTTTTTCCAGTCCTGCTGGCTGGGACAACATGAAGAAGATCAGCATCCTGTACGAGAATATGCAAACATGCAAGCCCGATGACTACTACACGGATATCATTGTGCCTCCTCCACAGCGGAAGGTGAGAGTTAAGAGATGCGCGCGCGCTGCCTTGACCTCAAATGCTCTCTGTGTGACAAGTAAAAAAAACTGTCTCTCGACACTCTCAGCGTGCCTAATTGTGTGAAATTGAGCATAATTTCAGAGATGGCTTCTTATGAAATCACACTCTATCGTGTTTTGGCTTGAGAAACATCACATTTAAATCCCATAAATTGTTTTTTTGTCGATCGCGCGATCATGAGAAGAGAGAGAGACACTCGCTTGTGACCCAGTGAAAGTGTGATGATGATGCGATGACTCAAGTTGACCCATATATTTGTCAATTGAGAAGGGTCAGATGATCACTAAAGGCCTATTAATTGACTCTCTGTTCTGCACTTCCTTCGCAGACGGCGACCAATCGGGAAGTGGAGGTGCATCCTGAGGATGAGCAGACGTTCTTGGCGCGCCAGCAGCAGCTGCTGCTGCAGGGACAGACGCCAACGAGAGGGGAATCGCCCATGAGATCGCAGCCGGGCGGCAAAGTGTCCCCGCGAACGCCGATAACGGGCAGTCAGGGATCACCCAATAAGAAGGTGAGTGATGTGTGGATGTCTCTGTGTGACTGGGAAAAGCTAATGAGGATTTCTTGTGGTTTTAGATCGATGCCAAACTGACGCCAGGGACGCCTGGCGGTGAGGGAGTTTTGGCGAACTTCTTCAATTCGCTGCTGAACAAGAAGTCCGGCACGCCTGGTGGGCCTGCCGGTGACATGGGCGGCAGTCCGAGGAGTCCGGCGGGCAGGCAGCCGCCCAATGGCATGGAGGAGGGTGCTGGTGAGAAGATGAGCGTGCGAACGGACGCCGCGGCGGAGCTGGATCGGCTCACGAGGAGTGTCGTGAGTAAAAAGGAGGCGGAATATGCGGGCCAGAGTGATTGCTGAAGGGAATCCGGGAGGCTGAAGTGGAAACACACACACTGAACATTCTGATATTCCAAAAAGAGAAAGAGAAAGAGAGAGAGAGAGGGAGAGAGAAGCTGAGGCACTGGAGAGCCGGTCTGGAGTTAAAATCTTTTCCCTTTTAACGTTGTCCATTTAATTTGTCTGTGCAATTTATCTTCAACCCAATGATTTCCAGTCGAGAAGCCTTCAAGAAAGCGCCTTCCAATGTCTCGCGCAATGTTTATTTGTCCTGTACAGAGAGAATGGAAAGGATGAGTGTCTCTTGTAAGCCATTTTCCGGAGGGGAGGGAAAGAGAGAGGAAGTTTGCAGGCGTCGAAAGGAGTTGTATAGAGAGAGAGATATGAAAAACTTAACTCGTATATATGAGAAAGTACTTCGAAGGAGGAATAAAAATAATTATAAAGTGCTGCTAAAAGTATTTATTTTGATTTATAATTACTATAAATAATATTTTGAGAGAAAAAGAGAGAGAAAGAGAGAGAAATCAATGAGAGTGGAGAGGAAATTTAACATGATTTTACAATTAATTGCTAGAAAGAGAGATAAATTTAATTTATTTTTTATTACTATTTTTCAATGATTTTCTCAAGAACTGTTTCTGTCCACTTTATACCTATTATTTTTTTTGTATTCTCCTTTTTCCCAGCACAACTCAATAAAAAATAATAATTCGTGAGACTCTCATGTGAATTCTAACAGAATTAATTTGTATAAACAAAAAAAAACTTAACAATTCTTTGGTGGAACGCTAAAAGGAGTTCTTTTTTGTATTTCGTGGTGAGAAAGAAGAAGAAGATGAAAAAAAAACTTATTGATACTCTTCCCAAGACAAGAATTATTAACATGAGAAAGAATATTTATAATATTTGTGCTTTGGTGGTGATTTTTTTGGCGGAAAAATCACCGTGAAAATTTAATGTAATATAGCAAATTGAGAATAAATGAGAACCAACTCAATTCTGCTCTTCGTCTTCTGGATGGATGATCTTCTCGCCAAAGGCGTCATCGATGTGATTTCGGTGGAAAGGCGTGTCAGGACGATTGATCTCCACCTCGTGAATCTCCTGAACTGCGGATTCCTCCTCGTGGTGAGTTTCCTGAAGGATTTCTAGACTAAGATTTTGCTCTTTATGTCTCTCGCCAGGGCGGAAAACTCACCTTCTCTGCAGGTTCTTTGCCGAGATACCGAAGGATTCTGGACAAGTCCATTGACTCCACTTTCTTGTGCTTCTGCTGGAGTTTGCCTAGCGCCTGGGCGTCCGTCATCACCTGTCCATCCATCAGGATCACCGTTGAGTGTCGGCGCTTCGGACCGTCGTAGAGTTCCTTGAGCGTCTGCCTGTTCAAACTCCTCAAGCTGATGGATTTCCGGGGAATTTCCGTGTCTGTGGCATCGTGAGCGATCGCCGAGTCTCTGTGCTCGAAGTCCGGCTGCAGAGATGTGGGATGACAGGACGTGGTCTCTGAGTCGAGCTCAGAGTTCAGTCCTTCAGCCCGGCGACGACGCCTCAGCAGGATGCTCTTGCACTTGCGCGTGCATCCGCCCACCCACTCGGACACCAGAGCGGCTGCCGCGAGGAGGAAGCCCATTCCTAGCAGGAGGAACATGCCCTCTGTGTCTGCTAGAGTGAGGCCGCGCTCCTCCACGGCGGCCGTTGCCAGTTTCCCGGGGATGACCTGGAGAAAGCCTCCGGTGCTGGTGCGCTGCATCACCCAATTCACGTCATTCGTCAGCTTGTCCATCAGCCCGCTCTGCTGCATGCGCAGGATGGCGTCGTTGAAGGGATCCGTGTACACGGAGTCCTTGGGCATTGCCAGGCCGGCGTAGAACAGCCCGAAGCAGTCGTCACTCAGGTGCAGTGCGGATCTCTTGCCGAAGCTGTCGTCCGAGAAGTTGGACTGGATGACGTACTCGAGCTCAGCGCGCGAGCCCAGAAAGGCGTACGACCAGAAGAAGGCCTTCGTGACGTTGTTCAAGCCCTCGGGAACGTCTCGCACGTATTCCATGTCCTTGATGAGGCGCGCTGTGTCCTTGTGCGTGGAGTTGGCGAACCAGTACTCCCAGCCACCCTTCTCCAGCGTCCCGAAGCGGTAGAAGCCGCCCAGCAGCTGCTCCACCGAGTCCACCGTGTCCGGGAAGATGGGCAGCGTGACGAAGGCGATGATGGAGCCCGTGTAGCACGACGTGATGATGATGGTGAAGACCCAGTACCAGCCGATCAGCATGCGCGTGGAGTCCTTCTTGCTGCTGCTCCACGAATACTTGCCCGTGAAGGTGAAGCAGTTGGTGAAGGTGCCAAAGACGTACCAGAACATGTTCTCCACCTCGCCAGCGTTGCCAATCAAGTGGCTCAGCGTGAGGCGATCGGAGAATGCGAGCGGGAAGATTGCCACGAGGTAAGTGGCCGTGAGGGCAATCCACACGGGGTACTGGAAGGGTCCCATGATGGCTCTGTATCGCGGCAGAGCCTTGGACATGAGCGTGGCGTAGACGGCGCAGTCTCTGGAGTGTCCGGCCGTCATCTCCACCTCCTGCATGCGCTTCGTGGTGACATACACGCCCGCCGCGCCAATGTCTCCCAATCCGTGGGCCACTTCCTGCACCACGCCATCGCCAGAGCTGAGCTGCTGCTGCCTGGGCTCCATGATCTCGTATGTGAAGTTCAGCTTCGTCTTCAGAATGTTCAGCATGCGCAGCTCCATGCCTTCCCACGCGATGTTCACGTTTCCCACGCCGTCGGTGGACTTGCGCTTGAAGATAAAGGGCGGTTGGTGCGACGCCGCCACCAGGAAGCGGTGGCCAGAGAAGCCCTTGCGGAATTTGGACGGGAAGAGGTTGACGTGGGGCCGCGTGAGGCGATCCTTAATCCACGATGTCAGCACTACGGGCTTATTGGCGCCCAGGCCGTCGGCGTACAGCTTGTGCGTGTACAGCACGAAGGGGCGCTGCTTCGTCACGTCCGCTGAGGTGTACGACTCGCCGATGACCAGCAGGTTGACGATGTCGCGCGACAAGGGCGATGACAGGAACTCCTGCAGCTTCCACTGCGTTGAGCGCGGAATTACGACAACTCTGGCGCGGATTTGGGGCCCTAAAACCTGCAGGAAGTGCGCCATGAGAGGAAAGTGCGGCAAATCAAAGAGTGTTAAGAAGAGTCAATAAAATGCATGTTGGAATATACTCAGAAAAAGAATATAGTAAAGTGTATGTTATGTAGAAATAGTGAGTATTCATTACAAGACGTTGAGTTACACTTTCCGTCCGCAATCAGAACATTTGCCGCTCCCTGTGAAATCGCACGCAACCGCCATGCGACTCATAATCTCACAATTGACTTTACCTTCCGCGTCATCATGGCGTCTGAGAGAAAGAGAATGAAACTGCGACACTTGGAGTCCGTCGAAGGCTCCAGAATGTCCAGTCGCTCCACTGAGTAATTGGCATTGATGCGCCCGTGGATGAAGGACGTGGGGAAGGTCTGGAAGAGTTTCTGCAGAATGACGCTGTCCGAGTTCTGCACGAATCTGTCGTACAGAATCACGGGAATGCAGGAGCTGAGATACTGCACGGTGATTTTGTTCAGCAGCGCAATGAGTGCGGGCGCTTGATCGAAGGCGGAAGTTGTGGTGTTGAAGTTCCTGTGCCACACTTCCTCCTTGGTCTTGGGATTGCCGCGGAAAGTCGGATCCACGAAGCGCTTTTGCACGGTTTTCGTTGCATTCTCAGGCACTCTTTTGGGGCAAAACTCCAGAGAACTGACAATGCTGAGGAGGAGAAGAACTCCCAGGATTTTCACTCTCATCATTCTCACGACGGACTGGAAGTGACAGGGTGAATTCTCTTCCTTTTATGTCCTTCTTCGAGAATCGATTGGGCGCTTTATTGGGTGACCATAAAATGGGAGGATTAAATATTCAGAAATGCTATGATTGAACACCTGCAATCGGAAATAACAGTCGAGAGGCTTTAAATATGGTTTTCACTTTTATTTCTAATACATTTCTCATCTTTTATTACATAAAGCCTATAAGTAATTACATAGATTGTCTCAGATATTCCTCGGTGCGGTCGCTTCGGAAGGACGTCGCACAGTTCGGAAATATCTCTAAATGTCTTCATAAGTTGCTCTTTTGCACGAATACTTTCATCAAAATGGAAGAAATAATACATTTTCACGCAGAGATTTCGCATTTTATTGCATAGCTCCTAAGGAAAGCGAAAGAACAGTCAGAGAAAGAGTGAGAATGAGAGCGAAAAGCTTGAAAGAAAAGTAGGTGAAATGAAGGGGAAAGTAAAAAAGAGAATAGAATTCTACTAGAAGACCTTACAGAAGTAAGAGAGAAGCTATTAAGATAGATAAACAGCATAGTTTTAACACTCTCGCACGAGTTTTGTGTCTCCTCCAAAATCTTAACACTTAAATTCGCCATCATTTAACTTTTTTCCATATCTCTCTTATCATTTGTCCACGCGAGTCAAAAAGGTATGCGGCTTATCACCCGTCGCGGCCTGAGACGAGCACAAATCAAAAAAATACCTCTCGGAGAATCCACTAGAGTCACAATAAAATTAAGTGTAAAAAATCATGGCTTCGAATATTGATCATAAATAGTGTGTTAAGCAATCTCAATGCGACAGACAGACGATTCGCCGGACACCTTATCAACTTCTGCTATGTTTATTATATTGAAATTTGTTGAATTGGGTCAATTAATCCCCGAACATTTTGCATCCTTGCACAACAAAGTTAAGTAGTGGAATCGAGGCAGAGATAAACTTATCACAACAAACACGCGATTTAGGAGGATTTCAGATGCGCGTCGCCAGAGATTAATTGATTCTTTTTTTTTTGCTCTCAGCAATAAATAAATTAATAAGCCAAATTCACAATCTTCCTTTTTTTCCTTCTTGTTGTCACAATTAAACATTATTAATTTCATTTCTCTCAGTTCTAAAAAAAAAGTGAGTTTCGTTTGTCCCTTTTGTATTGTTGAAATTCTTGCTTCTCTTCGTCATCGGATGTCCCTTTTTGTCGTCACTCCCAACACTTCACTCCTCAATGTCGTTGTCCACTCGCGACGACCGGATGCCGGACTTGCCGGTCCAGGGATAAATGTCTGGACATGGTTGGCACGTTCGCATGTATCGCACTCCGGACTTGTGCCAAAGATTGCACACTTTCGGGTTGTTGCAGCGTTTTGGGCGTCCCTGGAAGGCGAAAAAATGGGTGGTTTTTGGTCAGCAGATCCCGAGACAGAGAGAAAGTCCTTCGATTACTCACTGCATAGTTGCACTGGAAGGGCTGGAAGGAGTTGAGTCGCGAGATGGGCGTGGGATCACGCACCCACTGCAGCGCCTGCCAGTTGGTCACGATCCACACGTCCTTCATGGAGTTGATGGCATCGAGGAATTGGATGAAGCCCTCCTTGTGGTGCGGCTGCGTGAACCACGCCGCGTGGTAGTACAGCCCGAACGGCGCCCTGTTGGTCGTGTAGTGGCGCTCGAAGTTCTTCATCAGCATCTTCACGACGCCCTCGGCCTCGGGCGGATTGGAGCAGGCGTCGCCCATCGAGCAGCGGCCGCCATTCAAGTCCTGCCACATCACCATGGGCACTTCCCAGACGCCTGGGTAGCTCTTGGTGGGACAGGGCGGGATCATGCAGTCGTGGAAGATCTTGTAGTCGAGCGTGTACGGCCAGCTGGGCGGGCGGTTCTCGTACACGGGCATCGAGGAGTCGTAGGTGAAGTTGGAGTCGTACAGCATCTTGAACATCTTGTTGCCGCCAATGGACAGGAAGGGGGCCCTCATGCCGCGCACATCCTCCAGCTTCACGCCTCCATAGGCGGACAGGATCTCTCGCTGGCCGGCCACTTCCTTTGTCCACTTCTTCTGGCTGAACTGCTCGCCGAAGCTGTGCCTGGAGATTGAACAGACAGAGCGGTTAAAACTGTCGCTCGCCGCTGGGAATCGTGTGTAATCTGGAAGAGTTTCTGCGTGTCTCATGATTATGTACAGTCAATTGAGTGGGTCTGATCCGAGGCCGGGTCAGATCCTGGGAAGTGGTCAGTGTTTAGAGAGTGTTAAGAGAATTTTGGTGATGTCTGTTGTGCTGAGGACTCCTTCTGGACCTTGTGCTGTGTTCTCCTCAACTTACGAGACTGTGTGCGATGCCATCTCATGTCCGTCGGAGTAGAGATTCTGCACCTGGCTGTAGTCCGTCCACTCGTGCGAGACGTAGAAGGTGGCCGTGATGGGGCATCCGTTGGGGTTCACTCTGCCCTTCTCGAACAGATCCACGTAGAGTTGCTTGTTGAGGTCATTCACGGAGTCGTCGAATGTCAGCAACACAATCTGTGGCACATGCTCCACCGGCATGTCACCTAAACGCGGTCAGAGTTGGATGAGGACAGGCGAGTTTGAGGGATAGAAAAGACAATTAGTCGCGGGCGCAAAATGAACGCATTCCCCATAATCAAGTGTGTGTTTCTTGTGTTAGTTGTCTGATGAGCGCGCGCGCGAAGCAGGAAGTGAAACAGAGAGAGAGAGAGACACTTCTCCTGACCAGAAAAAGCAGATCACTTACGACACTGTGTGGGAGGCAATCTCATGGCCGTCCGCATACAAGTTCTGCACTTGCACGTAGTCCGTCCACTCGTGAGACACGTAGAATGTCCCAGAGATTGGACAGCCATTGGGATTCACGCGCCCTCTTTCGAACAACTCAGCATACGTGACCCGATTCAGGTCATTCACGGCATCGTCGAATGTTATTAGCACAATCTGCGGCGTTTCCTCGGCGAGCAAATCTCCTGCATTGGCATTATTCTTTAGATTTAGTGTGTCTCTCTTTGGCTGACGTCTCTACCACTCCTCATCGCGCCACTGAGAGTCTTTGTGTGTATTTTGTGAAAAGGATAATGTTCGCAGGTTTGGTAAGAGTTCCCAAGTAAGCTCCGCCCATTCGTAAGCCCCGCCCCCTCTGCTTGGGAACTCCAACGAAACCTTGCTTCTGTCCTGAGAAATTCAACAGCAATAACACTCCCAATCACCGTTCGCATACCTGGAATGTCCTTTCCTCCGCAGAAGCAGTCAGGCAGGAGACAGACATCTTTGCGGCACTTGGCGGCCGTCTTGTCGGGCGTGGGCTGAGGATAGACGGGATCCGGACGCCATGGCGGGAAGCGGTAGATGTCGATGTACTCCTGAGCCTTGGACACAATGGTTTGGGAAGGTTTAAGGGTAGGCCGGGCGCGTCTGAAAGCAAGTCACAAAGTTAGCCATCATGGCTGCCAAGATGGCGGACAGAACAACTCACGGAGGATGTGTTCCGCGATTCGACGTGACTGTCGAGTGCTGATCGCCGCTGGTCGAGTAGTGAGAACTTCCTCGATTTCTCGTGTGAGTTCTACAAGAGGCAAGAGCGAGTTTAGCTGCATTTTTTGATCTTTTGGCTGACACCATGAGACTTAAGGTATATATGTATGTTCTTCGCCTAAAGTGTATCTGTGTTTGTGTCTTTTTCCCACCAACAAAAAAAAACATCATTCAGCTGAACAATTGTATTAAAAAATGCACACAGAATAAAATATACTACAAAAAGATGTGAAGAAAAAAGCGAAAGCCGCACTATGAGAGTGTGTAACAGGTGAACACAATGTTTCGTGTCTCAATTCAGCTATTTACACAATTTACCATCAACTACGGGTATTGTTACATGGCGTGCATTGGTGCAGATTAAACACATATATAGACTAATTGATTATATTACAAATTAATTACACAAAGTCAAATATACAGTTCTACGGTGTGGCGTGAATTCTCTGGGGATGGGTGAGGGTGGGTGGGTGAGGGGAGGGTTGTGGACGCTGCGATTTTGGGAGAGTGTGTGTCTCATGAAAGATAGACCATGAGCAAAGGCAATACGATACACATTGAAGATTAACTCAATTTATGGGATTAGGAACACGCGACAAAAGCCCGATCTTGCTTTCCAAAAATGGCAGATGCTGTTCTCAGGACAGACTGTGAACCGAGATGTGTGAATTAAACCAGCAACGCGCACAATGATTGATTGCTCCAGATGGCGAAATCTCCTCCGCCACTCTGTGTGGGAACTTTCCCAGAGATGTCTTTCTCTCTGGGGCGTCTCTCAAGTGTCTGTGTGTGTTCTTGTTCGACAGATTCCGCTCGGTTTGACTGGGGGGGAGTTGTGATAAGAGGTGGACACAGATTGGTGTCCTTGGACGGTTAATGGAATTAATTTGAATTAGCAAAGGTGGTTTGGTGGTGCACAGTAACTTGGTCTATTAATGGCATTTCTTCGACTAAGGGTTCTGAGATAACGCGTTGGGATGTTGGATTTTTTGGTATCAATCTTCTTGCGGAGGAATTTACTTGGCCATGCTTTGCAGAAGGCTGCAGCGTTCACTGAAAATCCATATAGAGAAACAATCAAGTGCAAAGCTCTGAAGCGATAGAGTGAGCGCGCCCAGTCTCAGCAGCATCACAGTCAAGAAATTCTCCAGCGGAGATCCTCTCTCGTCAACTGGCCAGAATAGGGATAGTAGAAGACAGTGAAGAGAGATAGAAAGAAGGAGTAGCAGAAAACGCTTTCAAGAGGTGGTGAGTGGTGAAGAAAATGCCATTCAACAGTTCTAAGGATTATTTTCTAAACCTCCTCTCGTACGGTTGACTATACACAGAACATCTTTCTCATCTGTTGGCTTTCTTGCCGTAATCTAGTGTTGTGAGTTTGCTGTTTTTTTTTCTTATAGATTGAATACCTCGAAGGAATTTCGTTGCACTTGGCATTTGGCGAATTGTCTGTACATTTCAGGGAGGCGGCCGGAGACACAATCCTGCGCGGCAGCGAGGCTGCAATGGTTGTCTTGATGGCATTGTTTACCCGGGAGGCGCGCGGCGGGATTCTCGTTGTCGTTTGGGGAGTGGGGGGCTTGGTTGTTGTGGTCTTGGTCGTCTGCACCTCCGTGGTGGGCGGAGGTGGGGTCGTGGTTGTCTTAGTCGTGGGCTTTGGGGTGGAAGTTGTCGTGGTTGTGGTTGTTACACGGCGAGTCGTTGTTGTTTGAGTCGTTGTCTCTACAACATTGGGACTCTCAGTGTCTTCCACTGGATATTCATAGAGCAAGGGATTCTCTTGATCTCTATACAACAGATCATCATCTAGATCTTCCTCCTCCTCGGGCTCCTCCTCTTCCTCCTCCTCTTCCTCAACTTCCGGCTCGACATTGTCACGGAATGATGCCCGCTCGGACTCGGTGGGAACGTTAAACTCTGGCATCTCCACAGTGGCGCGGAACTTCTCTCTGTTAGCTTGCTGGGTCAGTTCGTCATCTGGCCGGATGAACTCGTAGTTCTCCAGGTAGTGCTTCTTTGGCTTGTCCGACAGTCGCTTATAGTGGGCAAAGTACACTGGGCGATCGGTTATCTCGACAATCTTCTGACTCGAGTCAGTTGGTGAGACTGTTGAGTCTTCACTGGCAAACTTGCTGGCATTCTTCTTCTCGAATCTGTCTTCAAACAACTTCTCCAGCGGGATGACTTCTTGCTGTCGATCCCTATTCACTGAGCTCTCATGGAACGCTCGGTCTTGCAGGGTCGCCACTCTGTTCCTGATCCTCTTTGGCGGCACCCTCATCTTGATCACTCTCTTCTTGTTCGCCCCGGCTGTGGTCGTCTCCGGCCTCGGCTCCTGCGTCAGAGGGATGAACCTCAGCTTCGGCGCGTAGGTCGTTGGATCAATTTCAAGCGTGTTGGCGGTGGTGTAGACGTAGGATCCCTTTAGGCGGCCTCTGGTTGTTGGAATCTTGGGCGTTCCCCTACTCCTAGACCTAGAAATTACGGTTGCTGTGAGATCCTCCTCCACCTCGGGAATGTCCGTCACCGGAGGCTCTTCCTCCTCAGTGACAGTGGTCTCCTCAATGGGAGCCTGTGTAGTTGTAGATGTTGTAGTGGTGCTCTCTGTGGTTGTGCTTTCAGTGCTCGTGATATTAATCCTCGGGGCGGCCGTGATGAGGAAGTGACTGCGGATGGGTTGTGCATTCGTGGGAGTGGTCCTCACCACTGGCCGAAGTGAGGATGTCGTTCCGCGCAATGTGCTGTCTGTTGTCAGTAGGTTCTCTAAGCTCTTGTACGGGGAGACAAAGGGACGACCACTTGTGGCGCCTGTGTCGAGTGTTTTGTTGAGGACTTCTTTGAAGAAGAGATTCCTCGGCGTTGTGAATGGCGTGTGTGTTCTGTTGAGGCCGAAATCCACCGGGAATGTACCCCTCTGCAGCACAGTCGGCGGTGTGCTGAAGAAGCGCCTCTTGGGCAGGGTGCTCGTCTCCACGACTCTCTCGAGGGTCGTGGTTGATGGCGACAACCTGACCGCCGCGTCCCAATTGTAGGGAGAGGGAGTGGTGGTCGGGATGACCAACTCCAGAGGGGAGTTCTCGCGATTGCGGAAGAATAGTGGCACTGGGTGGATTTTCGCCTCAACAACGGGCTGTGGGGTTGTTGTTGTTGATGTTGTCGTACTGGTTGTGCTACTGGGCCGAGTGGTGCTGTCGATAGCATTGTGAGTCTCCGCCTCGGGCGCCTCGTCGGGCGGCCTGAAGCTCTGTGGCTGAATGTCCGAGTATACATAATCGAAAATGTTCTTCTTCCTCGCCACCTGTGCCGTGCTCTCGGGTTCAGTCTCATTGACCGGAGCCACCCTTGCGAGTGGGGTGCTCGTGTCTTCAGTGTCCCTAGTTGTGTTGGTGCTAATGGTGATGATAACGGTGTCTGGCTCCTGCACCTCGCTCAACAGTGTCACTCTCTCCTGGCTGGGCAGGGGATGGGTGGGGGACAGGGAGGGGTATTCACTTGAGGGGGAATGTTCAATGTCAGGGTATGTCTCGTGTGTGTCAATGACATCCGCGCGTGCCTTCAGTGTTAAAATTACTCTACTATCCGTCTTATTGTTGCTACCATCCGACAGTGATGATCTGTAGGGATGGGAAATAAACAGGCTCTTTACAACATCGTCAACAACATCAACAAAGACTGACTACTGTTGTTTGACTTTCTTTTCTTCCACTGGGAACAAAACTACCCCGAGAATTGTATGCGTTAGATGCTCTCTCATTAACTCATGGTTACTGGGTTAATAGAAGCTGACCGCGAGAGGGTTTTGCGAATCAACCAAATCAACCCATCATCCGGACTTTACTCAAAGGCCAATCGGGCTGGTTTATGAAGTGATGCACACCGCGCGAATCGATGATCAGTTAGATTGTGTTAGTCGACGATTTTGGCGGGATTTCTCGCAATGTCGTGGCGCCTCTGTAGCAATCAAGGTTCTTCGCCACAATCTTGAGTGGATTTGAAGGATTTTGGAAAGTAAGACAGAGAGAGAGAGAGAAGGGATGTGAGATGATGAAATGGCAATGATATCAAGCTCTCCACAATGTTTATCTCCGTGTCTCATTGGAATCTGTGGTGTGAGTGTTGTCGCATGAGGAAAAGAGGAACTAAAAGCATCACTAATCGCGATTCTCTGCGCCTCTGTTGTCTCTCTGGCTCAAATACTGCGGGTCATCCACTGCGGATTGGCTATTTGAGTGTTTGATGGAGACTTTCATTGGCATTTCCCCGCCACAGTGTCAATGATAGATCATTTCGCTACGCCAATAGTGTAGTTGATTGAGTGTTGATAAATTGGGAATACCTTGTGGGCGCCGCTGGGGAATACGTGGCCGTCGTTGTGACTTTTTTGTGGGTTGTGGTGGTGATCGAAGGATATTTGGGGCTTGTGGCCGTCCGGTGTGTTGTTGAGATCACAATGGGACGTTCGGTAATGGAATTTAACTCATTTCTGTCTCCCCTTCAATACATGCAATTATTTTCTTTTTTGGTATTTCAAATGTCTTATAATATTGTCTTCTAATGTGAAAATAGTATATCATAATATTCATGGTAGACAACAAAAAAACACAAATCAAATCTCATGGGGGATATTTCTTCATGTGGAAAATCTCCCATGAAATAGAGAGTTCGGTGTACATTTTCCTCTCACACTTCCTCTGTGTTTTCATGTGTGATTTCTTTTTGCAGTGCTTCTCACTGCAGCGTTTATCCGTGTGTCTCTTTTATCTCGCTCACCACACATTCAATTGGATCAAACTTGTACACAAAATGTCTTGAGCAAACGTATTAATTAATTATTAATTAATTTGAGAGTAATTAAAAAAAAAACAGAGGTAAATTAATTATCATGAAACATTCAAGTTCATGTCATGGAATGATTAGAGATTCATTTTTTTTTATCAATAAATATGGTAGGGAAGAAAAGAAGTTAATGTCAAATATCGAAATAACAATTATTCACAGATTATTTTCTTTGATTTCAAGCTAAGAAGAGGCAAAGTCGTTACCTGATTCCCTGTCTTGTTCCTTGGTTGTACGGAGTGAGTCCTTCTTGTTCGAGCTGAAACATTTAGTGTCAAACTTAGGCTAGGTCAGGGATAGAGTGTCGCGAGACGCACCTGTGAGAGGAGCACGTCGTCGTCCTCATAGTCGGTGGTGTAGACTTGAGCAGGGCGCTCGTATTGCGGCTGCTGAGGCACGTAGGCGTCGCGGTGCGCCTGAACTGGGGCGTACGGGGTGGACGAATGCGTGGGTGCGGGCGAGGCTGTGGCAGGAGTGGAGCTTGTGATGATAGAAGGACGATAGGTGGACTGATGCACCTGAGGTTTCTGGTTGTTTTGTCCATTGTACTGTTGACCATAGTCTGTAATTGCAAATGTCACATTAATGTCCATCCTTTGACTCACCAATTCCCAGCAAACCTACCAACATCTCTGTAGAGCTCCACATCGTCATCGTAAACATAAGCGTAGGGATCGTACTGATCGTACTGTCCTTGCGTGGTGTTGTAGTAGTTCCTCGTATTCTGCGTGTTGACCTTCTGTGGCTGGACGTATGAATTCGATGCTGGAGATGAGGATTCAACTCTGAAATTGATCACCAAAGTCAAGTAAGTCCCAAAGACCCAGGATCACGAGCCAGGCGTGAAGGACATGAGAGAAGCTAACAGAGGAAGTTCTAAGATGATAGGATAGAGTGAGAGAGTGCCTTCTGTACCTGTTGGGGAGTCTTTCGTCGAGGTCGCCGAGTCTGTCAGGTCGTTTAGTGCTCTTGACGGACTTCCACTTCATGGTGCCCCTATTGCCGGCGCCCACAGTCGTGGGATTCCTGCCCCTACTGGGACGAACAGTGTGAATTTTGTGGGTGGTGGTGTCGGTAGTCGGCATTGTGGGTCGCGTGGGCCTGTACGGGTGCGTTTCTGGCGTCGTCGTCACCTTTCCCGCGAACGGATCTTTGATCTTGATGCGCGGCCTGGGCGTCGTGGGACGCACCATAGTCTTGTTGGGCGTTCTAGGTCTTGTCAGGTCTTGGAATATGTCGTCGGGGAATTTGATAATGGGCGGAATGGAGCTCGTGCCGCCCAGGAGCCGAATGTCGTAGTCGGACACGTGCTCCTGCGGCGGCCTATAGGAGGTGGGCTTGAAAACTTGCGTGGGAGAGATTGTGGGTCTGAGGGTGGGTGTGGGAGAGGGTCTGGGCGCCATGGTTTCGGACATTGGCATGAATTTGGACTTGTTTGCCGGCGGCCTTTGCACCTCGTAGTCGTCATCGTAGTAATACTCCTCGCTACTCGTGGGCGGCGTTGTCTTTGGTGGGTGCTTGCCGAAGTTCGGCGGCGGGACGCTCTTGATGAAGTTGTTGTCGGTGTATCTGGTCGATGGTCTGAAGTACTGACTACTGGGCGATTTGGTAGTCTTTGGCAACTCCTCCTCTTCGCTACTGTCATAGTAGTACTCCTCATCTGAGGCCAGAGGCTTGGGAGTGGTTTTGAAGAAGTTGAATGGTCTTGGAGTACTCATGCTGATGAATGTGTGGTTCTTTCCAATGTCTGGATCTGATGGCGACAGATGCGACTGGCGAATATCCGACATGAATTGACTAAAGTCTAGATTGCTGAGCCCGGGATTGATCACAGAGGGTTTCCTTACGAACGTGTCAGAGTTGAAGCCGAGAGAATTGTGTGGTCTTCCAGGTCCGGCTGGATCTCCGATGGTCATAGACGTGGGTGACGTGTAGGTAGCCGGAGGATTCTCAGTCACAGCATAGGAGGGAGGCTTCGTGGTCTCTTCTGAGCTACCATAGTAATTCCTGATAGGCTGAAAGCCCGGTGGTTTGGACGATTTTGGTTTCTGCGTTACATAAAAGCCAGAGTTGTAGGCAGGTTGTTGAGTTGTCGTCGCACTTGCGCCCTCGTCGGGGTTACTGTAGAAGTTGTACGAGTAAAACCCTGGTCGCACTTCTGACACGGGATTGTGTGGCTTCGCGGGTTCCACCTGCCTTCCGTCCTGTTGCAGCCGATACTGCTGCTTAAGGTACTTGTCTGACGTCGTCGGAGGAGTGGGCTTGTTGTTGTAGAAGCCTCCAACTGTGCTGAAGGCTACAAAAGGGCTCTTTGGTGTGGTATTTGGGAGATAATTGAAGTTGTGCTGAGGCTTCGGATGGCTGCCACTACCCGTTGGGCCCGTGCCCTTGGCAAAGTGGAAGAAGGAGAAGTTGTCCGGGAGTCCATCGACTTCCCTCGAGGCCTCTTTTACAGGTTTCGACTGAGTGTCAACCTGGTGAGGAATTGTCAGAGGATGGACAAGTAGAGGAACAAGATCTCCGCTGGCTGTCCTGGTTTTCTCCCTCGAAGACGACGGTGAGCGCTCGTAGCTGCTGTAGTTGGGGCTCTCAGCCGGACTGAAGGAGTTCTTGGTGTTGAACACCGTATAGGGATTGCTCAGCGACGACCTCAGATGCTGGCCCGCACTCGAGAAGTACTGATTCACACTCTGATCCACCAGCGGCGGCGGCTGGAAGCCTGTCAGGTGCTTGTGCGTGTTAGTCTGAAAGCCACCGAAAGCCCAGGACGCCTTGTGGGGCCTCAACTGGCGTGCCTGCCGCCCACCCACATCCTCAATCGCGTGCAGGGCTGCCGCCTCGGGCAGCGAGTCCCCCGTGTCCAGATCGTCAGCCACGTCTCGCTTCTTTCTGTCGTGTCGCGTCTTCGTCCTCGCACCCACGTCCACGTCTTGTAAGTCGTCATCACTGCGAAACTCGTGAGTGTCAGTGTGCCACAACACCGTAAAAACATGGATAAAACAAAGGTGGTGGACACACAGAGCCCATAAGCGTGTCACCCGCGCATTCCAAGCAACTCTCTACTCACCTGTACTGATTGACCTGAGAACCAAATGCAAAGGAGCCCACTTTGCCGTGGCTGGGGATGGCGTTCACGCTGGACTGCTGCAGGATGCCGTCGCGGTCCCGCTGCACCTGACCCACGGTGCTGGGCTGACCGCGGTACACCCTCTGCTGGCGGTCGGACTCCTCCTCCTCGGCCGGCGGCAGAGTGTCGTGAGCGTCAGCGTACAGCTGTGGGATAAACACGCGGTTTCAAAATCATCACCTCAGCGCATTATCTGATGGGTCTGCCTAATTGCAGACAAAACGATAAAATTGTAATAATTAATTAGCAATCAACACAAATTATCTGCCTCTTTTACGAGCCACTAAACCAACAGAGGAAGTTATTAACATGCAGAGCATTCACTTTGCCAGCGATCTGCTTATGTGCGAATTTTATTGCTAAACACACCGCAAGAGAATGCAAATGCGTCTCACCTGGGCGATGTCCTCTTGCAGAAGCACCTGCTTGGGCTGTCCGCGGGACGTGATCACTGGATTGGGTGCCACTTTCAGTTCTGGCGGTGGTGGGATGGCCTGGATCTGGGCCGGGGCCGAGTGACCCGCGATCACGGACGGCACAGACGTGAAGCGGATCTTCTGCGGCTGCACCTGCTGGATCTGGGGCACTCTGGTCACCTGCGGCTGCACAGGAGGATTAGCAAGGCTCCCTGTGGGGCCCTCGGGGGATTCACTTACTTGCTGCTGCTGTCTAGGGGCGGAGGTCGATGGGGCCGCAGCGTCTGCGGCGTCACAGCCCACATTCCGTGGCCAGTCGCACGTCTGCAGCTCGTGGCTGTACATGAGGCCACCAGTGCAGCTCTCCAGGAGGGCGCTGCCGAACACGCACACATAGTACTGCGTGCAGTCGGTGGGATGAGGATAGTAGCCGAACTCCTCCGGACAGTCGAAGTCCGCGGTGGCCGTGGAGCTGCTCTGCTTGGGATTCACCCCAAAGGCGCGTGCTGTGGGTCCTGAAGATCGCGCCGTCTGGCGCTGTGCGAGCGCTGAATCTGGGAAAGGGAGAAGAAAGGGTGAGTCTTTGCGCAATTGCACGAGAGCTAGACAAGAATTTGATTTACTCTAACGACTCAGACACGAAAAGTGTAACTGGCTGTATTGCAAAATCACATAATCCGCGCGCGCGCGATGGCTTTACAAGAACCAGATTCAGGCCGAGAGTGAGTGTGAGAGAGAGAGAGAGAGCAGAGACCAGGAAATGGATCTTGCCTCTGTGCCTCTGGGGCGATTATTGTAAATTCACCCGCCAATATTTTTGCCATCCCGCATGTGTCTTGCACGCTGACGGTATTTGGTGCACAGAATCACGATTCGCATTACTTGTGTCGCGCGCAGGTACTTTACGACACCTCGTGAAAGATGAGACGATTTGACGGGATGAAGAAATGCTTCAGCGCTTTCGTCATTGCCATTGTCTATGGCAGATGCACACTGTGCAGACTTTCATCCATGGCTGGACATGTGTGTCACGGCTGCTGGTGTTTACTATTGTCTTGGGCGCTATTTTTAGACCTCATCTCTCCTGACCCGGTCGCCAATTCTCACCTCAAATGCCTAATCAAACATCTCTCTCTCTCTCTCTGCCTCTAATCTATGTGGTCAAATTCCCTGCGCAAGGATAAATGCCGTGCAGCAAATTGATTTCATCAGCATGTTCTCGATCTCCGTGCAGAGAGACATCTTCAAGGGCTATGCAGATCAGTGCTGAGATTGTGTGAGACAATGCGGACAGAAACAATACCGCATTATTCAGCTGATCATCTCTGCCACCCAGATAAAACCCTATAAATCTCCCGCCAGAGATGCATCTCATTGGAATTTCCTCAACACTCACGCCAAACGACCTCATTTGTCGGCCGGGAAGGAGGCTCTCAGCCACCTGCAGATCGGCATTAGCATAATCCCAGAAGCCGGCCAGAGAGAGAGACTGAGTCCTCAATAAACTAATCTGCGCGCGATGCCCTCGGGCGCACGGTGGATTGTCAATTGAAAGGCAATTCATACAAATTGCATGGCAGACAGTGCGCGGTGTTTGATGCCTCAAAGGGCGGCGGCGCCCCAAAAAAGGACAAAATGATTTGCATAGCGCGCGGATTTTTGCATTGAAAGGAAAATCTGTGCGCATTGAAAAGTCAGTGTTGGGTGAATGGAAATCAGAGTGTCCACTCGCCCACCAATCTTTTCGAATTCAATTGTGTTAAATTGTTTGCCATTTTTGCACTCTGATTAATTATACAATACCGAGAACTGCGCGCACACACGGTTGTGCGGGGAAAAAGGCCCTCATGAGGTGCAATTAAGTAGACTAATTTCATGAAATTTATATAGCCACACACCATTCATTAAATTATTTGCAAAGATATATTCATAATGTTATGAGAGTCCATGTGAAAACCAGATTATTAATTGCCGCATGTATCATTGGCAGTTTGTGAGCGGGGCGCGAAGGGTTTTTTATGCAACACAGCTGAGCGCAATTAATCGGAAAGAAATTCAAAGTGCCAATATTTGACTGCACAATCGTCTTTCACTCCACACACACTTTGCGTGGGATGATTTATTGGGAAATGCTGAATAGCATGTTTGGCAATGAGCCCTGTAAAAAAAAGGACTTGTGATTTCTTTAATATCTCTTTTGCTCCAGATTCTCTCACACGCAAACCGCACTCAGTCAATTTGCTGCCCCTTTTTTGGGATGGACATTTTCATTGAGTCGCCTCATTGAGCGTGACGGAATTTTTCATGTCTTAGGCCACATTGCAAAACGAGAAGCTTTTCAGCATGATGGCAAGAGATAGAACAAGTCAATTAATGTCTTTAACACCTTCCGAAGAGGTGTTCGGAGAAAAAGAGAGATAAATTTGCACTATGAGTTGCTCTGCAATAAAAATAAAACCCTGTTATGATCAATGGAACTATGTAGCGTCAATTAACCTCCTCTTTCATCATCACGTGAACGCGTTGGCAAGTGTGAAATTTATGACCCTCGTGTGCATTACTTCTGGCCAAATATTTGCATGGAAAAACATTGCGGATTCTCCATGGCAAATAGACGATCTATTTGACTTTCTCATCACTCCAAAGTTCACGGCAGCACATCGCGAGTCAGCGCTTATCGATGAAGTGTCGGTTATTCTGCCTCTTCAATCTTTCACTTTTCCCAAAGAAAGTCACGACAGATTACAGCTGTGTCGTGACGAAGAATAATTACGAATGGCTAATTGCATTCCATGTGACAAGATCAAGAGTGTGTGTCTTTCTGACGAGAAAGAGTGAGAGAGAGAGAGAGAGACGAGCTAAATGGCAAGGAAAATATTTGAAGATGCCACAGATCGGTGCACAGCAGGAAAAAGAGAGGAGAAGCGAGAAAAAAGAGTCAAAACATCATTTGCATACAAGTCACATAGATGCCCATAAATCTCCGCTGCAGCTTGCAAAAGAGATCTCATGAGGCTGTGATAGAGGTGAAAAGGCTGAGAGAATTTCGTAGAGAGGAAAAATCGGTGAAGGCCGCGCACAAATGTGGCGGTTTTTCGTGAAATTCAGTCGCGATGTGACATTTTCGCCACAAAAACACTTTCCATTGCATTGAATGGCTTTTCAAATTCTAGGATCGCGCGCCACAGCACGATTCTCGAGACTGTGTCGCCCACCAAAGTCAGATGAAGTCATTTCGACCATCTATCTTCGTGTGGCGAGGAAATATAGGAGTTGCCATAGACCACCGAATAACCATAAATATTCCATGCGATAGTTCACTGAACTGCAGAGAATTTCCTTCCAACCCCGAAGCATTAAATTGAGGAATATTCAGCGGAGGTTCAGTGACTCCGCGAAATGGATACTTGTCATCTGTGGGCAATCCGACGCAATTTGCATGAATCTCATGCCATCCCACGTTGCGGGGCGGGCAATTTACGGCACGAGGAAGAGGCGCGCAGAATGAGAAATGCTCGCTCTTCTTGTGACAATAAAGGAGCTCAGCAAATTGCCTGGATTTGCGCGCTTGAGGATCATTAGCGTGCACAGCTACCATAAAGTCTGTGGGAGTTGGTTTTTACGGCGCCGCAGCTCCAAAAAGTCATGGGAACGATGATGGTTCCTGACTATCAATGAACTGCGCGGGCCTGAGAGAACTTTCCAAGAAGGTGGAGCTGAAATCTCTCACGCTTTGGGACAGCAATTAGCGATTGTCTCAGCCCGAGAGATATTGATAATTACATGCGTGCCTTTGACTATTGAATTGTCTCTAATTTGCATCTGCACGACGCCGAGCAGATTGTCGCAAAGTCTTCTCCTTGCGGAGCACTTCTCATCCTGGAATTTTTTCCTTAAAGGATGCACGCTTGTGATAAATAGAGATGAAGCAATGCAGGTTCAGTTGTTAGGCAAACGCTGGCTGTGCTGGCTCACAATGGCGAGATCCACTCGTCAAATGCTCACGAGATGATGGGTGAATGGCGCAGCATTTGCTCAGGAATCCTCCACCTCTGGATGCCGCAATAAATCACCTTGTGAGCGATATCGAGTGCACTGAAAAGTAATGGGTGCAAGCAGAGTATCTGGAGAGACATCGCTGATGACCTTTGGGGAGCGTGTTTCATGAATTGCCAGATCTCGCGCGCACTGTGTTTGTTTTTGCCATGGCGCACAACAAAGGAAACAGAAGCGAAACATCTTCAATTACGCGCGCTCTGAATGAAAGTCATGATTGGAGCAGGTTTCCCATTGTGCGCCAAACGAGCTCATATGCCACGGCGAGTCTCTCCTTCACCTGGTCTTCTCGCGCGCTTTTTTACCGCGCGCGCATCTGTTTTCGGGACGCGAAGGTGTGTGGCTCACGATGGCAGAAATCTTAGATAAGCGCGCCAATGCCGAATGGCGCGCGGGCGCAGGTGAATGAGAACCGCGCTCGAAATTGGCTCATTTGTCACATCAATTGCCGCACGGCGCATCCATTGAGGAAATCCGATGACGAAGTGCACCAGGATTCATGCATTTGGGCTGACTTTTTGATAAATGTTCGCTCATATGACAACACAATGCTGTTGCTACCTTTTTGCGCAACTCCCAAGAGCCATGTCTGGCTTTTGTGCCCCGGCATATTTCTCATTCGTCGCAATTTGTGCTCACTCAAATTTTCCAATACCAAATCGTGAAATTATTCCGCAAATTCTTCTCGACTCTCGCGCAGCAATTGCACAAATGTCTCAATGATATGTCTCCTTGGTCGCCTCTCTCTCTCAACTCCCTTCAATTGATCGCGTTCCAATTTTTTTTCACCTCGGCTGTTATTGTTTGGGCTGTTGCGGAAATTCTATTGCCGTCTTTTCACTCCCTCAGCACGGTCACGAGGTGGATTTTGCATATGATTTCAAAAGAGGCCCCTTTTGTTGCCCGGTTCGTCGTCTAATGCTTGCGCGCGCGCGTTGAAGTCTTTTGGCCCATTTTGCGCCATCGAGGGACTCCTTCATGGCAATCAGACAATCAAGTGGCGCACAAAAAGCCACCGAGAAGACCATAAATGTGGCCAGAAAAGTGGCTCAAATTGCACATGTTTAATTAGAACTCAACCATATTTGGCCGGAGTCAATTTGTAACAAGCGTTCTGTTGCAACAGCGCGCGCACTTTTTCTTCCCTCCGCGGAGCTTCTGAGACCCCAGCGCCGCCCATCAGGGTCACATTTTGGGGCCGCGCGCGCGGTGGCTAAAGAGATGCCATCAGTCAAAAAGTCCACTCTTTGGGAGGTTGGCAAGTGAGGGAGAAAAAAGTGGGCAATAAAGGCGCCAATTGGAATGTGTGTGCATATTGAAAACAAAGAGAGTGAAATTGAAAGTAAACACTTCAATCGATATTACAATCAAATTCTTGGCCATTTTTGCGCAATTCACAATTGTTTCGCGCGCGCGGGAAAAACGACGCGAGAGAGGAGAGAAACCCACCGGATAAGGTCGTTCATTTACTTTTCGGACGCTGAATTTCCTGTGAATG